GACACGCGTGGCCAAAAACAGTGCAGCGTCACACGTGGAAAGCAAAAGAATGGAGCCGACCGACGCGTGCATCCTCCGTGTGTGTGTGTGTGTGTGTGTGTGTGTGTGTGTACAAATCTGAACCCATTTAATCTCCCCGGCCTGCACGACGCTGTGTATTTACGATGAGCCGCTCAAGCGTTGCTTTCCGTCTGTTGGGAATAATTAGCGCGCAGGTAGGTGACCTCTCAGGCACACACACACACACACACACACACACACACACACACACATGCCCTGCTCTTTCGCTTGCTTCCTATCATTTTTGTATGCAGGCTAATGGGAATTTTAAAAAATGTGCCTTTTGAGCATCAATTCTTTTCTCTCGTATCAAAGTGTTCAACGCGTCTTCGGCTGAAGGAAAATCCTTATTTACAAAAAACCTTGTCGACACAAATCACACTCCGTCTAAGAAAAATGAGCATTGGCGTCAATGCCCAACAAGCCTTCGCTGTTAACCTTTCTTAAGGGCATCAAGATTTCTTGTTTTCCAATAAAGGCTCCTGAGTGAAAAATATCACGTGACTGCCCGACTTGAGATGACTCACTGAAGGACAAAAGGGTGCGCGCGCGCGTGTGTGTGTGTGTGTGTGTGTGTGTGTGTGTGCGCATGGATGTTATTTGTGGGGTTTGTTTTTGCACACGCCCGTTTCTATTAGTGAACCCTCAAACGCACGCGTGTCACTTGCAGAACCTGCAGACATGCATGTGCAGGACTTTCATGTGTGGCAATGGAGGAGCAATCCAAGGACAAGGAGAAATGGGAAATAGGAACAACATTACTTAAAAGGAGCAACGAGACTTTAATCATCCTAAGCCTGGATCACATTTGCTGCTTGTCAAGGCTAAAGGATTTGAGCGGGTCGTACTGGCAGGATATTGGACGGAGAGAGGCAGCAACTACATTGTTGTGGTACTGATGCAGCAAAATTTGTTTTCCATTTCTAAGAACCCACAGAGCACAGGAGGCAGAGTGCTTTTTGGGACGGCATGAAAGGCGAACCCGGTACGTATACGTACGTAAAGTTGATGCGCACTGAACGGACCTGAGAGCCCTTAGTTCAACCTCTAATAAAAAATAAAAAAAGAAATCGAAACGCCATTTGGCACAAACCGACTGCTCTTAGCGGCACCTCTTTTAACACCCTTTAAACCCTCTCATCTGACGCAATGAGAAGACTCCATCTCAAGCGATTGTGTCAGGTTTTTTTCTCCTCCGACTGGAGTCAAAGGTTAAATGAGATTAACTAGTCTGAGATGATAACAACTCTTGATTTTTTATTTATTTTTTTGTGATAGCGGTTTCCCCCACGTGCCGCTGCTGGGCTAACTGGCTAACATCCCTACACACACACAACCCCCGGGGCCCGGTCTGCACCATGGAGACCCATCTCGAAGAGTTAGCTCCCGTCTATCGAACCCAGTAGGAGAAGGAGTGCGCGAATACGTGGGAGAGAATGAACAGCCACGAAGCAGACAGAGGACTAAATGAATGTACGAATTGTCTGTGACCTGAAAATAATCTCTGATCGAAGCATTAAACTGGAAACGCAAACGTTTTGTTTTCCTCACCATTTGCCTTCCCCTCTGTCCCCGACTGGACGCATGCGAGAAGCAGAAGCCACAGAGTCACGGCGGTCGCTGATTACAATCCACATCCGTTCCCATTATCACACATGTTCACAAATCGCATGTGCAACAAGTGTTCTGTTGGCGGCGCGGTGACAACTACAGATTCCAGCTGCAAATTCTGGGTCAACACAAGTGAGTCAGCCGTCCGGCTGCAGAACTCGGGGCGCGGTGAGGTTCTCCTGTGGCTGCAGACAGAGCTTGAAGGGTAGCACCAGATTAATGATGCAGATATGTCAGAGTCAATATATGCGACGACCAAAAGCTGCGCAGGTCCACAAAGCCTGTCTGTGTGCGTCTGTGTGAATTAAGTTGTCTATGCAAACATGTTTGAGCAAACGTATTCCACCGTGTGTGACGGTACACGTACGATATTTGCATACCGACAACCATTTAACGTTTGTGCAAATCATTGTCCATCAAACGCATGTCAGAGTGCCTGTGTGTGAATGTGTGTGTGTGTGTGTGTGTGTGTGCAGGGTCTTTGGCCCCAGTCGTACGTGTGAGTCCTACGATGTCGCGCGGCGGCCGATGAGATAATCTGGCAGAGCATGAAGTGACAATTTGATCAATAGCCGGCTCGCAGGGAGCCTCTGAGTTATAGGGAGGCCATCTCTCCTGGCCACCGCCGCACTGTTACACACACAGCTGCAGACCTCCTGGCAAACAAACACACACACACACACAATACTGTAGGTGGACAAACAATTGAGTGTAGTTTGCCACATCATCGAGTGAGGGCCCTGCAGCATTTTCTTTTATTAGGGAGGGGACGGTATCTTGGATTATATAGTTCTCTGGAAAAATTGGTTATTTCCACCCACATTCCTCTTGCTTTAGTACACGGACTGAATCACAGGGTATAAATGTCAATTAGCAAGGGTGTTGACTTTCTTCTATTAACGAAATATAAACTCATCCTAGGATGTTTACATCCTGAATGGATGATTTCCAAATACCGGAAAGCTAGTTAGCAAAATCATTAAACATGTTGTGGGTTTTGTTTGTGAGCTTTTGTCTTTGCCAAGTACAACTTGAATAAAAAGTAATGCACCATGAAAAGCCATAAACAAACGAGCAGGAAAACAGACAGGAGAGGCGCCGCTACTTGTTTCCAACCTTTCCATATCAATGCAATAAGATACCTTACTGCAGTTTAGGGAATAAACATCATTTTGTTGGGGACGATTGAGGTTCCGTTCCTCGCCTTACTGCTGGTGATAACAATTCCTCTCTTGCGTTCTAAATATTAAGGTGTAGAAAAAGCATTCCTTTGTTTTATCTATCGTACCGTCAAGAAATAAACCGTCCTCCGCCTCTAACAACAAACACAGCAATCCAAACCAAAAGTGATTCTGCATTTCCTAACTGAGCCTTACTGCTAATCCTGCGTATAGCTATCGGCTATTGGCTCACCACTTCTTTTCGCTCCTGATAAAATTTTAAGAAAACAATTAACAGCCGTGTGTGCACTCGGGCATATCTGCCTCAGACCGATCGATGAGTATTCTATTCTTGGCCATCAGATCTTGACGCAAGGATAGCCGCCCCTCTCCCTCTTTCCGGACTATTCCCTCTGTATCGGCCTGTCCTCTTTCCCCATTCCCTCTTTTCCTCCTCCAGACAACACCAAAGGGGCATTGTCATCTTCCCAGCTGGCCGGTGGGAGACAGCGGCGGGGCATCAAACCCGGGACAGTTTTGAGGGGGGAGCACAGGAGCGATTGGCTTCCCGGCTGGAGGGATCAACCGTCTCCTCTGAGGAATTCAAGCACACGCAGACATATACGGCGAAATTCACTTGCACTGGTGTAAACATACACACACACACACACACACACACACACACACACACACACACACACACACCTCCTGTTCCTGCTGTAATTCTCCGTCCTCTGTTACGCTGCCAGGCGGCGGCCCTTGATCTGCCACTTCCTGTAATCCTCCGTGGGAGAACGATGCCGCCAAATGTCCTGGCAGGCCGGCCCGGCAAACAAACACACGTGCACACAAACATGCAGGGACGCAGATAGCCACCAGCATCTAAGTGCAAACGCAACCGGGATGTCTCTGATAAAATATTCAACTCGGTAAAAGTTTAACCAAAGCAACAGATTCATGCACATCAGATAGTATGAATGGTGGAATCCATTATGTGCCTTCCGTCGGTGCTACGCTGGTGTCATTGTCACCAGATAAAGAGACAGCCAAGAAAACCAAAGAAAAGATAGATGACTCCCAATTCACCTTCCCCTGACTCTGATAAGACTCGATCTGATAAACATCCCTCAAACACAAGAGACTCCTCTGTTTATTCAATTTCAAAGTTACCAGTTTCAGCCAGAGGGAACCATCCGACAAGATCATTTCAGCCAAACTGGGGGGAGTCTGATGGAGTTCTGATCTCTAAGCTGATTGGTTTTATGCATATTTCCACGCCACAAGTTTCCCAAACCCTGAGCTCACAGGAGTAATGTACCAGCCAGCGAGACATAATCCCTGTTAAGCTCACTCACCAGTTCTTGCATCAGCCCTGACATATAGAACTTCTACCAGAGGAGGGATTTCACCTCCTATCTTCTAATACACGTGTACTTCTAACCGACAACCAAGCATTTCTTCATCCAGAGCGGAGCAGCTGTTGACTCTCGAAATCTTTAGGAACATTCAGTCCCTTCCAGGGAAAAGTGGTGCATCATTATCCCCTCAGTCTCTCTCTTCTTGGGCTCCGTGGTTCGCTCTGCCTGTGAGCTTCTCCGGGTTTTTTTGTCCCTCACCTTTTTCGGTGCAGGTGAAAGAGGATGAGTCACGAGCGTAGCTGCCAGCAGGTGGGACGGCCAGGTGGACAGCTCTTCGTCACACCGTAACGAGCTGGCACAGGTCGCGGGACAGGCACGAGAACACACGGAGGACCTGTAAAAGGCGAGCGGGCGTTCTGTGGAGCCGCACGACTCCCCGCGGTGCCGTTCCATCCCAAGCTGCCGTCCCCCCCGTTTGGGTAAAAAGTCCCAACGTTGTCGAGGAAGCCCGACGCGAGCTACCTCCTCCACTTATTTCCCCGGCTCGAATGCAGCAACCGACCTAAATGCGCGGCTACACGGGGACATTTCAGTGCAACGTCTTGTCAACTTTTCAACATCAGTGCAAAAAAAAAAAAACTCTTCGGCATGTTCTAAAAATACCCTGAAATCCCACCAATGTATGCAGCATCTGACTGCCGCGGCTCAGACATCTGTTCACTTACCTGCTCGCTGCCTACAAAGGATGCAGGGACACGCCACGGGCCCCGGGTGGCCTGCAGCGCTGGCGACGACAAAAGAGAAAGGATACAATCTGAGAGCTCCGCTCTGGGTGCCGATGGCCAGGATCTTCTGCACAGGGTCGAACGCCATGGACGACGGCTGGTAGGGAAAGCCATGACGGACGGTCTGAAGAGGAGGGGGGAAAAAAAGGAGAACGTGTTATTATCAATTTTGCATTTCACAGCATGTTTGGTAAACAAAAAGAGGCCCAGATGGATGTGGAAAGTGTTATGAAGCGGAAATGTAAAGCAAAAGAATTGCACGGACTAGAGGAGACGAAAGGGGAGGAACAAACGCTCCTTCTTTGCACCGTTACTCTGTTCTGTGTGATAGGTGATATTATTTGGCTTCGCTAGTTAGGATCCTTTTTACGATCAAGGGAAAAGTTCACTCTCGTTTTTTTCTCCCGTGAGGAAATTTAAAAAAACAACAATAAGCTGCGCCTGGTTCTGGTTCCTTGCAGGGCCTCCTGTTTGAGTGCATTGCCCTGTAGGCTGTCGTCGGTATATTTGATTGTGTGACTGCAGCTTTATGGCGTCAGTCAGCTGGTGGTGGGCTTGTTGGGCTTGTTTGCTTAGCGGCAGACGGCTAAAGCACATTACATAAGAAGCACTCAGTGCAGCAGAGACACCTGGCTTCTCCGAGGAGAAGAATTGCAGAGAGTTCTGGTCCAGACAGACGGTGAAGGTGTGGGGGAGAGGGGGGTAGAGGGGGGAGGGGTGACGGAAAGACTCCCATCCGATGTTTGGCCGATGAGCAATCTCTCCGAGCTAGTCTCCCCAACAACAAAATCCCCTGTATGTCCTCGGGTGTGTTGGCTTGACTCTAGATTTTCCCGTCAATGCAATGGCCAACAGGCCGATGGGTTGCATTTGAAACCGGTTTGGACCGTTCAAACCTTTCATCCACATCCACAAATCAAGCCAGTTACAGTTGTGCAGGTTAAACGTGTGAGGGAAAATCAATAGCGAGCACCCAGTGAAGTCTACAAAAAGGCCACAACCATCCGTTGGGGCACAAAGGGGGAAATCCTTACTAAACTTTAGTTAGTGGGGGAAGATGTAGCGTGCGTAGTCGGTAAACTCTTATTGGATTTTTTTTGGGGGGGGGGGGGTTTCTTCAAACAGGCCCAGCTCTCTCCAGGCGCCATCAGTCCCCAACGGATCAATGATCCGGGGGTAAAGTAGTGTGTGCCTGTGTGTGTGTGTGTGTGTGTGTGTGTGTGTAGGTGTGTGTGTGTGTCTGAGGGTGACAGAGCTAGAATGAAAGGAGTGTGAGAGGAGTGAGAGGTGAGGGAGGAAGGGGATAGACACACACACACACACACACACACGCATTAACCAGAAAACCGCCGTTTTGCTAATCCAAACCCAGCATATTTCGTAAGAAGGGATCCGTTTGGCCCCACCCCTCGAGATGACAGTTCTGAGCGAATCAACACATGCAGCAAGATGATGGCATTTCCTCCGATGCAATAACCAAATCTACAGTTTGCTCCGAGGAGATTTCGAAGAAAAAATGATTGGGGGAGGGGAGGGGGCGGGGGGGTACTAACCCAAGCACACGGGAACTTACTGATGTGTAATTGTCCTGTGGCCAGCGCGCGTTCGCCATACAGTATATGCGCATTGTACTGAGAGCTACGCGCTACCTACCATGGCACCCTCCTCCTCCTCACCGGGATCCTCCCTCAATGTTAAATAAACATTGACAAATGTTTATTTAACACACAAAAACAAGTGCTCGTTGTAGTTTTTCGAGAACGGAACAAAAATGATTTTCTATAATTGATGGATCCGTTGTGTGGAGCCCACTTGCGATTCCTGTGGCTACTGAGATGGAATACGCGCAGAACAAACCGTGATGTATTTATATGTTTAACGTACACGCGATAATCGTGATTTTAAAAAAAAGAACCCAGCTGTGTTATAAAATCATCCGGCTCGCCCACCTTGCAGAGCTGGAAATGCTCGGACTGGAGGGTCTCGTGGATCAGATGGTTCTCCTGTGGCCCCACTTGGACGGACGGGGCGGAGGAGGAGGACACCTCTTTCAAGCCGTCCAGCACCTTCCTGATGTTGAACTTCTTCATCTTCGGAACCGCAGAGCGCAGAACGGAGATCGCCCGCAGAAAGACAGACGGGGGACAGCCACTTTCTCCCGGACACGCACGCACGCGCACGCACACACGCGCACGCACACACGCACTCAAGCGCCGATCTCCCGTGCGGATCTCACATTGAAGTGATTGTTATTTAGCGCAGTCCCCATGCTGGAGGGAAGGACGGAAGGCTGCGGCGCGCTGCGCACAGGTCGCCTCTTCTTCCTCTTCTTCTTCTTCTTCTTCTTCTTCCGCGCTGCTCGGATGTCGGTGCGTCGGTGCGATTTGCTCGGCAGTCGGTGCTGTGCCACACTGCGTCGCGGTGGCTCCGCTCTTCTTCTCGCCTCGGCTCGCCTCCCCTCCCCTCTTCTCCCCTCCCGTCCCCCGCCCTCCCCTCTCGGCTCTGCGCGCCGCGCTCAGCCAAGGCGGAAACGCAGCGCGGCGCGGCGGAGGCGGTGCTGCTGCTGCTCCTGACGCTGCTGCGCATGTCCGACGGAGCGCAGGCTTCATCCCGCCGCCCCCCCCCCCCCCCCCCCCTCTCCATCTCTCTCTCTCCCCCTTTCATCTGCCCTCAGCGACAACGCCCCCCTCCCCTCTCTCCCCCACCCTCCCCTCTCTCTTACTTGCACGCACGCACGCATAGTAGGTTTTTGCTCCACTGCACCTGGTGATGCTGGGATGCTGCGGCGCGCACACTGTCCGCGTAGACGGACGGGTGCTCGGTCCCATTATTTTTCGACGACAGCCTCGCCCCACCCGCAATAATAAAGGCCATTCCGAATCGCGTAGACGTGGAAGTGGACGATGAAACCCTCCGGTGCTGCACTGGGGAACGGGGAGAAATATTGCATGAATGCGCTGTGTTTTCCTCCTGCTATATTTTTTTATGGTATGTTTGAACATGTGGTGGCATCAGAATAAAGCAGGGAAATGAAAACCGTCGCATCCCTTTTATTTTACATTTCACTTATATGTCCAGACATTCATTTGAAAAAACAGCTTATTGTTTTGGCCACGCTGATTTGCTTTTATTGTTTAAGGGATGTATGCATCTGCAGGGAGGCCATGCGTAATAAAAGCCAACAGCTGAGCAAGCAATGCATCCATCAGTATCCATGGCGATGGCTTTTCTCTGCTCGGGATGGAGTCCCATGGTTCACCTGTTACTTATACCCTCCCTGTGAAAGTGTTTCTTCATGCTGTAGTAACACTTCACAAGTAAAGAGCTTCTCAGGAGGCATCGGTTAAGGAAAGGGCCCTTGTGTCTGCCAAACGGGATACGTTGCATGTTCATCCAGGCAAGACCTTCAATGGCAAAGGCCATGTTGTATTTATTTTAAAACCCTGCTTGGACAAAACAGAGCAAGAAAACCTTCTGTAGATTTTGTTCATCTAACATTTAAAACAGGGGATTCTGGCAAAAAGTTACTGACCGTGTTCTGCGTGTATCAGTTGTCAGACATGTTAAGACAAAGTGGAGGAAAGGCTTCAGTTCGGATCCAGAATTGTGCAGAGTTTGCGTTTTCTCCTAAATACGGCGTGTGATTTTCCACTGGAGCTGCATTTTCCTCCCACAATCAAAAAGGTGTGCTGTCATGGCGACACTGAAACGTCACGCCGGTGATGAGTGAGTATTTATATGCGTGTGTGTGAGCCCCGTGATAGACTGACCACTTGTCCAACTCTGCACAGCATTCGGCGGGCATGAAGGACGGATATTGCCGCGATCACACAATTTGAAATTATTATTGTTTGAAAACTCGCTTTGCTCAGCGATCCGCTAGCTGCTAACACAGACCTGAGGAGGAACCGTGAGATGGTTGATTCGCTTCCGCCGCCTTCGAACGAAAGCGGTGCAGAAGTTTGGCCACCAGCGAGCCAATGGGAGACGAGCACATGCACCAACGAGGCCTACAAGTGCGCGGCTGGCCCCGCTAGGTCCACACACACACACACACACACACACACACACACACACACACACGGCATGTCTACGTTTACTACAGTGCAATAATCAATGCTAAATAAACTTGTATATAAGATTGTACGCACGTGTTTTCCGTTTGAGCTAAAACAAAAGGATGCATCCGCACAATGAAGACGTGGATGAATAAAAGAACACAAGAACATCTGAAAAGGAGCAGAGAGCTAATTATTTATTCAGTAATCGTGCCGCGGAGGCTTGAGAACAATTGTTGCAATGCTGATTTGCATAACGAACTGAATTTGACCAAACGCACCTTCCAACCGCAACCGATATCGCCTGATCCAGAATACATTACGCAGGCGAACAAAGAGGTCCTCGCGTGCGTGTAAGTGACTGAGTGATGTTTAAGGGGGGGGGAGAGCGCTTGGCGACGCTGACATCAGTGATTTAATTTAGCACCATTGTGTTGTGGCCAGGCTATTTATCCAGCTGCATTGTGCGTTGTATTCGGAGTCTGACTGCTGTGTTTGTGCTCTTTGATAAGGATTTATCAGAGGCGGCGCTTTATTAGTGTTTTTGTGTGAAAGATAAGTGTAAAGAAAGTAAGAGGGGGGGGGATGGTCAAGCAGAAGCGTTAATCCAATGTAAAGCAGATGGTCAAGAGTGTTGCTGGAGAGCAGATTGCAGATGAAAGTGACGCCTATCTGGACATTTGAATTCCTCACGCAGATGTTTGCGTAAAGGGGACAAATACGCCCTCACATACCTCGATTTACATTTATTCTACACGCATCTCATCACCCCGACTAGTGTTTAAGATCAACAAAAACTCAAAACGAACGCGGCGTGCTCGCCACAATGGCCGTGTGCGCAAAGAACAACTGGCCTCACACACTCGCCTCATGAGGACTTGAGGCCACCTGAAACCTCACAGAGGACCTAACGGGGACACACCTTGTCGCACTCGCTCACACTCAAGACGGATCCGTCCGAAGCGCCACACTGTGCAGCCCCACGGCTCGGTATCACGGCGAGTCCTGTTTGACAACCCCCCCCCCCCAAAGTTCCGGTGCTGTCTGGAGAGAGCGAAAGACCTAAGCGGACACGGGGGACAACAGGCCGCCGAGTGTGGGCCTCTGCCTGTCATGCAGAAGGACGAGAGGGACAAGGACCTTCCGCCCTCACCGACAGCTGTGGTTAATCAAGCGATTCGCAGCACACCTGAATATGGGGCTGACGTTCCCCCCAAAAACGTCCCGCCGTGTCCTCCTGCAAGCAAGCGCATGCAGAACCGGTAGGGGATGCACGATATCGTCCACGCGTGTGACCCGCGCGGACGCGAGCTCGGGGCTCAACAACCGGCCGATGCTCACGCAGAACGTTAGCAACTCACAAGGAGAGGAAAGAGAAGCACTGAGAGCAGGCGAGGCGCGTGTGCACAGAGAGGCAACGCGTCCCAGCAAGTTAATGAGTCGACGGCCTTGAGGAAACCGTTGATCGTCTCCGCCTGCTTAAATGGGAGGAAGTTTTCAATGAGAAATGTGTCCGCTGCAAACACACACACGTAGATGGACAGCAACAACGTTCCTCCCCAGAGCCGCCCCCCCCACACACACACCTGATGGTTACACTGGGGCTTATAGATATCGATGGGAGGATGAAAGGGATGAGGGGGGGGGGGCACCTCAACGCCTTCATCACGTTCACTGTGTTCCTAATGAAAAACACAAGCATGAGCTTATGATCCTGGTTTTGATAAATGTGGGAGAGAATATTAGACTGTAAAGATCTAAGGCGCTTCAGATCAAGCTTTCAAGGTCATAAGGTCACACGTCACTAGCAGAAAAATAGCACTCATTTTGAGGCTTGTGTGTGTGTGTGTGCGCGTATGCTTACTGCAAACCGCCCAGGGGACGGAAGTGACACAACAGCAGCTTGTCGCTACTTGCAGCAGCCCAGCTGGTATCAATTCCACCAATCACCAAAGGCGATAAGCTGACTACCAACACACACACACACACACACACACACACAGTCGAGCAAATGGATGTCACTATTAAGGAAAAAAGGGCCATGCCTGTGCCCAGGACCTATGGGAGGACAGATTGTTAGAAAGAACCTGGAGTCGGCGTGAAGCTAAAATAAAGCTTGAGTTGGAAGAAAGTAAACACGAGAGGCAAATATTGTCTTCAGCTGAATGTTACTGACTGCTGTCGGTCCCTGTTGTTGTTTGGAGTAGCAGAGGACAGATGGATGATTTTACTTGCATTAGGTTGTACATGGACACAATACATAGAAATGTTTAGAAACAAAGGGAGCATTTGTTTGTGAGAAAAAGAGAAAAGCATCCCGTCCTCTTGTCCAGGATGGAAATAATCAATGCTGAGCACGGGGCGGTTTATCAATGACTCAGCACTTCACCGTGCTATGAATCCGCTATGTTCACACATTAAAAGTCAATGACTCTGTGAATCTCAGGAAAGAGCCATGAATAAAAAATAAATTCTGAAGCCAAAACACAACGCGGCTGAAGAAGGCGCATTGAAAAGCAGATTCCTTTTCCCTTGAGGACCACATGTGTGTGACGCCCGACCAAAGGCTCTCCTCCTCCTGCAGCCTCCGATGGCCAATTAAGCCGCGCAATTATCCCCCGTTTGGCAAAGGCTTTTGGACAATCCAATAAAGTGGGATGAAACCGAGACTCCTGTTTTATTGGCAACCTGACACGTCCCGGCTATGCTTTGTAAACCGAGTCTGCATCGCTTAATCAATGTAATCATCTCAACACAATTAGGTTCGGCTTCAAGCGAGTTTGCTGTGAAGCTATTTAAGGAGATTGTGTGTATCTTCCCAACCAGCCATCTATCTATTAGCTCAGCCTTCATCCATCTATCCGCTGAGGCAGAGCTTTGAAGAGGTGACATCAAATGATGCATTAATTATTACCGAGCTAAACAGAAGTGTGTCTGATACAAACAAACAAAGAGCCGCATCTGGGCCGGTCTGAATCTACATTCAGCGCATGTTTTGAAATAGACGCTTTAGACAGGCTGTGTCTAAGTAACATTAGCTGCATACTGACAACCACGATTAGTTCACTGTAATATGTCATCTATATATATATATATATATATATATATATATATATATATATATATACCTGAGCCACTTCCCAAGCGAACAGCAGCCACTGAAGGACGGTTCCAGTAGTAGATAGTATGATATGTGAGGGGGATGCAATGTGACCACACATGCACACTCATCCTCATCCTTCCACTGTAAAAGATGACGTGACGTGCAGAGGGAGGTGCAGCTGTCAACCCAGGCCGGTGCTTTGAAAAGCAGCTTGTCCGTGTCCGCCGTCCCTGCCAAGTCTTAAAGTGGGCATAGAGCTGAACCACGGACACTTTATCACCAGACATGCGGCTCCCCAGCGACGCTTAAGTATTAACTCAGTTTGACCTTCAAATAGAAGTAAGACTAATGTTTGCATAGTGCTAACTGGTGGTGCAGAGAGGATCTTGTAGGCATTGATAAGTGAGGGCTTGAGGGAAATAAAAAAAAGGTACAATTAGAAAGCCTGTCTGTGTTACAATAGAGCACATTCTTACACAGGATTTCTCACATTTAAAGTACGGCTCTTGTCACTTAAATCTGATGACAGGTACTGTTTTTTTTTCAATGGCAGCGATGACCTTGTGACGGGCGCTTCATTGGCTCGGCACCTCTAAAACTGAAATGCGGCGGTTTTTGCTGAACTTCTCCAGACTCATTATTTCATTTTTCATACCACGCCCCCCCCCCCGCCCCACCGCCCCTCCGCCCCTCCGCCCCTCCGCCCCACCCCCCGGTGTTGGCTGAGGAGAAACAATTCTGGACGTGGGTGAAACATAACACCAAAGAGAAATGGAAAGACAGAGCAAGGTGAGGCACTGGAGCAAAATAGTTGGGTTACGAGAGAGAGGCTGCAACCAGGTCAGCGTTTTAGTATTTTGCAAGTCAGGGTTCGGTGTGTGTGTGTGTGTGCGCAGAGATGGAGTTATTGTAAAGTACAGCGGTCGGGGGGATTACTGCAGTACAGCGTGGATGTCAATCTCACCTTTTTCCCCCTTAAATGCTACGGCTCGGTCACCAAAGGATTGACCTTTGGCACCTTGTGGTCTGCTGAGCCTTAGCTACGGGCTTCTCCCCCGCTGAGTCCCGCTCCTCCGTCCTCTGTCGGCACAGTTAGGCGTGTGGACGGACCTCGAGGGGGGGGGGGCATCCAGTCCCAAAGGAGGAGAGCAACAACAATTCGACAATGCTGCAGCGTGTTGAGCCAATAGGCCAAAGGACCCTGTATCCACCCCCATAGCCCCCATAGGGAGTGCATGTGTGTGTGTGTGTGTGTGTGTGTGTGTGTGTGTGTGTGCATGTGTGTTGCGTGTGTGCCTATTGATGCGTGGGGAAGTGCTTGTGCATGTGGAAGGCAGAGAACGGTGAAAGAAAAGGCAGAAGGCGCTAAGTGAGCATACGGCTGTCGAGGACTTGAAGTAAACAACGTTTTCCTTGCAGACGTCACAGATTTATAGATTGAATGCAAAACATCTCTACACTATTTTCTGGAATAAAAGCACCGTGTGGTGCATTATCCACAGGCGCACGCTTAAAGGCGTGGTTCCACATTTTAGGGGAAATGTGCTTAATTGCGTTCTCGCAGAGTTGACGAGGGGATCGAGGAATTCACTTACATCTCGTATCTCATTTGTTTATTCTGAAGTCTAAAAAATGTCAAGTTGCACATTTGCGCTCGAACTACTTTATGATTTCACCTATTTGCAGGCAGTCAATCTCCTGGTGTCAGGCTGTGCGCGTAAACGTGCTCCCGGCTCTGCTACAAAATTCATAGGATTTACTGTCACAGACTGGATTTAGACTTTGACCCCTGGATATTGAGCCACATGACATATGAAAGCTGCTCACTGAAAAAAGACAGTAGGTAGCCTATATAGCGTGCACTGATGTTGCCATAGAAGCATAGAGAAACGTTAAATAGCCACGCAGTTCCTGCAAGTCGCCCCTTTGTCATTCACTAAAGTAATAGCAGATAAATTGATTAAGGTACTCTTGAACGATTATAGATCTCTAAAAAGGAAAAAAAAAAGGAAAGTGAATTAAAGAGCCACCACAGTCTCCCCGCTGCTCAGGAAGTGTGTATCTACTTTCAATTCATTTCATCATCTCTATGTGGGTCCATTCAGGAATCAAATATGTTCTTATTAATAGTGGGAAGTCAAATGCACACACACACACACACACACACACGCATGACCGACTGTCCCTTTGTTTTCAAGGTTACACCACACTTCTTCGTTCGCTCACAACACATTTGCATCAAACCACCAGCTGCCAATTAACAAGCAGCCTCGCTGTTAATGCGCACACGTCACTGCCAATTACACTGGCGGGGGATGTAGGCCCACGCAGAGGACTTGGAGGTACTGAAAACAGCAAATAAAAGCAATTTTGTTTTTCAGAAAGGGGGGGGGGGGGGTCGGGTGAGAGGGGACAAGGCTTTCAGGATTAGCGCTGTGAAGCGGCTACAAGGTTAGAAATAGTGGTTTGCTATAAAAGGCTTTACTCATGCCGAGCAAAATACACGCATCACACAGCAGCAGACTTCTAGGAGCAAAAAATAAAGATAAACCACATGACAATGAACACATGCACGCTTGTGTTCTGTGTGCAGAGCGGAGTGGCACAGGGCATTTATATCAATCATTGTGTGCAAGTATTTATACATGAATAAATGGCATTTAAGGTTTGCATGTGTCTACAGCATCATCGCATAAGCCGGATATTGGATTCATAGTTTGCAAATTATCCTCTTTGAAGTCCAATATCACAATGAAAGGGAATGATCTCCTACAAAGATGAGTTTTCACAAACAAATTGTCAGCAGCAGGGTACAAAAGCTCTAAAGCAGGAGCGGATTACTGCAGGATGACTTTGCACGTGCACACGCGCAAGCAAGAACCAAAAATTCCTCCCACACCGCTTTTTTCTACATACAAGTACATCCACACACTAACTCACGCACACACAGCATAAAAACTATTTCCTTCATGCAGCAGCACATAATTGAACTATTCATTATTGTCAGCCATGAAAACGGCAGTTTTGTGCCGTGTAATGAAATTGATTTTAGGTCCACAGCCACTAGATGGCACTATCGCCCCTTTCGTTGCTGATTTAACTTCCCATTCCTCAGCTGGTCAGCTTCTCTTTGGGACTCAAACAGTAGTAAAACACAGAAAGTGTTACTAGATGATAATTGTTTGGCAAATAATAACCGGACTGACGGACGAATCAGACTCTCACCGCCTCAAATGCTCACTTCAACCACAGGGATTGTGGTGTTTGTCATGTTGCTGAAAATATCTGCCAACATTTATTCACGTAGCAGTTTTTGAATACAACACGTCCTCTTGGTCGTGTAGGAATGGACTTGTGAGATTATATAAGGAAGGAAATACCAACTAACCAATCAATCCGTACCACTCAGTTTGTGGGAGGTTGGCTGTATCCAGTCATACAATCAATACGGTGACCTTTTTCAGATCTCCGGAATACAACCAGGCATCCCAGTGCAAAGCTCAAATCCATACATTGCTGGCGACCTTCTTAGTGCAATGAAAGATGCACACAAAGACGCACAAAATGTAATATACGAATGCTAAAGGACAAGAGTACTTGATTGCTTTTGTAGGTGACCACCGGCTTTGGAATGAAGGTTATGAATAAAATGAATGATGAAGGGCGGTAAAAGTATATATATAAATTTTTTTATTATGATAATGAATACAGTATGAACATTGTGATGATTGTGAAGTATGAATGCATTTGGAGAAAAAAACATTGCAGAGATTAAAAAAGTCATATTCCAATCAAATCTAAAGACAAATGCAACCACATTCTTAGCTCTAAATCAAGTTCAGCCTACTACGTGAAATGAACAGACAAAGCTGAGGAGATTTGAGACTGAAACCTTTTGCCAATCACCACCGAATCATTTCTTCTTGCCAGCGACGTTTGCAGATTTCTTTCGCCGCTGGTTGGCGGACGAGGTGGGCCGTGTTTTTTCTAAGAGTGCCTGCTGAGCGTCCTCCAGAGCCTGTTTCTCCTCCTGTTTCCTTTCCATGGCCGCCATCTGACGGCTCCTGAGAGACCCGCAAGCATCCTGGAACGTGCCACTGCGCTGCCGCGAGGCGGCCTGGAGTCGAGACGGAGAGGCAAAGAGAAGGAACTTAACCGCAGGGATAGGAAGCTGACAACAGAACTTTTTCATTCTCTCTGATTGTCAAAACTGATCACGGCACAGTGCCCCCGTCCGTCTTCACTGACCTGCATGTGCTCGTACATCTCCAGCTGTTGTCTTATAAGCGCCTTCCTGTGGAGCTCCCCCTGTTTCCGATGCTCCAGCACGTTGTCTCTGATCAACCGGTAAGTCTGGATCTTCTCTATGCGCTGCCTCTGCCGGGTGGCCTCCATCTGCGAGTCCATCAGCACCGGATGATCCTTTTGGCTCCTGAAGACGTACACGAGGGCTTACAATGCGACGTGTCTGCAAATCTTTTCACACCTTTTCAATATCGATGGTTCGTTTATTCACAGAGAGTGTTTTTCTCAGAAATACAGCGTTGTTCACTTGCATGTTTTCAATTAAATTCAGAAGAGAGAATTTAGAGGATCAGATATTGCAGATTACATCTGCTCGAGTGATAGAAAATATCTATTTGCGAGATGGGACAACTGACAACGCTGAAAACCATCAGAAGGAATAAAGTGGCTGATGAATGAAGAGATAGGCAGAGGAAATGATCAACGCACAGTCCCATGTCTTATCTTTTAGTATTTCCACACTGATATCTGAGAAGCCTGTTTGGTTACGGTTGTAACTGTTGTGTTTGTGTGTCTGTGTGCGACATACGTAGAAGGAATTAGTGAGCAGTCGACATGAGTTTGAAAAATAAAAATGGCCAGGCCCGACTCTCTGAGGGGGATACATTCAAAGAAGGATCATCACTGCTAAATACACGGCTGCCTTTTTCTTTTGAGTTGACCTTGACGAAGAAGCGAGGCCGGCGGAGGTGATGATAGAGTTAAACCTTTGTGCTGACGTCATAAAGAATGCACGTGTGTGCGTGTGCGTGGTTGTGAATCTGTCACCTGCGCTGTGGGGCACCTCTTTGAGAGGAAGATGTATTGCAGGCTAATAAGACTCCCCCCTAATCTCCTACTACTCCTTGGGATCCCGCTCTCAGCCAGGAGAAGAAGCTACACCGTCAGCAGCCGGACACAATGAAACACCCGACAGCGGAGAGAAGGGGTGGAGACGTGGTGGTAGTGGGACACATCTCATTGGAGCGACGAGCCCATTGGGGTCCTGAAATAGCCATCTAATTAACAGAGCCAAATATCATCTCATCCATCACGGAGAGGGAGGGATAGGTGAGGAGATGGAGGGAGGGGTGTGAGGGAGAGAAACGGAAGACGACTCTGAACAACAGAGGGAGACTCCTTCCTTCAGAGCGCTGACAAGCAGGAAACTCATGTGTGTCTGCACTGCGAATTGATTTGAAAAATATCCATGATTCTCCCACGGAAAGTGGTGAGGGAAGTTGGCCAACTCTTTTCAAGACATTTCATTTGAAACGTTCACGCTTCATCCTGAATATTAACACTGCTGGAGCAAAGTTGTCAAGATAGGAGCGAGTTAGTTAGTTAAGATTTCAACATATGTAATAAACTTATCATACCTATAAATAAAATGTGTGATGGTCACTGTTTTGATCATCTCCCACAACCTGAAATAGTTTCCTCGAACCTTCATGAATACTTTATAGTATAATAAAGGAACAGTGTATAGCATTTATGAGGGTCTCTTGGCAGAAAGAATATATTATTAATAACTACAGAGCTATGTTTAGTATCCCAGAATGGTAAAAACCAGAAATGGGTCTTCTGCATAGATCTCCCCGACGCTGGTGAAGACTTGTGTACTTTTGTTTGATTTATCCACATTTCATCTGGAAGCTAATGTATTTATTCAAACAAAAGTTTAGTCTTTTTCTCTCCCTAGCCTCCAGTTATGTTTAATTACACATCACTGTCCATTTAGAGTCCATGCATTGCCCTTTCAGGAGAGCCAAAGTGCACATTATATGTGCTGCTATTCATTGCTATTCACAGCACCAACGGGAGCAAAGGTCAAAAACACAGGAAATCATCAATAATGTCCTGCAGACACTTTATGAACCCGACTGCTGGTACGTCTGCACACCGAGAATACGCAACAACCCCCGGAGGAACTTAATTCAGCCTCACAAATCGAGAAAAAATCCAGAGTCAAGTGTGTGGGAAAAGGGATTTCTACAGGAAAATTGAAAGAGCTTGTCAGAAAAGAGAGTGGGAGGATGAGGCTGCCTTTGTTGTTTATGCATTATTCCCCCCTTGCTGCCCTCTATAAGCACACATATGATTGGGGCTGAACGGGCTGTCTGCTACAGGGAGGTAAACATTGATCCAAGTCTATCACATCCTGGTGGAACGGATACAAACTCACCATCATCAGCATCATATACTTGTGCCGTCTAATAATAATAAAACATTGTGTAAGTGGGTCGAAGCACCTGATGAAGGGACTGTAGTCCATGGTCACTGTGTTGTTGGATGGACTGAGAGCCGTGCCAGGATCAGATCTGGGATCAGCTGTCAAACAATCACAAAAATCTCATCACCACACTGTACGTGATGAATAAAAAGAAACTGCACAAATAAGTATGCATATATGTGTGGGTGTGTGTATCTGAAGAAGGGAACCTGGCTCTGTGCTTTCTGCGCCGCCCTCGGGAAGTTGGAACTTGCGGAGATACTTGAGACGAGACTGTAAAGCCTGAAAGAACACAGAACATTTGTACCGTTTGTCGAACGTTATTAGCCAAACATTATTCACATTATTACGGACGATGACATTGTAAACGGCTGATTTACAATCACAGCCTCCGGGTGACCTTAGCACTGCGTCCTGGTTCAGCCGCTTCCCAGGCTTCTTTGATGGCTTTTATCTGGTCCATCCGCTCCGTGTCCTTCGTCATACTGATGCTCTCCGCTTCGCTCTTGTCAGTGACCACACGCAGAGTCCAGTTTGCCTTAGTCAGGTCAAGGCTCTGCACAGAAATGGACGCACACAAATAAAACCACAAAGCACGCATGGACAAAAACACGACGCACACGTACGAAGCGCAAACACATACGAGGCCACAACACCACAATACATAATGAGCCACAGTCAGTCTGGATTATACAGTATGTCCTGTTCAGCTGCTGTAAATAACATATTTCTGATATTGCAGAGTTCATCCTGTCCTCTACCTGCCAATGCCAAAACTAAAATATTCAAAATGGAAATGTATTGACGGGAACCATTATTCTGAAAATCATTGACTTGAGGGTTTGAAACGTACAAAGCATTAAATAAAAGGCACTTACAGAAGATTTGACAACTAAACCAAGTCTATCATACTGAGAATTGTACAATGCTGGTTCATACAGTGTCGTGGTGTTACCAAGTATTACCATTTCCAGCTTGGAGCCAGATTTCAAGTTGGAAGATGGCCTCCCCTTCACCCTGATACCTTCCCCTTTGCGGTTGGCTTTGGGTGTGCCGGATTTTTGCCTTGTCAAGTCAGCGGTCGATGCTCGGTTTAACTCCTGAGGCTTGTGTACTGCGTTGTGCAAACAGAGATTAGATTGGTTACTATCAACATGTGATCAAGACTTGCTCACTACTTAAAACAGCACGACTCATTTGGATGTGTGCACAACGTTCATATCGACAGATATATATATTTCCATTGAGGTGAATTGATCTTCATAATGCTGTTCAGTTTCTAATCAACGTAATCAAAGCTCCTCCGATGTGGGAGGGTGACATTCAGGTGTTGTGTGGTCAAACGTGTGCCAGATGGCACTGTTGCACTTTATAGCTGAAGTGAACACGATCCCCAGTCTAGTCGAAGCATTAAATGAGTCTCGCTCAGATAAAATACATAAAATAAAAATAGAAAAGGCACAATAATCCATCGTTTAACTGACAAGCTGCCATTCTGCCTGAACAGATTTGGTGTTGCATACACATATTGAATGTTCAAATCAGATCAATCAGTGCTGTAATTTCAGGCTTATATTCGTATTAAAAAAAACAGATTTTCAGCTCGCTAAACTTAAATAGAATCTATTTCTTTTTCCTTTTACTAAGAGCCAAAAAGTACCATTGTTTTGAGAAGGAAAACGCTGCACTCACAGCTTGACTGCTCACTATGCACTGGGGTCTAAAGCAGAGATGGTGTTTATGCATTCATTAAACATGCGCAGTTCAATATTTTGACAGCAGCTGGTTAAACAGCTGGTTTAAACGCTGTCAAAGCTTGGCATGTCGTGTATCCATGTAGCATGTAGGGACCATGATCAAGGGCACAGCCTCACCACTGAGACCGAGTTAAACTCGGTGAAATTAATTCACTTTCCTGCTAAGATATTTCCCAGGGCACCACGTGGGGGCAAGAGCCAACTTCATTTGACTTCCCATTGACCCACTTTCTCGGGCCTATCGGAGAACCCACGGGAGGTTTGTGCGGACACGGGCCCACGTGTATACATGCGGAGAAACCCGCGCAAACGTTAAATGCTATCATTTATACATGAAGAGAAAGCACACGCTGAAGACGAGAAGAACACACAGAGTATCTGAGCTGCACGAAATCATTACTGTATCATTACTATAATGCATGTAAACACAGGCTTTGACTTCCTCTGTCGTCAAAATACTTCTGATCACCGTATTTGTGGTTGAGGGATTCCTCCCACGCAGAGACAGAGAGAGGAGAAGAGAACGAGGCTGGCCTTTTCTCTTCAGGCAATTCGTGCAAATTGTCACCCATCCAGCGGCTCTTTTTCACGTCGACGTCCAACCGTGTCGCAATTAATTCATCCCCCTCTGAATTTTTCACGGGGCGTCTGTAGATTTCAAAGCCCCGATTTTACGATCGACGCAGTTTGTGCAGCGCGATTAAAGAAGCGGGAGAGTCGGTTGACGGAGGACTGGGATTTCCGCCTCAGCCAACGACCAGTGGGCACGAGATATCACAGGCTGATCTGCGAAGGCAGCTGTATTCGTTTGGCTCCCGTTCGGCTCGTGATTAACAGGCCCCTGGCGAGTAGCAGCAAAGACAACAGACAGCATCTGCTTGGCCCCTGACACACTGCCCACTGTGTATCAGCCGTATACATCACACTGAACACAAGACGAGCCACGGGCGGAGCAATAAACATGAGGGAAATATTAGAAGATCTACTCAGAAGCATCGCTTGGATGCTCAGACCACGATTCATGTCACTTTACTAAATCGACACGATTATACGTTTTCAAGGGGACCGAATGAAAGACCCCAAGCTCCTTCCCGCCTGTCCCTCGGCTGTGGTTGACTGTTTGAATGTTGGGTTTTGCGCGCGGTGCAGGTGAGTCTGTACCTCTCATTTCGTTCGCCTCCAAGTCTCTGAGCGTGCGGACGAAAGCCAGCTGAGACTGATCCAGATCCCAGGTCTTATAAAGCACCTCTGTCTGCACCACATACTTATGGACCTGTGGGACACGTACGAGCAAAGTCAGTGTACAACACTCATGCAAGACACTACACTACTAACAGAAACAAACAGGCAGCATGATGCATTTGGCATGCATCGCCATAAAAGCACAACCAACATGAGCTGGATGCTGTTTTGTTGACTTTCAGCTGAAAACTGCACTAGCGGGGAGGATTCAAAAGAACTGCACGTTGCTGTGCTCTTTGACAGAAGGAAACGCTTGGCTCAACGGATGAGAGGAGGCAGAGGGCGTGTTAGCCGAGCTTATATCGGAGGTGGCAAGTCCCACATTCATTTTCGCTAAACAAGAAAAGACAGCATTCGTACGAATAGAGCAGGAGGTTGTAGAAAAACTAGGCTGTATTACATCGTCTGGTGTGATGCCTGGGGTTGTTACAGAGCATGATAATTCAGGTTTTTGTGTTGTTATGGCTTCCGATAACTTAATCTCTGCTATAAAGGCCACATTGGAATCTTGTGTTTACATGTGTAGTTAAGTGCAACACAAATTACAATAAAGGAGCCTGTTCCATTGAAATAGCATTACTAAGTGGGCATCAATATGTCTGTTGTGGGTCAACAAAGGCTCAACCCACCCAAAATGACCAATACATTGATCAAATGTCTGAGGCTGTACTCCAGATGTGTTGCTGGTGCCACCACAGTCACACAAATGAATCCCATTTGATTTTATTATCAGACTACAGGTTTGTTAGATAGGTGTTTCTCAAATAATTCAAGTGACTCGTCATCTCGGCTCCCTGACAATCACTGATAAGTCAGACAGTACCAACAAAAGCTCCAAAAACCTCCCCAAGAGGATCTGCTGCTCTACTATTGCAAATGTTGTCTTTGCAAGAATGCATGTGTGGGCGTGTTCAAATGTGTGTGTGTGTGTGTGTGTGTGTGTGTGTGTGTGTCTGCCGTGTGAATGTGTGTAAGGCGTTATGTGTATCTCTGGCAGTGAAAAATTGAAATCAACGCAGGCAGCAAGGAAGTGGGTGACAAAGGCAGAGAGGGGAAGTGAGATGCACGCTTGTGTGTGTGTGTGTGTGTGTGTGTGTGTGTGTGTGTGTGTGTGTGTGTGTGTGTGCAAGTGAGATATGTAAAGTGTTGGAGCAACAGCAGATACCACGCAGGCAGTTGTCAGTGATACCATCGTCTCTGTGGGAGGCTGGAACTGGTCAAACGATGAGTCCTGTTTCCCAGCCGCGCTGTCCTTGTCTCTGTCCTGCGGGGCGTCCATCACCTTGAGTCCTTTGTCCCAGGTGGGGGATCTCTTCTGGTTCTGGTTTTTCTCATCTGTGGAATTAAGGGCTGTAACAGAGAGAAGTTACACTCAGCAGTTCTCTGAGAGGAGGGTGGTCAGCAATCTGTGCTTTTTGTGACTTTTTGGAAGCATCAAGTGAAATGTAAACTAAAGAGTTTGAATAGTTCTAGTTTAATACTTCTTAACGGCTCAGTTCTACTTGTATCTTCTAATGTAATAAAAAAAAATCATTTAAAGTTAATACAATAAAATGCAACAGCAATCTCTCTCTTTCTGCTGCTGTCCAAAATTGCATAGTATGTGTAAGTACATACTCAATGTGAGTGCTATTGCACTGAAACTACCATATCAGTTTATTAAAGCATTCCAGTTGGGGACGGCCTATGACTTTGATTTATGAGCTGAAATCATTTTAAAAATACAAAATGGAATTTTAAAATTCTAAAATATTAGGCTTAAAAAAGTCATCCTTGCCCAAACATTACTGCGGAGTATTTACCCAGCTCTTAGTGCTAAACCCAATGGCAAGTTAGTTGGTGTTTCTAGTATTGTGCAATTTAAGTTGCAGAGTCCTTATTTACTGTTTGTACCGTATCTGGATAGTTAAGAAAAAAACACAGAGTTCAGAATGTCTTTCAACATTAGTGATAACGTTGTAAAAAGAGAACCATAAAGAACAGACAAGAAGTAAAAAGGTCCTATTACAGTAGAAGAGTGAAGCATAAAGACCCAACGCGCAATGTTGTGCGCTGAATCCTGTTTCCTGTCTCTCAAGCAGTACGGGTGCTCCATCTCTTCAATGCGTGTCTGTGTGTTGTATATTAGGTTCACATATGCTATTGTCACTAGTATAACTACAAAAAAAAGTGTGGAACTTTAAAATCCAGTTCAACGTTCATAATTTGACAAATGGAAAAACAGTGACACGGTTCCTGCACAGTTTGACAAATCTTTTACAATGAGCCACAAGAGTTATATTCAACTACCCTAATGACTCACCTTTGTTGGCCAGGAAGAAGAAGGCAGGAATTACCACGTGACCCTTCCCTGTATTGCCGGCGACCAGCTTCTCCTGGTCCAGAACGGACAGACGGATCAATACGTCTGCCTTGGAAGTCTGAAACTGAATTGTTCCCAGGACGTCTGCAGTCACACGCACAAGGAAACTGTGGGAAAGTTTCAAACGATTGAGGGGACCAGTCGTCTTTAACATGGTGTTGTGTAAGAAAATGTGAAAACCTCGCGAGCTTTACTGGTAAAATATGTGCGCTGATTATTGTTAAATCTGGTTTCTAATGATGACGCATCTTAGATTCATATATTGTGGTGAAAGAGAGAATCATCGAGCACTATCAACAACATCTATTTCTATGACCCCCCTCAGGTCCATTCGATTTCAAAAGGAAAAGTATAAATATGACTCTTACCAAAACTATGCTAAAGAAAATATGAAGCGCATAATAAATGAATTTACCGACATACGGTAGCAGTCAAGTTTTTGTCATTGGGAACGTAATAATCCCGCAATTCCTTCACTGAGAACACGTTGAGTGGAGTCTTGCGGGAAAGTTTTGGAAGGTGTTCCCTTGTGCCGATCAAGCGCATCCTCCACTTGGCACCAGAAGGGAGCGACTCGGGTGTGAGGGCCTCTGCTACAAAGGAATATCCAAGCTGGAGAACAGAGAGGGAGCAAAATCAGGTTATGAGACTGATTTAACTAGAGAAGTTCTTTCTTTTAGGGTTTGCTTCTCGTGATCCACAGACCTTGTTGGGTCGATAGACATGGGGGGCCACTTTGTTGAACAACATGTCCAGCTCCTCTCCCGTGTCGTTGTTTATGACGTGTAGCAGACAATTGGGGACTGGGGAGTAGACCTTTGGAACCAGCTGCATCTCCTTATGAACCTGGAACACCTCTCTTAACAAAGTTAAAAGAGGTTTTTTAAAACCATTTTTGTAGAAGTTTTATCTCGATTCAGCCAGATTTCCCCGAGCCAGGTCTGACATTTGCTAACAAGTATAAAATCCCACTGCTCTCTAACCTAAAGACCAAGACCCAGGAGTCGGCTGCGTCGGGAAGAGAGACGGAGTAATCGGCGAAGGTGACCCTGGTCCATTCATCCCGCTGACAGGGGTAGAGCTCTGCCCCCTCCGAGTGGTCAATGATGTAGCTGCGCAGAAAACACGAAAGCACGGAGCACGTTGAAATTTAAATTTAAATGAAATATTGAAACCACAATAAACTACTTGTAGAAACATCGCTCGGAGGTAGCTGATTATGAGTCATATTCAATAATACTTGCATCTCAGCGTGAACTCAAGTGGATGTCAGCTAAGAAGAAAACATGCTCAAGGGTTCACAAAACACAAGCGACCCCTTCTCTACACACACACACACACACACACACACACACACACACACTGACCAAGCTCCTAATGCTCATGCACACACATACTTCCCCAGGCAGCGGGTCATTCGGCAGACGCTGCTAGCCGATTGGAACAACGAGAGGATAAACAGCAGATGGTACCACTGGGAAAAGATGGAACACAATGTGGAAAATGCTCCCCGCCTGGCCGCCACAGGCCGCCACAACCAGGAGGAGGAGGAGGAGGAGGAGGAGGAGATTGTGGGCATGCAGTGCAACAGAGAGGCTGAATGCAAGCCGTACAACGCACACAGCGTTGGCACAGGACTGTGTGTACGGGAGGCCTCGTATCCTTTCACTTAAGAACATCCGTGCGAGTGAATACCAGCTATAGGTTAATGACTTGTGAGACGTCTACGTGTGTACAGCTGACACATCGCGTGAACATTATTCACTCATGTTTCATCAGCATGTTGACACATTTTATTACATTTACCGGAGCAAGAGGGCGGCATGTTTTGCTGCATCCGATTCCACCTTTGGCCACATGTCTAAAAATATCTTAGACGCAGTGAGTTTCTCCTTTGTGCCTGAATGACATGAACACACACACACACACACACACACACACACAGATACACAGACACAAAAGAAGCCACAATCAAAGATGTTGTTCCGTACAAAAGGCATTTCGCTTCATTCAGTGGGTGGAGATAGGAGGACACCTTCACATTACCTCTCACGATCATCTCACCAGACAGGCAGCACTCCGACGGAACCGATCATTCGACAAAAGATGCGGAACCGCGTCTTTATGACTACGTGTGCATCAGTAGCTGTTTTTTCGTTCACATTAGGTGAGAGAAAGCCTGTGAATAGACAGCTGCACGATAGAAGTTATGGGTCCTCACAGCTTTCCTCCTCCTCCTCCTCCTCTCCCGTCCTACCGTTCAGCCCTCGCTTTTTCAAATTGCCACTTTTCCAAATTGGTACAGCTATTACAGCAGGCCATTGGCCCAGGCAGGCTATTGAGAGATGGAGACGTCCTATCGCCGTTAGAACCAAAGAGGTTTCCCTTCACACATACAAAGTGGAGAAGAGCAATGTGGTGTAAACAAGTGTGCTGGCAAATGAGAACTAAGACAAAGAAAACGCTTACTTCTCTTAAACAAATGTCTTTTCACTTTTTTTTTTAGCAAGCTCATTTTTTTATAACCCGGTGTTTTGCCATCACATGACGCGTCGCTCTGAAGGCTGCACTTTGGGCTTTGACAAGTAAATGAATACAATTTGAGGCAAATTGTGTGTACGTGCCACACAAACCCCAACAATACTCTGCAGATTGATTTTATCACGTTGTGGATCTTTTGGTTGTTTGCAATGCTCAAATTGAATTTTCAAGACATAGAAAACATGTATAAATCTTACACAATTGTACTGTGCTGTTTGAAGCAAACAATGCATTCATGAGACGTGCGTATTGCCAAATGCGAGCTATTCAGATGGGGACAGGGTCCTGTGTTGTGTTAACTTCAGGTCCAGAGAGAATGTAATGCTGCAAACAGCGATGCACCTGTTTATTCACAGATTATTACCACCACTTCTGGAGGACATTGGATATTAAAAACAATCTAACCAAAAGCAAACAAAATTGAACAAAAGCAACACATTATTCCAAAGAAAACCTTGATGAATCAATTTAGCTGCCCAGCTCTGTCTATTTCTCATTGTTTCCTACAAGCTGTTCATTTCCATGTTTTGTTTGGCTATTGAAAGAGGAATGTTTTGTGCATGTGTTCCCTCCGGGTGTGCAGATCCCCTTTGTGGCCACCACTCATCTGTCAAGGTGCGTTAGCAAGAGCGGGAGTCTCATCAATACCTATTTGGGCCTCCGCTCAGAGGCTCGATAATGCCATCGGGCGTGCTCAAACAATGACGTAGGGGAACAGAAGGGGTTTTGTGTGTGTTTTCAGACAGTAAATAATAGATCTCGAAACACAACTATTCTGTTTTTTTTTGTTCCCCTGATGTAGATCCTTTATCCACCCAAAATGTGGCTTCATGTGTTGCCTTTCTGAACCTACAGCGGAACTTAAAACTTAGTGTTTTATACAATTGAAAATGAAGGATAAAACTCGAACCGGAATATTCGGTTTGAATGGAGACTTTTCCATGTGTATGAGTGCTTTTACCTGATTTCGAGGCATTCAAAATTTTTCTCGCCGAGTGTCCTCTGAATGCAGCCTGCAGAACGACGGCTGCCTTGACCTCCCCGTCTGTCGGCTCCCTGTCGCTCCAGCTTTCTGGAGGCTTTGATGCTCCATCCACTTCATCGCAAGTTAATATTGAATGGTGAACGATAAGAAAGGCCAGTTAATTGGAATCAGTTCACCGTCGCTTTACACCCTAACATACGTAGGTGGACAATGTACAAGATTAACACACAAATAGGACTTACATGTAGGGGAGTGTATTTTGGGGTCGTTGGCCAAGAGTGAGGGGTCAATTGTGAGGGCGACTACGGCAAACCGCTCCTCTGATGTCAGCTTCCTGCCCAGAGCCTCCAACAGCATTTTGTAAACCGCAGAGTTAAAAACCTACACACACACACACACACACACACACACACACACACACACACACATAAGCGTCTGATTTGTCAACATCATTACAGGTATTTACAATCTACATCATTGTTGGTTAATTGGAATGAGAGTTGGAATAAGAGATTATTCATTATCCTCAGACAAAACCCTGTGTTCCGTCAGTGAACTTATTTACTTATTTACATTTACTTTTTGTACTTTTACCACTGTCTGTCTACAGGCATCTTAAGAATGAAAATAATTTAAAAAAGCAAAAGCAGTGATATTTAAATGAAACAGACAATGAGTATTAGCTTAATACAGTTTATATCAGTAAGCATCTTGGCTGTTCAGAACTGATCATTGTCCATAGCTATTGAAACTAAAACAATTGAGATTTCAACCAAAGAAAATCAAAAGTCTGTGGAAATCTGTGGCATTGGTGATGCAACATAAATGGTAAGTCATTCATGCGTAGAACACGTAGGACCAGGTGGACAAGCTACCTTGCGGTGTTTCCTTTTTTCCTGGGGGGTGTTGATGTTTTGGGGGCAGTGAGCCTCTTCCAGAGTCCCTCTGGCTGCTGGCTGGTCCTGCTCGTCGCTGAAGGAAGACACCAGTCTGGACAGTCCTCTCCATATGGACGAGGCCTGGTCAGTGAAACGAGCACTTTCCTGTTGAAGGACGAGAAATGAGTGAGGCAGCAAGCGTGCATGTTACATAGAGGAGAAAAGAAAAGAGATAAAATGTAATGTCAAGTCTACCTTGGTAAGTTGTGACATGACGGCTTCTTCGTCCCCGAACGTGAAAGGCGTCTCGCTGCAAAGGCGAACGTGGTAGCCCAGTGCTGCCTTTGTGTGGATGGAAAAGACGTGGCGCCTGCCAGAGAGAGGAAGGAAACTCTTAAAACCAATAACCCTTCCACATTGTTTTTAGCTTGTGATGCATCATGAAGGTGAAGGCTATTCATGACTTCACTGGCTGCACATGTTTCTTCGCGGTCGATCACAGAAGGATGTGGTCTTCTCAGAGAGCTTAACATTTTTTAAAAGCCTGCAGAAATCCAACTATGGTGATTTTCAATAATAAATAAATGGTAAGACAAAATGCCAAAATGTTTCTTTTTGTTGATTATCTCACAACTTCTCTTATTTATCTTGGACCCCCTTGCGGCTCCTGACCCCCAGGTTGGACTCTACAATTCACTTAATTCTTTCGTTGCAGTTACTAAGAGAAATAATCTCTAAATATTAGGCAACTCAATTTATGAAACAGAGCACAGAGGTGACGCTCGACCAAAGGCCGCGTCAAGTAATATTAAATGGGTCAATAAGTCAGAAGTATTGTAGCCTGATGTTCTGCGTTAGTGCCAAGCTGAGTTCCCAAGGCCCTATTAGCTTTTCATAATTCAGACCACCACAGCCTAACTAGATGGACGATAAAGTATAATTTATAACGTGAAGAGTCTGGAAGAAAGGAAAAGAAATAGAAGGAGGAAAAGATGTAAGGTGCTGACCAAAAGCCGGGCCGTTCTCTCTTGGGGAGAGTGTACTATGGGGCATACGGGCAGGATAAGTTGAGTGCTGTGAGTTGTGATTATGGCTCAGTGGTAATTGCACTGCTGCATACCTGCACCTGACCCCGGAAACTAGGCCCCCCGCTTCTAGGCCAAGTAGCACCCATTAATAGAGACTAGGACAGAGGCGTGGCACTGCTTTTCAGAGCATTTGAGGTAGGCAGATATGCTCTGCTCATTTTGTGATGGCCTTAAGTAGATCTCGCTTGGCTGTAAAAATCATAACAAGGGTGAAACTCTTTTTATCGAAATCTCCCGAGAGTGCTGTCCAGAAAATGCATACATTTTCATAATAGGTTCCCATGATGGGAATTAAAGCTCTAACCTTGGCATCATTAGTGCACCACTGATGAGCTCTTATGGTAATTTGGGGCTAGGACATGCGGGAAGAGCGAAGACATATATTTAAGATTATTATGTTAAATACACATAAATCTATGAGTTTAAACGGCATCAGAAAATTGTTTAAAAACTCTGCGATGAGACTGGAATGGTCACACAGGTTAAAGCTTCTTTTTTTTTTGCAATTAGAGAGTGAGATTTTAATTGTGGTCAATACCTAATCAATAGAATACATGATACACACATGGTCCTACCCGGGGGATAACTTCAACGTGGTGGCCCCTGAGCAGGTAGTCTGGATGGTGAGCACTGGCGGCTGGGAATGCAGACTTTTCCAGGAGTAGGGTTGGACGATGAGGACTGAAGACATACACGCTGCATACCTTTCCTTCTCTGCGAGGCGTTGGAGAGGAGGAGAGATGTGCCGTGCAGGGGAAAATCACAAACATCGCAGGTCACATTCGTGGAATGTTCATACATCAGATGCTGGTGTGGTTTGTGGTTTGTTGAGTTTTAATTGGCTTCTACTTCAGCAGGGCCACGGATTTATCGACTTATGAATAGGACAGTAGAGTAGTAACTGTAGTAGGCTACAGATATCATTTGCCTTGCGGCTGTTAGAGACCTGAGTCAGGCTCCTTCCATTATATGCGTCACAAAATCATTTTGTGTGGATGAATCCTTACTCTCCTGAGCCACATTTCCCCAGAGAAGCAGAACGGAGAAACTGATGAGTATCTGGGCGGGTTGCAGGCTGTCCACACACAGGTAGTGAGTGCCTCTCACCTCTGGACACTGGTAGGGGGGGTGAGGGGGGGGCAGCTACAGAGACACACATGCACACTGGCATGAATGATCAGGATGAAAGCAGAAAAGGGAAAGAACAAGTGAGAAAGAGAAAGAGCAGAACGCTGTAGGGAGGGATGATAGATGGACTTAGTTCAAGTGGAAAGTGGAGGAAAACACAAGGGAAGAGAGGGCAAGGAGGCAATAAGAAGTACCAAAGAGCTGACTGAGTTAATGAAGCTTTTTTAGGTGGTTACTTGCATTGTGGATTTTGTAATGTAAGAAGATGCATTCAGTGAGAATGGAAGCGAGGAAGACAAAGCAGGAGATCGAGAGAGATGTGCAGAACAGACGGAGAGAGAACAAGAGGAGAGGCAGAGAGCGCATACGTGTTCAGAGTGACAAGCAGACTCAGCAGTCTATGAACACAGAGCTGCAGTCACACACTAACACACACTGGCACTACTTTCACTAAGTTTCCGTTGTACTGAAGCCCGTGAAGCAGATAGCGGGTACGTTTATAATTTATCCTCAGATGCCCCTCATTACTTACAAAGCTTTGCACAATCTTTAGATCTCCTTGTATTGCTGATCATTCAGGAAGCTGCATCTGTTTTTGGTACCTCAGATAAATGACAAGAGCCCAGACCCTGAAACAAACTGCCACTTAATGTTAGGGCGGCAAACCTTGTGGCAGTCTGGGAAAAGGTCACGTAATAAAACACCAGTAATTAAAGGTGTAGCTATTTACGAAATGCCAAAGATCTTTATTTTATGATGTTTCTACTCATCAAACTATCCTATTTCTTGCAATATCTAAAGCTCAGATTCTTAGAAATACTGTAATTCCCCCACGGACTCTCATGTTATTTGTTAAATGATCATATCTTCACACATTTACTCTAAATATTAATGGTGGAGTAGTAAATGAGTTTTGAACGGTGCTCTGCAGAACACAACAGCTAAATTAACAACAATCCAATAGCAACCAAAAGGATTATTATCGACAAGACACGTGTGGGAAAATGAATGGGAAATACAGTCACTGGGTTCCTACATATACTTTACCTTAAAATGGGATTTGTGGAAATGATGTGGGTAGATTTGCGGTTTATGAAAAACCAAGAGTGACCTTGAGGAAAATGACAAATAAAGGCCAGTCACTTATTTATCTTAGTGACTTAGATTGTAAAAACGATTACAATCTTTACCGCATAATTGTTGAAGCCCTGCAACCATCTTTATCTGTCTAGACTCTGCGTTCTACTGGCATAGTATGTTTGCAGTGCATAAGAAAATATTTGTGTCTGTGTGTGCGTGTCGCACTGAAAGCATTTAGCAAAGTCATCTAGGTCCATCCAGGTCTGCTGCAGGACGGGTTTGACGGGAGGCGAGGGCTCCACGGCTACCGCCTCCTTCAATGCAGATTTGGGTCTATCTGGAAGGGAGATTCATTCACGATTAACATTTGTATTTAGACATTTAGTTCGAGGTACCGATTATGAAGTAAATTGCTTAACATCAGCCATTGTTGTTAATAGAACTCTGCAGCATTGCAATGCAGTGAAAAACGACTGCCTTATTAAGCTAGAAGCGTGATAGTTGAATGGTGCTTTTAATGCTAAACTAACAGACATAGAATTACCTGAAAATCTCCCATTTCAAAATGCCTTTCCTCTTGTGACTCACAGTAAGCTATCCTAGATTCAAATCATTATCTTAAACACAGTGAGCCGAATTGGACCAACTCCCACATAATGGCACGGTGTAAGCGCACACGCACATCCATACTCCCACTCGCCGACTCGCACACTTTCTCAACGCAAAGTCATAGACAACTGCACACAGACAAAAAAAATAATAAATCAGACATGCGCACATTTACACAGTTGCTCTGCCCCCGGGCTCTTCTCAAAGTGAGAAGTCTGATCAGAAAGCTGAGGCGGCGAGGGCCAGCGTCTCTGCTGCTGAGCAATCGTGGTCCGCTAACTTAGACTGCAGGTGTTACTAGGCAACTAAACGGGGGCAGAGAGAAGGCAGGGAACTGGCTTGTCATGAGGCATCATTTCAGTCCCATCTTCTTCAAAGTGTTTCGGCCAACCGACAGAAGCACGGAGAGCAAGATGGAAGGAGTAGATGCCAGAAATGGAAATATTGATCGCTTACTTTTCATATCTATTATGAATCTGGTTACACGTGCGCTGCTCAAATCGGCCAACAATGAAGACCTTTAATATTTGCAGTAAAACTGAATTAACGAGGATAAGCCCCTTTCTTGTTAGCCTAACATTTGACCTCGGATGAGATCATCTTGTGTGCAGATGTATATTTTCAGCATTGCAGAGGAACAGCTTTTTACCATTGGAGATGTGATCGTTGTCCTTCTTCACGTCCTTTGCAGTAACCTTAGGGACAGAGAGAGAGAGAGAGAGAGAGAGAGAGACAGGCACGAACAGTGAGTTGCTGCTGGAGTAACACTGCCAGAGTTACTCCTCCGCCCTCTAATGGTTCCAGACCAGCTGTGGTTTTGGGCCTTCTCGGGACACACAAGACGTGGTTTAATGTGCCATGGGCTGCTCCTCTCCACCAGGGAATACCAGCTCTAATACACTTTGACTGTCAGTGACGGATGAACAGTTACGTCGATTAGCGCCTTGCCTCTTTTAGCGGGGTAATTATTTAACGGCTCGAAAAAAAGAAATCAGTCATGCCCGTCTGCCCATACACAATAGAGGGGTACAGCTAATGGGTCATTATCGAATCCTTCAAATACCGCACGTACTTCTGTCCGAACGAGGGACAAGATGATGTGATCCGGAAAAAGAGCATCACTGCTGCGTGGATAACAAAGTGAGATTCGAGTGGTGCACCTGCATCAACCTGCTTAACCGGAACCCTTCGTCTGAAGTTCGACTCCGTTATCACAAAATGCTCCTTTGAGAAAATATCCCGATCATTGTTCAACACTACTCAGATCTGAATAAAAATCTTGGCTTTGTGTAGTGTAACTTCAAAGCAATCCCAGCCAAGACTCTCTGGGTGAGTCAGAGTGAGTGACTGTGTGTGTGTGTGTGTGTGTGTGTGTGTGTGTGTGTGTGTGTGTGTGTGTGTGTGTGTGTGTGTGTGTGTGTGTGTGTGTGTGAGTCACCACTTATTTGAATAAGTACCCGGAGACCCAGACAGACGGAAAGGCATCGTGATTGTGGGGTACTCTCGACATCTTCTCTCTGCACCAGAGCAACACTCTCACTGGAACAAAAAATGTAAATGTGTGCATTTTATCTGTAAAGGTATGTGCAATCCACCCACAGCGGGATATTTATCAGATGGTTCCTCTGTGTTCAGCGAGAGGATGCACAAATATCTCACACAAAAAGGTCTCAGGGCTTTAAGCTGCTACTTTTGGAGCAGCAGAGTCCCGATTTTCTTTGATCAAATCACACCTATGGGATGATGGGTAGACAAGGGCATATTTATTTAATCCCACACTCCATTGGCCGTTATTCCCCACAGCCAGAGTTAAGTATTTGCTGTCCAAGAAACTATTTCCGTGTCAGCCAAAAGGGTATTCACAGTTAAACCATCTAAGTATTTTACCCGCGCTAATGTTGAGAGCGTGGGCCACACAGGGTGTTAGGGACAGCATGTTACGCGCCCTTCCTTTATTTAAGGAGCTTGGCACAGAGGTTGAAACGGTTGGCCAACGTCTGCAGAAGCAAAGGTAGGAGTGAAGAGAGCCCCTTCTCCCTTGAGCACGTGACACCGCCACATGCTCGCGAAGAGCGGGAACACACACCGAGTGCAAAAATGGGGCACACATACACAAACCAATCCGCATGAGCGCACGTTCGCATGCACATCAAGCCCCAAATGACACATCAAATTAGCATGTCCATACTGCCCGAGCCCAACCGCTCTATAACTGGTCACAGTTACACAAGAGGGCGATTAATATGGACTATTTTTTCTCTGTATGCTAGGAGTGAAGTGTAATAATGAACCCCCCCAGGAGACACAGACACTGATGGCTCACCATCTAATTGCACTGCTTTTTTCATCAGCACAGTACACGACCTCTCGCTGGATGAAACCCACGCACCCGGTTCACCACCACGCCAGAGGTTTTCTCTTTTTGCATATCAATGAGATTGCTGCTCTGCTTTCATCTCCCCCCTGTCCAACTTGTCACTTTTGACCCATTTTTTTCCAGTGCCCCCTTCTTTATCCCCCTTTACCATTGCTTCTGCTCTCATCTCTGTGTCTGTCTGTCTCTCTGTGACGCTGCCCGCCCTCATTTCGCCCTCGTTTCCCTTCCTTTGGTGAGCGAGTGCCGCTGGTCAGTGGTGGCCTGGCTGGGAGACCGCAGAAGTGACTTTGAGGCTGGGGGATGGCAGCCTTGTTCTCGCTGGCCGATAAGCCTTCAAATGCATACTTACAGAGCGGACAGTGTGGGGACCGGGGGACGAGGACGGGGACGGGTTAGACCTCAAAATGAAATACAGCTGTTACCATCTATCCCTCTGTGCTTCACAGGTCCTTATGCCTCTTTAAATAAATCTTATTATCGACAACACGATGCTCCTTAAAATGTTAAACACACACACTGAATATGTCAATTGTCTCTCTGTCCCAGCGGACATCACTTCTATGTACCTCCATTTTGTCTTTCTTGATGTTTGTTGAGCTGGCGGCGCATTCAGCTGCATCTGGCTCAAGGCCGTCTTCGGCATCCACTCTCTCAGCAATGGACACCAGAGGGGACCCGTGGGGACATGTCCTCTGAATGCTCCGCTGGGCCTTTCTGTTAGGGGACCCGTGGGGACATATCGTCTGAATGCTCCGCTGGGCCTTTCTGTCATGTGGACGCACAGCACATGCATGCGTCATATCACATGATCACAAACTAACACGGAGACGCGTGTAGAAGCAACCGACAATGCATGACACATAGTAGTAAAATGACAGGAAAACACCGTAACACTTATATTAATCATGTAGGTAAACATTTCCTAATGTGATTATAGTAAAAGTTGAGTGGGGAGAAAAGGAAATCGTAATATTGTCGGCTTTGACACCAAAATAGTTTGAATTTTTTAACCGATACCTGTTTGTCTTTCTACTGTTGAGTAGTAGTAGAGTTGGAGGTACAGTAAAAGGATGACGAAAAGACTAAGAAGATCATGATAATTTCCCATTTTCATCCCAATACAGTCAAGGGAGCAGGACACCAGTAAATCCCCATTACTGTTTCAGTTCAGATTATTTAAGTTTACACACCGCTCAGGTATCAGACCACCGCTGCTCTTGACAGGAAACTGGAGAAAAGGGCTGGCGATCTCAATGAACTTCTCTGGTTTTGACAAAGGAGGCTCTGAAAAAAGAGAAACGGATAAAAAATAAATCTCTTCCATCATGCCAGCACGGCTTTTTCACACACGGACTCTTTTCACTGAATTTTTGGTTTCACCCACAGATAAGCTGATGTCAGATATGCCCGAGCCAGCAGCTATTTTCATTGCAGAAATATTGCAGCTATCCTCCTTCTTTTTTCATTTCAGCATGCCCTTTGTACAGCAGACCTGATCTTAGCATTAGCACTCACTCACTCACTATAAAATTCACTATAAAATTCACCTGAGCTTTATCATTTTAGTTTTTCTATTCGTTTGATATCCTGCCCTGCATCCCCCTCCTTGTTTCACCCTCACAGCATTTTCTTCATTTCCATCCCCCTTCATTGTCTTCCACCCACTTTGTGGTTCAGCGGTGACTGTGATCTCCTTCCGCTGGCGGGTGAGTTTCCATTGGGGTACAGGTGGAGGTTTGGGTGGGGCTTCTAGCTGGCATCCCCTGGTTCTTGTCAGAAGGACAATGTGGCTGCGCATTAAGGAGAGGCCGTACTGCCGAAGACACTCGGAGGAGGTAGCCTGTGCATGTAGGCAAATAAAGATACATGCAGTGCTCTCTTGTTAAAATGATACTGATACACTTGTAACCAACTCTACATGTGTATCAAAAGGATGAGGAACGAGGTGATGTATCACCTCCAACAAAAGGAAATCCTGTCTAATAATCATCCCTTGCATAGATGTAAATAATAAAACAAGTGAAGCCTGTTCAGGAGAAGCATCCAAATAGAACACACCAAGCCCCCAGGTCGCAAGCACTGTTATGTTTCATCTCCACCACCCACCGTTATTTTCGGGATCTAGAACATTTTTACATTACTGTTCTGTATAACAGAGGCGGGGGGGTTAAGTACTGAAAGTACATTGCTAAAGTGAAATGTCCTCATTGAAAATGATTGTGTCTCTATATTTGTTTGATTCCACATGGGTCAACACAAAAAACAGCAGGAAGGTCTCCACGAAGGTTAAACCTTAAAGATGCTTTAAAGTGGGATTGGGACACACGCAAACCTTCAAGGACATGACAGTTGTTTACTGGTATGATGATGCTCTTATATTACTCCTTAATGCACTCCATAGGTCATTGATAGTGCTCCTTTAAAGTTTGTTACCCCTCAAAACATCATTGAAATCCTCACTGAGACATTCTGGCGAGATTACCTCCAGGGTACGTGTTATTTGCATCAACAATGTGATTATCTCTACTATGGGGGTCCAAATCTGTAATGAAGCTCTGAACAGTCTACATAGGTGAGAACTAATCTTTATATATGCAAATGCATCTAGTTATTGTTATGGTTGAAGTACAAAGCTTGAAATGCATTGAATGAGCTGTTGTTTGCATATCCAGCGATAGGGAAGGAAAGAGAAAAAAAGATCAACCATTTGTCCAAACAGGAGGGGATTGTTCTGTGGCTGTAGTTGGTAGTCGCTGGCACACACCACTACTCCAGGGGTACCTAAGGAACAGGTAGGTATCTTGTTAATACAAACTCACACAAACGCCAACATGTACGCACATGCAAATTGACAGACATTGGACTAAAAGAGTGCCATCAACCAATGGAAAGCAAAGCTGCCATAGACTACACACATTTTCCAAATCAATGTAAAATGTCAATCCGGGAAGAATGAAAGCAATGTTGGCCTCCATGGGGATTAATAAGGAAAGAAGAGCGTATCTAGGTTATCAATGGATGTCCCTGTCCTTTGTGTATGAGCAGGACACGGGACAGTAGACATTGAGATTGAGATTGGGATTCAAGCACTGCTATACTAATAAAAAAGATACACATCTGCATAGTGATTTGAGCATTCCAATTCGTGCATTTCAATGGAATTTTACAGAGAGCATCAAAAGAAAAAAATAGAATGAATGTTTCAAAGGTTTTTTTTTCTCGTGTTCGCATGCTTGTATCTGAGCACCTTGTATTCCACTTGCGTGAAGGATAAATGTCCTGGGAAGTAACACTGTGTGGCATGTTAATACATTATATTAGCAGACTTTTGCAATGTTAAACATGTGGAATCACAGGAGGGGTCAGTATGACCCAAGCAAGACGGAGGGAATTGAATTAAAACGGCGGCCCACTCGTGTTAATGTGAAGGTGTTATTTTTAACCCTCAAATACGCCGTTACCGTAACGCACTATTTTCTGAGAACACAATCCTGCCTTCATAACAAAACCACATTTGACTTAGGAGACTCTTCTGCCCTGCAGGAACACCGAATAATTCACCCTGCCGCTGCTCCCTCTGCTGGTTTATTTATAGGCCACCATAGACACACCCTCCCTACGCTACATAATGCATTGGCTTGGGAAAACAGGAAGTGATGCTTGAAACATCAGGAAAAGAGGCACAGGGCCAATGGCTGTCAAATGTAGTTAATTGGCAAAATGGCATGTTAGTGACCAACGAGCTGGAGTTTCCCAGTCCTAAAGTAACTCTCCGATCGATACTAAGCGTGTTAAAAGGTTTATTACTTCTTTAAGAAAATTGAATCATTGAGAAGTTTTTAAAGGACAATGAAATATTCATTGTTATTCACCATAGAAGTTGAATTATGGATGCAGAGGGGGGGGAATAGAGATTTACACACTGTGCATTCCCGCACACATACTGTATACAAATATGTAGTACAGTCCTGCACATATAGACGGACAACGGATGATTGGTTCAATTGACTAACTCAATTAAGTGTCCAAGCAAACTGTGTTATTGAAATGTATGTTTCCGTATATGCACGTGTGTCTATTTGTTTGCCTTTCTGTCTTTGCGCGTGTGTGTGTGTGTGTGTGTGTGTGTGTGTGTGTGTGTGTGTGTGTGTGTGTGTGTGTCTGTTCACAGTTCAGACCTTTCCTTTTCTCCGGCTCTGGCAGCAGACTATTGGCGTCATCACAGCTGGAACGTCTAACTGCAGCTGGATCTACAGTCAGAGGCTTCGTCTCCGGCAAACTGTCATCTGGGTGTGTAAATATGGGAATGGTGCCTTTTAAGAAATCCCATGTTTTCTCCAAGTATAGAGACCTGAGAGGAGGTAAAGAAACAATGTTACAGGCGACAAGGTTACAGGCGACAAGGTTACAGGCGACATCATGGAAAATAGAAGGCACAAGGTCCCAGACACAACTGAACATGTTTGCGGAAACCAGTGTGGAATGAAGTTGGAGCTGTTTCTTCACCACGTCAGATTGTTTGTGATAGTTGCTAAGCTAACTTGTTAGCCTAGCAGTTGAACCTGGCTGAAAATGACGCATCAGACCATGATATTGGGCACAATTTACTGGATTACAACATCTGTGGGGATGTGTCAGTCCAAATAAAAGGAAATTGGGGGGGAATAAAATATGGTTAAATGGCTCTTTCTTGATAACAGTAGTAGTGGTTGATGTATTTCAAATGTGGTGCGTGTGTGTGTGCACAAAGGGCCGCAGGCCCAGGTGTCTCAAATGGATGTGGAACACAAACACTGCCACGCTCAGGGCTGTACGTGTTGGTCGGTTCCCGAGGCGAGCCGCTAAGCAGCCATCCTGCTGAGCAAGAGGAGAGAACGCTCCCCAGCTCGGCTCCAAAACACTGTCGCCCCATTAAAGTTCCATCACTGGCAAGCGGCGATTCTCTCCTCCACACTGCCTCTCCTCTTCTTCATTAGAAATGTCCTTGTTGTTTTAGCCTTGAGTTTGTTTTCTCCCAAAGAGTGACTTTGTATATTACTGTTGACGAATGCACTTTTCTCTTCTTTTTCTTTGTTCCAGTATGCTTTATAAATTAGGAACAATTTGCAACTAGTCAGACTGTGAGTGCATTTAGAGCAACAGCCTTTATTGTGATCAAACTAAAAATAGTCAGTTCTCACAAGTATTCCGTTAACAAAGGCAAAATCAGAGTTATACTTTACTTACATATATTATTTAGCACAAGACGCAGAGAACCCCGGGATAAGAATGGAGGAGACCAATGAGGACCTTACTTTATTGGAGAGATTTCGGGGATCCAGCCAGTGAGGGTGTGGATAAAAGTGAACTCTCCCATCTCTCCGTAGACCTCAGACACTACACTGAGAAACGCACAAGTGACTGTTAAAAAAAAAAGAAAAAGACAGCAGTGCAAGACAGCACAGACACCATTCAAACTACTTATGTGGCATTTGGCCCTGTTGAACTTGTGAGGTCGCGGTTAAACCCATGACAAAGTCGCATAGCAACTCACAATACAAACTAATCATCATCACTCTCTTGTTTTCTGTCTATATTTGGCAACATGTTTAGGAATGACACCTTAATGAAGGATGCTAAGCTAACTGACTGACTAACTGCTTATATTGAGGAGTGTGTGGGAGAAGTTTAGTACTAGTTGAATATGTAGCATTTCCCCCCATGACTCATGAATAATTCATCAGGAGAAAGGCTCCTTTGTTTCCTGTCTTGGATGAAACATTTATGCCTTGAATATGTGTGGACACAGCCACCTTTAAGCACGCTTTGCTGCCCCATCACAGACACACACGGTACCTGTCCGTCACCGAAATTCGTGAAAGCCCAAGACAGAGATTAGGTCAGGCGGAGGTTTGGCTTATTCCGCAAAACGCACTGTGTGGATCTGCACGTGCATTAACGTGCGCTTTATACTCCAGTTTACTTTGTTGGATTCAACACGCAAATCAACCCTGAATTATCCTGATAATGAGTAAAGTGTCCTCTGTAAAGCACGATAAAAGAAAGACGCACGTTCTCTCTCATCGTGGCGATGCCTGAGCCAGCAGCTAAAGGCACTAACCGCACGTAATAAGGAAAATATGCTGAGCGAGCGAACAGTGCTTTAGCTTAGGGGGTAACTAGAGGGTCTACGCTTCCATGACGACGCTGTTATCAGGAGAGCAGTCTGCTCCTCGGCCCTCTGACTTAAGACTATCTTTCCGGTTCATATCTACTGAGATCTGTGTGTATGTTATGGTGTGAGAGTACAGCGACTCACTTTGTGTTGGCCACTTTAATAAGAGCCTTGGCCAACAACATTGGCCACAGCTCCGACTGACAGGCGGAGGCGGGAAGGAGAAGGTTGTTTTCTTCGTCAAACGGCATGGAGTCATCTACCATTATCTTCCTCCAACAACCCTAAAAGCGAGTGAGGAAGACCAGCTGAATTCCCCGCTCAGAATCCATCCAAATGTAACTTCAGAACCAATTTGCATGTTAGAGGAAACTTGTCTAAAGTCCCCAAATCCATTAACGAACAGTACCGAACACCAGCAGATGGTGGCGGAGGACACGGCCTCTATAAAGGTGCACATTCCAACACCTCTCCTTGCATTAGCTACCTTATGCTTGCATATCCTGTTTGGTTGTCAAAGCTTGTTAAATGCTGTCTGTCTACTGGCCATCTGGGCTGTTTCACACTTAAAAAAAAAAAAAAGCGGCACAAACAGGTGATAATTTGACTGTGACTCACAGCTGTGCCTCTGCTTCTATCAGAGCAGTGTGCACATGCAGGAATAGATACAGGAGGCGAGCACGCTTGCTTTCTCGCTTGCATGCTTGGTCTTCCACTTTTTTGTCAGGACATCGCCTCGAGGAGGAACTCGTTCGCAGATGGAGCAAAGTAGAGTGTGAAAAGAGGACGGAGACGAGGAAAGGCGGGAAAGGAGAGGCTGAGTTGTAGGACGGAGAAAATCCAGGTGACAAAAATGAGAACGCAACAGCAGCGTGGCGGAGAAAAGTAATTGGTGTGCAACAATAAAGAACGATACGAGCGGGGTGGAATGAGAGGTGCGGTTGGGGGGGACTGCGTGCTGCATGCAATCTCAACAACCATCTGTTAGCGTGCAAGGGTTGGCACGGGGGCCGCTGCCTACGACCGTGTCATGCTTGTTTGTCAAGGCAAGAGTCACGGTGTTCCAGAAGACAAGCATTTTTAGGGCCGTCCTTTTTTTCACTCTCACTCTCGCTGACCCAAATTGTTGTGCTGGAAGAAGTTCCCTGTCTGAGATGACACATTTATGCAGCATCCCCTACTTAGAGATCTGTGGCAAGCACCACACTCACTGAAAGACGGGCGCATCGCAATGCAGCGATGAGCTTAATTTGAAGAAAAAAGAAATCACACTTGAAAATAATCGATAACATTGTCTCATCGACAAAGAGGCGTTGTGACTTCATCTGCGGTTGTGTCAGCATTTTTGAGTTTCTCAACCAAATCTTAGATGACTACGTGTGAACGGGTGTTGGTGCGTGTGTGTGTGTGTGTGTGTGTCGGCCTCACCATCCAATAGAGTCTGACCACGTATTTGCCATAGTCGTTGTAGAGAGGCACGTGGCCTTTTTCCACCTTACACAGCGAGTAGATGTGCTCCCAAGGTCTCCAACGATCCTTTTCTGTGCCTTCGTGCAGCGTCCAAACAATGCAGATCTCACTGATGAGCCGCCTCATCAGCTTGATGAAAAATGGGAGAGAGAAGGGAGAGAAAGGTAATCGGTTGGCTGAATCATCAATTATCAATCATTGACTAAATGTAAAGGGTTAGGTAAATCCAACGTCTGAATTACACGTTACAAGTGCTGCGTGATACTGGCTAAAAGTAGACACTAACCTCATTGCAAATAAGATGATCATTGGGGGAGAGCAGGTCAAAGGAAATTTGATTTTCAACAACGGTGAGAGCCTAAAGTAAAGCACATCATTGTTTTCATTAAAGGCACAGATGGAAACATTCATCAGAGAATCTTAGCACCTTCACAGCCAGATGAGTGGTAGGCAGACTGAGGTTGTCATACCGTGTGCAGCAGCATCTGTACACGCATAAAAGAACATGTGAATGTGTCTGGGACCCACTCGACAATTTACAGACTTTATTACGTTACTGATTAAAAATAAATCAATGGCTCAGACTATGTTGAGAGAGCTCAGCTGCGGGTCAAGAGAGGTCGTGTTTTCTCACACCATCACTGTAACTCTGAGTGGGAGCTGATCTTTAAATTATTTTCATCAACAACGCTGCCTTGGTGAATACAGACTGGTGAAGGCTGAGGAAGAGAGCGCTTTCACAGTGGAACTGACGTCTGCTCGCCTGATTGCTTTTGTGATTAGCTTGTGTTCCTGTTGATATTTTGCGTGAAAAGGCAGCTTGTGACCTGGCATGCATTTAAAGCAGGAAGCGTCCAGTAATTGCTCAACACTGCATTGAGAGGGGCGGTGTAACAGAAAATGGTAGTGAAGCAATTAAAACTTAATTTTATCTAGCGAGGCAGATTATCATGGGTACGTTCCAGACTGAGTGGCAAAGACGTACACTTGGTTAATACATCGAATGGCTGCAAGACATTTCTTTTTAATCTAAATAATAATCCTCCAGTCAATGTAAATCCCTTTTGTATATTAGTCATTTAATCAAAGCAATAATGAAGACTAAAAACTAATTACCACAAAAGGCAATACCGCTGACCAACAACCTATACATTCAATTACTGTGATACTGGAGGGAGAAAAACCAAGCAAAGATGTATTTTGTGATGGTAAATGACAAAGTGATAAATGTGTCAAGTCATTTTACATGAAATCCTTCAAACCCTTATACTTGTATAGCAGTACGACATATGCCCTGACGCCTGTTAATGAACGTACATGAACGTAGGGTGGTATACATCACAGTCCAAAGAACTATTAATACTATAAATTGCCATTGGATAACCGTCATCGTTGTAAATAGATGCTACCCAAGAAACCAGATAATTTTACTCATTAACTTAGAAGCATGAAAGTTACCTTGTTGACAATAAACTCTTTAGGACGCTTCCAGTAGTGCACTTTCAGAAACTGGGGCAGTAATATTCTTCCCTCAGGATTTTCAAAAAATGACTGCAGAAAAAAGCAAACTTTGGTCAATGTGATGTGTTAAGACGACACAACAAACACAAAATCAACATAATGTCAGTCGCACGGTACACAATGCACGGTGTGTGTGTTGCTGCTGATTAATTCAATCATTGTACACTCCAGATTTGACTCTTGCTTGTCTTTCCATCCTCGGCTCCTTTACTCGAGTCCCATTTCTCCTTTTCCACTTCTGCATCGTTCCACTCAGGCCAAACGGGGAATCTCCATGCACCTCCTAGGCTCTCAGAGGAAGAGGCGGCTATGGACGATGCTCTGAAATGAGGACACATAACTCTTCATTTGTTCTGGCCTTCCCTTTTGTCGACATTCAGCTCTAAAATAAGCCAGCCCGAGTGCCAGAGATTCAGTCTAAAGCAAACTGTTTACCCTTTCATTGGGGTGGCGGTCGTAGCTCATACTGGCAACAGAACATTGGCCAGAATGACCAGTTTCAGGCTATATGAGCAAATACAGAATCCCTTTATCTTCATTTCTAAAGCCTCGCATTCCTTCGCACAAAGAAGGAAATTACGGAGATTAAAAAAAAGATACATCACTTTATTTGAGACACTGTCCTACTTAAGTTGCTGTGTTCTGCCAATTTCTCAATAAAGTTAGTGGAAAAAACATTTACGGGATTTGCATATGGATGAGGGGGCGTGGCCATTCCGCTATATGCCGTTCTGAGAGCGGAACCTGCCAACTGCCAACTGCCACTTTTCCATCGGCGTCACTCGTGGCGACCGGTTTCCCTTCGTAATGAGTGCGTATTCAGACGCAATGCCGCACGCGGTGATGGGTGATTTAACGTTAACGTGTTACGAACATGACACAGTGACGTGTGAAGTCACGGTGAGCGTGCTTCCCAAACACCAACGGCCGGCTAACCTAACGTTAGCTCTAACGGACGGGTTGCTAACGCTCTCGTCGATGACGCTAACAGCCGGTATTAACCCAACTCACTCAGCCTGCCGCTCGGATAGAGCCGCTTTACTTGAGGAGGCCTCCTTTTTCTTGAGTTGTGCCTTGGACATTTCACTAAGTCGGGGGGAAGCCTGTCCGAGGTGCGTTTGTTTGGTTGCGCCTCTGCTCGCAAACGGTTGACGCGTTGCTAAGCAACGTGTCTGTCACGTGGGCGCGGTCTGCAGCGGCTTCCTTTACAGTTTTATGTTTGCGACGTATCTGCGGACAGTTACACTAGATTAATAAATTAAACACTTGGCCTTGGTGTCCTATATGTAAACTGAGAGAATGATGCAGTGCAAATATTGCCTGAAAATGTGCTGCAGAGTTGAATCAAATCCTTTCTAAGGCTATCTTGATTCCGGTGTTACATTGAAAGCATCACAAAGTGTAGATTTTCCTTTAGGCCATGGCATAGGAAAGCATGCACTGCCTGAAGTCTATGGTTTGCTGCACACACACATGGGTCATGGTGTAAAACCGCAAAATCGCACGCTGAAATGCTTCTCGGTATTCCTGTTCTGCTGAAAGAGATGCTGTAGTGGTGAGAACAAAGCTCTAATGACTATCACGCACTGTTTCCTGAGTGGAATCACATGGTGTGTGCGTGTGTGTGTGTGTCTCTCACGCACTCACACAGTGCTCCTACTTTTCACAGACACAACGTAATCTAATTTGCTCTGAGTTGCATAAACTTGTAGCACAAACAGACAAGTGCCAGCGTTTGCCCTGAACCCTATTGAGTGCTAGACTAAGTAGGCCTACTAAAGAATCGGTTCTGGAAGTCTATTACGGTCATTTATTGGCCAGTAATCTGGGTTTGTCATTAGGTCAACTAACATTTTCTTTTAAATATGAATTAATGTTACAACTTAAATTGTTTTTAAAATGCAGTCAGAGTTCAGAGGGACGTCTACAGTCGCTCGGTAGTGTTCTGCAGTGGCTCGGTAATACTAAAGCACTGCCATCTTAGATCTCAGTCCCAAAAGCCTGCACGCAGCTGTAATACTTGTGTTCAGCAGGAATGTGTTCATAGGATTATAATCCCAGTTCAGACAGCTTTGTGCTGGTAAAAAAGATTGTAATGTGAAATATTTGACTGAGACATAGAAGCCACACACGGAAAAGAATAATTCTACAGTATTCAGACCAAAAACCATTCTGATTTATTTCAATTCAAGTTTGACGCTCAAAAAGTTCTATGATTGAATGAATTATAAAGCATGTTTTGCAACAGCAACACATTGTCCCGGTGTATTGATACCATATACATTTTGTGTAGATATAGATATACAAACACAAACAGTACATGAAGACATTTACATGAATTATATAAATTTATTTCAACAGAGACAGCAAAAATCTGTTAAAACATTTATTCTATTTCGGTGTTGTGTATTCAATGTATTTAACTTATTCTAAACTCAACATTTTAAAAATCCTTCATATTTAATTTGAATACTAATGTACAAGAGAGTGTAATCCTCTGCCTGATTCCTTTTCTACTGTTTATCTCACCACTGCATGACCAAACACATAAAAAAAAAAAGAAGAGCCGTAAATCAGATCTACACATTCATACTAGTGTCTCATGTAGTACCATCATTCGCCATCATCAGTTCTTTTGTAAACTATACTGTCCGTCCGTGTAAATATTTGAGTGAATAACCAAGTGTTCCCCTCTAATTAACATAAGCTCTATTTTGGCGCATAACATCAGAAAATAAGACAATTCATGACAGCAACATGAGATACGCTAACATTTTAATGCTTAACTTCACAGCCCGTTTGCTCATGTTTTACCCCCTAGTCTCAATAACACAAGTGTGCTGTTAAAGAAATACTTCAGCAACAAACCATAACGTTTCTTGGTTCGCAGATAAAAAGGATACCGAGAAAGAAAAGACCAAAGTGACAGAAATGAAGCCGTGGTTTTCTTATCTGCACCCCGTCTCAGTCCCGGTACAGTTCTGGGCCTCAGTAGGAGAAGCAGGGGGTGCTGGGTTTTTAGTTAAGGGGGGGGGGATTACACAATCAATCAAGGAAAAAGGCAATGAGAAAAATAAAATAATAAAAAGGTGCTGTGGTCTAAACTACAATGAAAACACTCGGACGTGCAGGCGGAATGGGCATCAGTGCAGAGACGACAACATTCTCTAGCTTCGTAGGCCAAATCATTCATATTCCTCAGAGACGCTGCAGAATAGGGCTGAGCGCCACGGGGGGGCTGGTTGCTCGGGTCGGACCCCGCCAGAGGGAGGCCGATGGCCGATGGCCGGTTTGAATGGATCGAGTGTCAACAGCAGCCCGACTTGATCTCTGCAGCCACAGCCTCCTGGTCCAGTTTGATCCGCTCTCCGTTGCTCTCCTCGTATGGCAGCCCTTTGTCGTTCGCCAGGATGCTCTCTACCAGGAAGCGTGCCGCCTCGTCCACGTTGATGTTGTCCTGGGCGAAATAAGAAAAAGGTCAAAAAGGTCACAAACAGAAAATCTTATGAAACAAATAGAATGTGTGAACAGCGAGAACAGCGTGTGAGAAGAGACCGAGAGAAAAGTACAAATGTTACATTCGAATCTGTAAATTGATTGAAGGCGCATGTGAATAAAATAATATGATCGGCCTACGGCCCTTTAAAACGTTGTATGATTCTTCCGTGAGCCGAGGGGGAGCACTAATCAAAACCAGATGAACATCCCAATGAGAGAGCGTGAGTTGTTGATTACATCATAATAACGGCTGATTAGGAGCACCGAAAATTAACCTTCCTCGACCACGGAACCCTTCAAGACCTCGATTAGAACAATGCGCAGCTCAGCACGATTATTAGGATTGTTCTTTTGTCCCGTTAAACCGTTGAAATGTGTTCCGTCGCTTTAAACTGAAAGACGGTGTAGAACTGCAATCAGCCTTTGCAGGAGGTTGAAGTTCTAAACAACGTGACCGGAACAATGACACCTCGCTGCACTCGCAGAAAGGAATTTGGCCAGGAAGGCTTTGCACACATCACACACACACACACACACACACACGCACGCACTTCACATGACACAACACGGGGTATGGCTGCAGGGCTTAAGGGTATTTGGATGGAATTAACTAAGTTTACTCCTGCTGCCAAAACCCGTCAGAGCATTCCGCGACGGGAAAGTACAATTCAAGTTTAAATGAATAAATGGGTGCCTGCGCAAGCGTCTTTTGTCCCTTTGACTGAAGAGACAGCAAATGTGACAGCAAAAAGAGGTGAGGGACACACACACGGGGACGTTTTTCCGATGGAGTTTCATTGTGGAGAGGATGAACATTTGACCTCACTGCGACACAAAGCAATTGATTCTTCTTCGGAGCACGAGGCGGCACGTGCAGAATATTTGTATTAGGTTTATGTTATCGCATTAAGAGCACGCACTTCATCACGCACGCGTCTCTTTGGGAGACAGTCGATTTTATATGTACCGCGTCATTTCAGGCACTCGTACATGTTGGGGGAGAATTGGTTGAGCTGCAAATTGTTAATGTCTCAAGAACTCGGCGTGTGACCTTTCTTGGCGTCCTGTTTTTGAAGATAGCGGGGCAGAGGGGTCTTCCGTTTTCCTTGACACAAACCTGTCAGAGGTGTATATACTTTTATACTAACCCATAGCCTTAGCCTTATTCTACTAACCCATTGCACTAGCATTTCATTCCACTTTATTTTATTACTTGTGCACTGTTGTCTTGTCTGTCTACTGTCGCGCACTAACCGCCAAGACAAATTCCTTGTATGTTTGACATATTTTGGCTAATAAATGTTTCCTGATTCCTGATTCCTAAAAGCTCCTGATCTCCCCCAGAAAGTTGGTCAGATCTTCAAGCTCCTCTGAGGGAGAGAGAACCATCTGCCCCTGTTCAGCTGAATTGTAGTCATTTGACTTCTGTCTGTACTTGTTAAGGATTTTGGTTTTCTTATGATTCTTCTTTATTATAGTTAGTAATAAATACTTAATCACAAAGCAAGTTCAAGATACTTTTGATTTCTCACAAGGGCTTAATCCACAAATTTCCACCACAGTACACACATTTCAAAAAGGGAAATATAGTGCCAAATAAAACATCAGAGAGAATATTCACCCGCGGTTTTCTCCGTCTAACAGCAGACGTAATAGTATTGGCTGCTCACCTTAGCCGAGGTCTCAAACCAGCCCAGAAAGCCAGTCTCCTTGCAGAAGTCGTCCATCAGGGCCGTGCTGTTGGCGCTCTCTTTCTTCTGGTCGCATTTATTGGCGAGCAGCACTGAGGGAATGGGGTTGCCGTTGGCCAGCTTCACCTTGCTGTCCAGGTCATGCTTCCACTTGGACACCGCCTCAAACGTGGAGCCCCTTGTCACGTCGAACACCACGAATGCCCCCACGGCCTCCTTGTAGTACACTCGCGTCATGTTCCCGAAGCGTTCCTGCCCTGAGTGGACAAGGGGGGAGATTAGTGGCAGCCTCGCCTTTTCTTTTAAGAATTCCTGTTAAAGTCAGTTGAGATCCATTTTATTTCCCCAGCCAAACACTCTCTGATCTAGAGGACTACTGCAGGGCTTCTTTTAAACTCTATCCTCTTTGAAAACATACTATTCACTAACACTGGACTGGTCGATAAAAAAACAAACATATTTTGATCCTTTATGCATTTAATAAGATACTTTTTTGATTTTTAGAACCTGCATTATGCCAACATTGCCTGAGAAGGTGACTGGGGTACAAAACTCTATTTTACAGGCTTTTACAGGCACGTCTACTAAAAACCACAATTCATGTGAACCGTTCTCATGAACAATGCTCTTCTTTTTTGGGGTTTCTTAAGCTTGAAAGCTTAGCTAAGCTTGGAAATGAACAGAATTCATGAGCAGCTGACTTCTGCTTACAGCACACAGACTTATTTACCACCAGCAGGTCCCCTGGAACGTCTGTTCCAGCGTCCAATGTGACTTAAGTCTCCACATCTCCACGCGTCTGCTGGATCGAATCCCCCACAACCATCCTTTTAGGACTCCCATTGCTCCCCCGTTCATTTTCCCTTTCCTTTAGTCAGAACTCTTTGGGAGCCCAACAATCTCCCTCCTCTAAATGTGGCTTAAAAATCCGACCTACTTTTTCCTAATTTGCCACGGGCCTAATTTGCAAATTGAACGGCAGAAGTAATCTGCCGTAATAATAAGCCCTTCCTCTGTAGTCGTTCTCGAAGAAAATCAGAGATGACATTTCACAAAAGCAAAAGAGGGAGGGAATCAACCAGCGGGATAAACGGTGTCACTATCAAGCTAAGAAGGTCTCTTTTCCAACACGTTTTCTTATACAAAATCTGCTTATTGTATTCACATCCCACCAATTATAGGTATTTATCATTTTTTATTTGAAACAGATTAGTTTCTTTTAGATGCCATTACATCAAGGTGAACTACATACATTAGGGTTTAATAAGTACATCACAATCTACATTTTCTCTGGTCATTTCCATACAATTTAAAAGCCTCGATATATAAATGATCTAAATAAATCTGTAAAACAAGCCCATCAGCCAGATTGGCTATTTCTATGTGTTTTTTCTTAATGCATGAGCGCCACTTGGTCGTATTAATTGCAAAAAATCAAGCAGGTTCAGCAGAAAACACCTTCAGCTCAGTCTCCAGCGGGGCCCTCCGGCGCCGACCAGCCCGCAGCGGACAGACGCAGGTCCGGCTTCGCTGCGGCTTTTCGGGCAAAGCTCTCAAACTCCATCTCTCCCCCTTCGGGGCAGGAGCCTCGCCTCGCCGCTCCGTCCGGGAGACAACGCGGACGCCAGGCTGCTGGAGGGAAGCGAGTCCAGTGACACGAGTCCAAAGTGACCCCGGTCGCTCAGAAACACTACGGCTTCTGCCCCAAAGTCCTGTTTTGGTATAAATCAGCCGACTCAAAGTGAAACCTTTAAAGAGGAAACGGGCTCTTGGCAGCGCTCCAACGTACCTCCTCCTCTGCACACATCGCTTCACCTTTTGGACACGTGCGCTTCACAGAACCTCGCTGGGTGGTGAATCTATCAGCGGTTCAACTGGTGCAATGTGTGTCTGACTGGCTGACGTCACACTTTTAAGCGCTCTCTTTTTTGCTGGATATAACTGTGACTACCTCAAACCGGCCCTGGCGCGTTCTTTATTTTAATCATTGTCATGAAAGAACAGAAAAAAACAATCAACGTGTTCATCCGTCTCTCGATTGTTGGGCACTGTGGTTTTAACAAACGCTGTTAAAAGAGGATTGGATTCTTTGGAGACGTTACATTTACATCCAGCGGACGCGTTGGTCTACGGCACGCAGGTAGCACATCGTGCTTTGCTCAGGCTGACAACGCTTAATACGTCGGTGCTTCTACGCCTCCCACCGAAAAAGGAGAAGCGAGAGCCAGCAGGCACAGGCCGTTGCTTTCAGAACAATCCATAACCAAAACGTTGCGTTGCAGTTACAAAAGGCGGTTTCATGCTCTGGTAAAAATGCCATTTACTGCACTTCAGACGGCTGCATACAACAGCAAATATTATCTTCACATTACAAGCTGCCGGGTCATGGCCGGTTTCACTCTCTTTCCCCCCCCTCACATAAAAAGCTGGGAAAACGTCCAAATGTGGTTCCCGTTTTCGAGCTGTGCTATGATCGGTTCTATTGCTCAAGATCCACAAGACTTACAATACAGCTCTTTGGTGTATTGGGTTCTTTCTGACCACAGCTTTACCAGCATCCCAAAAACATGTGCGACTCTATGTGGCATCACATTGCAATGAAGTGATTTCTTCCAGGTGAAACTAACTGTTCTTTGTATTGGATGACCAGTTGTGCCTTTAGAGCACCTGCTCAGTCAAACTTAAATTTAAATTCATCCTCTGCAATAATGCTTTGGTTTCCCGTGACCAGTAATAGCAGCATCTTTAAAGGTCTAACGCATATTTCATCTACGCTGCTCTCACACAAGAAAGCCTACATGGCAGACCTTTAACTGCACAGTGCATTAGAGGATTTGCACTACTGCAGAGTTATACTTGGTTCAAATGAATCAAGAAAGTTGTTGAGGAACATTGAGCCCAGCTTCTCACAGCATACTTTCCCTTTCCTGTGGGTTCCCACCCAACCACACAAGGATCCGGAATGGCGTGGCGCAGTGCGGGTGTGAAGGCGAGAGTGAATACACTGTGGGGCCCACAGGCCTGATGGTAATTGCTCATAATTGAGAGTCTAATTTTAGCGGATACAACCCGCAGGTGAATTCACCAGTGACACGACACAGTGGGATAAAGAGCTGATGGAATGAAAAAAAAGGCTTTAATTTCCAGGCCTTGCCGAACTCGTATATCCAGCCGAGTGGAAGCAAAGGCAGAATATAGAAAGCATTAATGACTATCGTTTCGTTCAAGACATTTGACTTGTTTTTTTTTTTGTATTGCAATGTCTGACTCAGCGCAAAATAATGATGATAATGACTTTCATGATATTCATAAATCAACATGAAAACATGGACCAACAATGAGACAATCGCTTTTTCAAGTGCTGACTTGCAAGGTTGGCTGGCGAACACAAACTTTCACAACTTAAAAAGCTTATTGTGCACACACACACACGCCTTCTTCCATTCATAGCTTCGGACACGTTCGATCAATGAAGTCAACTTATCTTCAGAACAAGTAGTAGGAACCGAGGACGACCCAAACCTTTAAAGTGTTATAAAGGAAGCCCTGATAATCCTTCAGCTGCATTCACTGCACTTCCAGTCCTGTTGCGGAAGTTCAACAGGATATTCCGCAATACTGGCCAGTACAGTGCCTCTGAAAACAGTGACACACACATAATATATATATATATATATATATATACATAGACCCAATATATTTTTCGAATTATTTTCTCTATTACTCGATTGTATTCTTTTGAGAATAACATATCTTTGCCGAAAATAAACACTGTTCTATGAAAAGAACTACGAGACGGTTATACACATAAAAAATAAAAATAAAAACTAGTTAGCAGGTACGACAACCACGCGGTTTCATAAGACACTTTTAACTGCCTGTGTTTATGTGCGATGGCCTCAGGTTTGGCTTGATTTCATCAACACGTTCAACTGGAATTTTAAATAAAAAATGTTTGAGCACTATTGTATATTAAAGGGACGGGTGAATGTGTCCGTAAAGACAGTTTACTATTCTGCCACTGATGACCTCAAGTACACTTAGGTAATATACATGTGAAATCTGCAGGTGCAGAACTACGTTAAGTCACAGCCACTGTATCATCTCTGTTTGTGTAGGAGAAACCGTCTCATCATTGTAGATAGCCTTGGTAACCCCGGTTTTCCTCTGTGGTCGTGCGTTTCGCCGTCCTGTGGGTGGGTTACCATAGAAACTGTCCAAGCCAGACACGGCAGTAACAACAGCAGCAGCAGCAGTCTGTTGTTAGGAGACAACTGGCTGTGAAACTTCCCCAAACGCCCTCCCGACAACTGCAACGAAGAACACACAGGCTCCAGTCATTAGGTCGTCTTTCAGCGCCGGCTGTAAAGGATTGACTGAAAAACGCATGACTGGCACGTTCAAATTCCACTGGGTAACATGTGAGAACTTCCCGCAGCTTACAGGGGCCTTCAGCGCCCAACAGACTCTGAACCGCGCCCCGAGGAGGCGATATATGATCCTTGTCGTCCCTTCAACCGCAAAAGGTTACTGGGGAGCTGATCAACATGGCGCTTTGGTGCAACTAAGCTCAAAATACCAAACGCAGTGAAAACCGCTTATGTAGGTCGTGAAGCTTGGGACACAATCATTGCTATTCATACGTTGCGGCAAGTAGTCGGACCATAGCAAAGACGTCCATTTCATTTGTGCCGAAGAAATAGACAATATTTAAAAAAAATGTAAGTCAGCTTACAGCAGGGTTGCCCACACTTTTCAGGCTCGCGAGCTACTTTACGACTAACTGAGTCATGCCGATCTACCCCCCTCCCCTCCGAGGACCGGAAAACTCTCTGCAAAAAGAGTCCATATGAAGAAAACGACGAGCCTCTCATCCGTCAGATCGACCTATCCGACATCGATCGCATCCGCCATCTCACACAAAAAGCCAATGTTAGACTGAAGACAGACAAAATAAATAAATAAACAGAAATGCAATTGGGGTAAGTGGTGAAATTCTTAATGTTAGGATAAGAGGTCAATGTGAAATTGGGTTTTCAGCACAGCTGGCTAGCAAACCACAGGATACATCCTGATAATGTGCACCTCCTGCTCTTCTACAAATGTTTGATCCGAAAAAGGTGCAGGCTTCTCTGCAATCAGCCATGGTGGTAATCATCCTGTACAATAGACAGAGACATATTCAGGAGAGACTGGCAATTTGGGGCGAAAAGGGGCGGTAGAGGTTAAACTTCACAATGTGACTTCCATGGAGCAACCGCCTCGTAGAAGCCTCTGATTACCATCATCCTCCCAGACTGTAATTATTAGTATGGTCGGTAAAAGTCGATGCAACTCAGAAGTTGCTCTTCGTGTTGCCCAGAGGACAACCCCCGCCCCTCCTTTTCTGCACAATTAAATGGCTTAATGGCTGCTCTTAATGAGCTGGCAGATATAACTCCAGCTTTTCCTCCATCACACCCACGTTTTGCCACTCATTTTATCCGAGAAGCATCCTCAGGCCAGACCTTTGAGCTGGCGAGAATACTATGGTTTAGCATCAGCATCATCCAACCTCAAAACTGTCTCTCTGGTCAGTGTGTGTGCAAGCAATATACCTTTGTCTCTATCATATCAATACAAGTGTGTGTGTGTGTGTGTGTGTGTGTGCGTCAGGGTTTTATTTACCCTCGCAGATCCTCCGATCAAGTGCTGACTGGCTGTGACAGGCAGACGGCCTTCCCTGGCACTCGGTCACAGATGCCCCTGCACGCAGAGCCTGTGCTGCAAGGGCCCGAGTGACAGCGTAGCTGCCCCACACTGCCAATCAGTCTGCAACGACTACACACACACAGCAAACCGTACACCCCATTTCTGTCACCGCTGTAAGCGATGTAATAAATATATGAAAAAACAGCAGTACTCTGAGCATCTGCCCTGATCCGTCTCAGTATATGAGGTTTGTTTGATTGAGGGGAGAGTACGGCCTCGCGCAACCACGGCCAAATCATAATACCGATGTATGCCTTTGTTTACATACGGGATGGGCTTGTGACTTTTTTTGTTAAAAGAGAGTTTAATCTTTAATCGCAATTTACATACAGCATGTAAAGAATTGATATGACCCGAAGCAGCTGACTCCTCAACATATGATACTCAGGCACTGCTTCTTTTTACACAAGGAGGAAGAACAGGTCACTGACACTTCAGGACTATCGGAACGCCATCTAGCAGGAAACAGTCCTTATTGTCTGCGGTGCAAAACCACTGCCACATGGTGACTTTCAACCATCCGAAATAAAAATTCAAACCAGCTGAATTTCAAGGATTTCGGACTTTGAGTGTTTGTTGTTTCTTTGTTTTTTGACAACAGACCTGACAATGGATAATTGAGAACATGTACTTCAGATTATAAAATGAGGACACATTCCCAACACACAGACAATACTTGAACCCCCCCCCCTTTCCACCATCCTTGGACCCTTCGCCAAAGAAGACACAAGCAAACACACAAAGAGCCCTGAAGCCACGTGATCTCATTCCAGCAAACATAAAGACTTCCAGCGTAAATGGCCCTCATACGTCCGTTTATATGACCAGGCAATTGCATAAGCCCTAATGTGAGATGTATTTTAGGCTGTGAGGATAATCCAGAGCCAACATGAAGGGAGAGGAGCTGCTGGGACCTTACACAGAAGCACGTAATGCTGGTTGGACCGCAGACATGATCCTCGTGTTCCTGTCCTCTCAAGCGTGCCATTCTCACACTCATACGTTTGCACTGGGGTCTTTTTTTTAGGGAGACTTTGCGTATGAAGCGCCTGCATGAGTGACAACTTCAACGTACACAGCTCCGATTTCCCCGGCCTTGCTTAATCCAGCTGCTGGAAGAACCACATGAACAGAAAACCTTCTCACAAACCATCTCACGTGCACGGTCACACACGGGACACCTGAAGAAACGTGACTTTGCCACGTGAAACACTGCAGGAAGTAAATAAAAGCAACGGGGAAAGTCAGCTGCAGGCGTTAATCCGGAGAGTAAATAAAAGAAGAATGTCATAGTGGCGCGTTTGACGCAGGTGGGCGGAGCCTGGTACGTAATAACAACGTGACCTACATTCCGATGGCAATTACGAGAACACGCGATCGAGAACAACAACAAAAAACCCCACTTCTCGTGCTTCCTCGAGATTCTGGCAACTTCGCTTGAAATCCATTCACCTCCTTGTTAAAAACACGCGTTTAAACACCCACGTGCGCACGCGACCCGCGCGCGTCGAAAACTGCCGCAGCTTTTTGTGTCGCACGCAAAAGTTCGCGCTCGACACCCAAGTTGTTGTCATTGTTGTTGTTTTGAGCGCAAAAAAACGAGCGTTGCTCCTTACCTGCGATGTCCCACAGCTGCAGCCGGACCAGCGTCTTGCTGTCCCAGTTGATGACTTTGAGGGCAAAGTCCACGCCGATCGTCGCCCTGTAGTGCTGCGAGAAGAGCTGGTGCACGTAGCGCTTGATGATGCTGGTCTTGCCGACGCCCAGCTCCCCGATGACCAGCACTTTGAACAAGTACTCCTTGCACTCGGACACCGAGGCCCCGGCCATGCTGACACCGAACGACGCTTCTCTAACAGCCGGGCCGCTTCTGCTTTCTCGCGCATGTAGGCTTCCTGTTGGGAGATGGTGGTGCGGCGTGGGACTGGGAGGGAGGAGCGGGTGGAAGCTGAGGGCCAGATGCAGCTGAGATGGTTGGGGTTTTTCTTTTTTAAGTTCCTCCTCCTCCTCCGCCTCCTTGGGCTGCGGCTGCAGAAAACCACCTGATAAGTCACAGGACCCGGAAACGCAGGAAACTCTTCGCACTCGAGCGTCCTTGTGCTGCTGTAATCACACGAGTCTTTCTCATGCTGATGGAAAAGCCCCCAGACTTTGTCACGTAACGTGTCTTTACCATCACGTAGATTCAACATCAAAGAAATATATATACACTGGGACTTTTGTTGTGTGTGATTTTTTCTTTTCTTTTTTTTTTTTACCACAAAGGAACAAGTATCCATTTGTGTGCTAAAGATACTTTAATCTGTGCAATAAGTAATTATTTCTCCAATTAAGTAGTTAAACAAATGTGCTGGAGGGTTCAAGTTCCCGCCACGCACATGTTAATTTAATAATCTAGTCTTTAATAGTGTCTTAAAGCTAGTGGTTGTTACTAAATCATGGTAATACAGCGGCGTCTGAAAGTGGGTTTGAAGACGAGCCTCTGAAAAATGATTCGCTTTCAGCTGATTATTAAAATAGCATTTAAGTGTCAAAAGCACAAGAATTTCAAACATGTAAGTGAAGTACGTGAACCAGTTGCCCCGAATAGCTCTTGAGGATCCCTGATGGCCCCCAAAACATATTTTGAAAGCATTGGTTGGAGTTAATATTGAGCCTGGTACGTTTATAAGATTCATTGCAGTTGAAGCTAATAAAAACCCATTTTCCAGGCCGTGGCGAGCAGTAATCAGTCTTCTTAATATAAATAGTTTTATTTTACAGCATTGTTCAGCTTGACCAAAACATAAAGGCCTATTTCACTCTAGATTTGACAGTTTTAAACAGGTGGCACCCTCATATATTTTACGCTAGATCAAATTATTTAACAACTTACACTATAATAAACTTAAACCATTTGGAATTACAATACAATTTCACCATGTACTGTATAGCTGCGTACTTTGAAATACTTTGCATTCTTATAGATGAAGAACTAAGAAACTTAACCTCAAGTGAGCTACTTAACTTTATAATGCAAGATTTAAGCAAAACTGAAATGTATAATCTCATTACAAGAAGCAACTGATCATTGGTTACTTCAAGAGGATACAGACCAACCAAGTTACCTTAGAAGTTAAAAACCAAAACACACTGCTCAACTTATCTGAGGACAGCTTCAACATGTATAAACTCTTTTTCTTCTTTTTTGTTGACATTCTAATCATAGAAACATTTATCAGTATTACAAACATACCACCTGTGTGAAAAACAAGAGATGGCTTAACAGTACTACAAACTTTGAGAACTTGTACAAATACTGTGTTTTTCATGACACAACGACACAGAAAACTTTGAGAAAACATGAGAAATATCGACACGGCGGAGAGCAAAGTCCCGCGCTCATAAAACTGGTCCTCAGAGTTACGATGGAGTGAAAAACGAAACAAACGACATCGGCATCATCTACAGTCACAAACCTGTATCAGCTAAAAAATAGAAATGTAGGTTGATGGCAGCTTTTGATTGGCACACTACATCCATGTCATTTATCATACAGCACTAATATTTGGTTGCACAACTCGCAACACGTAAAAGTAACCGTCAACCAACTCACTGCACGTTTTTTGTGTTAATTAAAATCTCGGCGTACTTAGAATCGCGTCGAGGTCAGATGAGCGAAAAAGCTGTAGCGGAATTAATCAGCGAGAAAGGCGAAAAAAAGCGAACGCGGGCTGTACGTGTGCACAGGAGAGAGCTGCGTCTTGTGCTGCACACAGAGTATATATACACACACCTTGACAGTGTGCTCGTCTTTCCATTCCATCTCTCCCTGACTAAATTAGTCGAAACCCAGGCTGCACCCTACGTTGTGATTCTCACAATATTTAGCAGGAAAAAGGCTTTTGTCACTGACGGCCCTTCAGGGACGTGTTTCTCTACCTATAATATCGATTAACCCCTTACTTGCAAAGCCGAGTAATTCACACCAGCGAGCCGAATGACAAACTGAAAACTTAATAAACCAATAACAAAACACTTTTGCACAACGTGCGCCTGCGTGTATTTGTGTGCGCAAACTCGTAAGTGGAAACGTGTCTGTGTGAACGGCGGCTGTGTCGCCGCCCGTTGGGCCCTCACAGTGTGGAGGAGCTGTGTGCGAAGTCTAGGAGGGTGTTGGAGCTCCCGAGCATCAGCTCCATGACGGGGGAGTCGCTGGCGGACTCCCCCGAACACGCCGAGTCCCTGAAGGGGGAGGGGGGCGACAGAGCCAGGGAATCCTCCAGAGTCGGCTTGCTCTGAGTCACATCCTCGCCTTCCCCGTCCTCCCCCTCGCCCTCCTCCTTTGCGTCGTAAATGTAGCTGTGCAAGAGGTCCATCTCCTCGTCCTCGGACCCCTCCTCTCCGAACCCCTCCGCGTGTGCGCCCAACGGAAGCTGCGAGGGATTCAAGCTCAGGGGCTCATTGCGTGCAGGGATGTGGGAGCTGTGCGTGTCCACCACCTTCAAGCGAGGGGGCAAATACGAAGCGGGCTTATCTAAACCAGACTCCCGCCCTTGCGCCTGTCCGGAGCAAGTCGGGGTCCAGAGGGGGCGCTGGGAAACTCCCGCGTCGTCCTCCTCGACCAGGTTGCACGGAGGCTTAGCGCCAGGCGGTTCTCGGGGGGGTTGGGGTTCTGTGCCAGGGTCGCAGGTGGAAGGCGCGCAACTGTGGGGGTCGGGGTTGTTAGTTAGGGGCCTGATGACCGCCGTCTGATTCAAGCCGGCTTCCTGTTTCCTCACATGCACAGACAGTCTGTGCCACACATTCCCCCCCCTCGGAGGGTGTCTTGCACCTGATTCAGACCATGACACAGACTTGCCATTAGAACTATGAACGAGATAAAGACCCAAGTTACTAACAGAGAAAACCAACAGGTGGTTGCAGAGAAACAGCATCATCAACATGGCAGCCACGTAACACAACTGAGCAGCAGCATTTCAACATTTTCTGATGCATGTTAAAATACTTTTTTAACCACATGACTCGACATTAGCAGCTTTAAGGAGCAATACATTTATCGACTGTGGCATTTCGTAAACACAGTGAGACATTATGCGCTGCAGAAAGCGTTATAGTCTTAGGAACTGCTTCAAACACTCAGCTTGCAGAATTAGGAGCCAACCAGCTAATTCCTTCTGGTGTAACTATTTGCCTATTTAGTACAGATGCGAGGCATGCATTCTGAATCGGTTGGTCGCCCGCGCAGGGCTGGAGACGACACAGTTTAGTGCAGAATGAAAATAGGACTGGCTCTAATGTGATTAGTTGGAGTGGAGAGGGGGGGCATTCATGCTGAGAAAAGTTAAATGTGAGGTTAATTCAGGATAAACCTAAAGCAGCAGGGTGGCAGATCTACTCTTCGGAGGGCTGCAGTGTCAAAAAAATAAATAAATTCCATTGAAAACGGAAAAGTGACAGGATGACAGAGGCAACTGATTCTTTAAGTCAACCAGATGGGTAAATACTAAAGGACCCCGCTTAGTACAGCTCAGAGACAAATTGGGAAACTCCTTTTGATTGATCTCATTAATATTAAGTATGACGTTTTTAAAGCAACGTTCCATAATAATGCTTCTTCTACGTTGTGCAAAGGTGTCCATAAAAATACAGCTATGAGATTTATGGGAAAACCTCAGCAAATGCTGATTTTTTTATGATCGCTTTATGATGCTCTGGCTAATGAGTTTCTAAGAGTCTCCTCTGGTTGTATACAATAATAAAATATGTCAGAATGTACAATGCAGCTCTCCGGGAAAGGGGTTGAATGACCACCAAGCCAAGGAGATTTGCCAGCCTTGATATTTGTCCAACACTATGCTGCTCAGTTTGGAAGGTTAAAGTGTTAAAAGATTAAAAAGGCTTCATAGCGAAGGTGAGAGACAAGACGTAAACAGATTGGGATCACTGTCATTCTCTGCCCCACGCCTTACTTTAGATACCTGTCCACGTGTCTCTGCTGTGGATCTCAAAAAAGTTATATGCAAGTCTTAAGTTTCTAGTTTAGACGCATCTATACTTCAGTCATCACTAAAACATTCGCTTTGAATCAACAACCTGAAAATATCTTGTTTAAGGTTTTGTGTTAAATTTAGCTGTATTTCATTGATAATGGGAAAGGGGATGTTTCACATACATCAGTGGTGTTTTCTTATTGTTTCTAAAAGTTTGGTTTTACACCGATTGGGATACTGGAAAGTTTGAATTTGTGCCTAAACGTGAAGCATAAACACTAATATATTCTTGTGAAAAATAGCACCTGTTACTTTTGTTGATTTATTCAGTTAAATATCAATAAAAAATCAGCTTTGGACAACTTCCTGTGTCCAAGCATGTTATAATTCTGTCTCCAGACTATTAGAATCTAGTAGGAGGAACAACATAAAGGTCACTCACTTGGCGTTGCCAGACACAGGCTTCTTCCGGCGGAATATATTGAGGAAGCTGTTAGTCCCGCATTGAGCCGATTTTCCATCTCCAACGTGCATTCGCACCGCATCAGATGTGGTGAAGGCGCTTCTGACGTTCCTCTCTGGTTTGGCGATGATAATGTACATCTTGGGCGTGAACATGCACCCGAGTGCCACCGTCACGCTCAGGCTGACGGAGAAGGACGTGGTTATGATCTTGTAGTTTGAGCCAAAATAGATGGGCACAAAGGCCAACCAGATAATGCAGGTAGTGTACATTGTAAAGGCAATGTATTTGGCCTCGTTGAAGTTGGCTGGGACGTTCCTCGTCTTGAAGGCGTAGTAGGTGCAGCTCATGATCAGCAGGCCGTTGTACCCGAGCGGCGCCACCATGCCCACGTTGCTAGTATTGCAGATGAGGTAGACCTCGCTTATGCTCGGGTAAGACTTGACGGGTTCGGGGGGCTCCAGAATGATGAGCGTGATCTCCACGGTCAGCTGCAAACTGATCAGCATGGAGGCGATGACCACCTGGGCCCAAGCGCTCATGAAGCGGGGCTTCTTGGTGCAGATCTTCTTCTTGCTGCCTGCCAGGATGCGGGCGATGCGGTTGGTTTTGGTCACCAGGGCGGAGTAGCACATGGAAGATGAAAGGCCAACCAGCAGCCTCTGCAAGTAGCAGGAGGCTACCGTGGGACGGGCGATTAAGGTGAACGGACAGATGTAGCCCATGAAGATGCCCGCCAAGATGATATAGCAGAGTTCTTTGCTGGAGGACTTTACCACGGGCGTATCACGGTACTGGATGAACACAAAGGTGACAAAGGAGGTGATGAGGATGCCCACGCAGGAGAAAGCCACTGCCACCATGGATTCCACATCGGACCAGTCGAGGTACTTCAGCGGCAGCGGCTGGCAGCCTGTGAAGAGGCAGAGGAGATGGGTGGTCTTTTGTTGGGACAGTATTTGGTAAAACAGTAGATAGGTGGCAAAGAGGAGAGCGACACAGATTTGGAGAAACACCAGGGCCTAAAATTGCCAAATCACTCATTTGAATCCAGTTCTGTCAGATTTCTCTCTCATTTTAATTTTCATCCCAACTGTGTGCGACTGTCACGATGCACCAGTTGCCTTCCAACACGCAGAGGAAGTTTATACGGCTTAATGGGAGAAAACCGACATCCTAGACTGCCCCAGCTTAACACTTCAAATCTGACACGCTGCTGCTAACAGCTTTACAGTCGCTGCCATCACAAGCGAGGCTGTGCACAGAATAACCCACTTCTGGTCTGTATTGCTCACTCCCAATATGTCAAATCATGAGAAATTGAAACCTTTTAAACCTGACTTGGTGCCCCAGGAAGTCTGGGTATTTTCAACACAAGATGTGAGAGGCACCAATGTGAATAGGAAGGTGTAAATCATTTGTTACACTGTGATATTATTAGAAGGCACTTCATCAAAAGCCCACTGAGGCACACTTGAGGGCAAAGTGCATGTTTTTTTTAGGACCACCCACCCGGCTTAGTTTACCAAGACTTCAGCCACGCTGCGTGCAAACGGACACGAGTGGCAAAGATGAAATGCTCTTATCGAATCTGTTCTTACATATTCTTTAAATCCCATATTCCTCAAAAAAAAATCTTTAAGACGTTTGAAAAAAACAAGAAAATTACAATATTACAGTATTTTTTAGGTTTTTCCACTGAAAAAGAGAATGAGTGAACAGTATAACCTCACTCTAACAAAACTACACCAACATTATCCATTAATATTCTGCAGATAGTGAAATGTAATGAGGGGGGGGGGAGGGAGAATTTCTTCCTCGACAGACTGCTGAAAAGTATCCCCCAGCTTCTCATGGCAGTAATAGGATTTTAAACCTGGGAACTGAGAGCTCCTCTCAAGTCTATAAATCGCTGTCAAAACAACCACTGGGTCACAACAAGGAGAGGTAGCAGGGAGGAGAGCGTGGTCAGTGGAGCCGGATGATGAAAAGCATCAGCGAAAGGAGGTGTCAGGGTGTGAAAGAGCTTATGGGGAGGTTGAGCGCCCAAAATAGTTTGAGAGAAAGTGTTTGTGCTCTTTCAGTGAGATTGGTGCTCCACGATGTAAATGACCCGACAGGCGGCAGGCAAGAGGTGCATTAGCTGGGAGCAAGTACGCGATAAAAATGTGAGGGTTGGTAAAGTATCAATGGATATTATTCATTAATAAATATCTGCTTTGGTCTCTCCTACCTTCCAGGTAATCGTCAGGCCACCATCCCAGATCGCATGCCTTGCAGGTGAACTCATCCTGGACATACTCATTGTCCTTGCATGTGGTGCAGATCCAGCAGCAGCTCACCTCTCCCTTCCTAATAACCTGCACGCAGAGTACACGTACATCAATGAGGGGGGGCTGACAGACGAGCTTAGCACATCACACCCGAGGCGAAATACACAAGTAGTGAGCATCAAGGGGTTAGCGGAGCGCAGGAGATGTTGTTCTCATCTTCTTCGTCTCCAGACGTACTGTTGAGAAGACAACTGCTCCCAAGGAAGACGTTAACAGCACCGTGCAAAGGAGGAGATAAGTGGTGCAGGTAAAGAGCCTCAAGGAGAAGCAAACTGGGCTTCAAACTGGGCAAAACACCAGTTTATATTTACTCTGCCAAACGTCTCCTACAAGGCACAGGAAATGATTTCTTCTCTCAAACTTTGAGTGTGATCATTTAGAATCGTATCGGTGCATCATGAGAGTGATTTTTTTGTTTTTCTCTTTTTTTTATTTACCATGTTTAATTAGACTGAGAAAACATGTGCTTGTATATTTTCTCCGTTAATATTTAACTGAGAAAGCAGGATGCCCAAATGTGGGACAGCAACATCCGTGGAGTTTGCTTGACGCTGCTGCTGCTGCTGCTGATGCATCGGTTCAAGAGCGTGTCAGAAAAATGGGTTCATCTGAGTGTGTTTGGAGCAGAATGAATCCAGGTTTTACGGTTTTGAGCGGATGGGAATGCTGCGAATGCTGCGACACATAATCTAGGTCGATGTCACCCAAAACGAAGCCACGTTCTATCATCCAGGAATGCTCTTTATTTAATATTTAGTATCTTACATGCTGGACGTAATTATATTTTACATTTGAACATTATTCTTGTTTTATGCTTGTATGTGCAAGATACTTGAAAACCTTATAAACCTTTACTGGTGCCAATATTTTCATATTTACAGATGTACGGGTGCTGCATTCCTCAGCCCTCATTATGAGGCACCATAATTCATTCGAATAACGTTCAAATGAGAATCCCTGCTAAATTAGCCCGGTTAGCTGGGTTTTTTAACGTATCGGGCACAGTGTTGAATTAACCCGTTCTTGATGTCTCTGGACCTTCAGAGTCACAACGTTAATGGCGATGACTTTTAATTCTTCAGGTTTTCTCACACTGAATGAACTCTGGCGTGAGATCATTTAATAGCTTCAAATGAAGATAAATCCCTACCTTGATCTGTCCCTTGGAGCAGGGCTCACTGCAGACCGAGCGCACCATGTCACTGCTGTTCAGCCACAGCTTGTAGTCATCGATGCTTAAGATGCCCTCGTGCCAGGAGCCAACGTTTAGGTAATCGTAGCGATCGTCCCCCAAACCCTGTAGATTCATGATGTCGTATCTGGATGGACGCGGGGAAGAACGGAGAACCATAATCAGAGAGGACAACGTTTATTGAATGTCAAAGAGAAGGAAAAAAAAAAAACACAAGAAGTAACATCAAGAGCTCCTGCCAATGCGCAATGAGGCCTCATCGCCATACTGGAGCTGGCCGCGCTCCACCTGACCCCTCGGTTGACGGCGTAATGACGCGGCTGTGTTTTCTGACTGTCAAATGCGTTTCTTTGGCGACTGAAGAGGGATGAAAGTGGCCGCGACGATCCACTGCATCAGTTCCAGTCTAGACTAATCACATCTGTCTGTGCTCGAGATTGGTGCACACTTCTGCGCGCGTACTGATGAGTAGGAGAATGTTAGACGGGAAGAACCCACACGACGACAAGCGTGTTCGTGGATATGAAATCTCTATTGCTGCGTCGCCGGCCTTGATCGTCCTCTTACCTTCCTGGCGTGTCTCCGTTCTGATCAAAATATATCTCCTCTCCCGAGACTCCTCTGAAGGATGTTTTCAGCAGATAGTCCAGCAGCTTGCTGCCGTCGATAGGGTCCATAGCCTCACAGAGCCCCGGCTGGCCTGGACACAACTCGTTGTGCATGTCGTGGAGGCCGTGAGCCATGGCGTAGATGGCGTTGATGACGAATCCCATTTTACTATCCTGAACATAGTTCTCATGCAGACTCTCGTTGCCTGTTGGAAGGGGAAAAGAAGAAGAGAAGGGAAAGGAAGGTTTTTCCATTGATTATAATTCATTAAGAAAGTAGTCTCGTGTTTTCGGGTGTTTTGTGTGCAGCGAGTGCAATAATGCTGGAGAATCTATTGGAAAGCAGAACCTTTGTGTGCAGCAAAACATGTCAACATACAAGGAAATCCCAACTTGAAACCCATTTTTGGGGTAGAATCCAAGACGTTACCACCAGCTCTGGAAAGGCACTACCTCAATGTTTTGTCAAATCTTTTTTTTTATTTTTTATTTTTACATCCTTGTATGAAGATGCTACTTACAAACCTGTTATTGTTTCTTTCTCCTTTATTCCTGTGTATTTAGAACATAGCTTTTCGTCGATCCATACGCATCAGCATGCACAAAAACAGTGTGCGCTTGGTGAGCCATTCTCGTGTGCAGCTTTGTGTGAGGCCCTTTTCTTTCCTTGTTATTTCTCATAAACAAGCCCGGTGCTCCACTTCAGAGTTTGACTAACGCAATCCTCACTCTGCCCAACGGCCTGAGCCTGCCGGGATCAAGACAGCTCACATGGGACACAATTACAGCTTTACTGAAACTTCACAGATGATATTGCGTTAAAGAGAGCGTCAGTCAAACTCGTCCTGTCTTTGAGGAGTCAAACGCTTACATGGCGCAAGTGCAGTTTGGATGAAACCATCACATTAGTGGCAAGAAAAATGCACTTACCACCTTGAAGGTCTTTGGAATAAAAGAAGAAGTGTATAAAAGTGTGATGGGGAGAAAGTAGAAAAATACCTGTACTGCTCCGAGATACTAACCATCACAAACAGCTTATTGATATTTATTTATTTGTCAATTAAGAGCATGCCGAGCAGTAACTGCATTGTTCATTTCACTTGATTACTTCCTTTTTTTGGGTTAGAATTTCAAGTTTTGACTCAAATGCCAAGAACACAGTTTACCGTGATCCCCTGTTGGGAGCAAATGGAGGGAATATTGAAGGGGGGAAAACAGAGAAAAGAAATTCACAGTTTTTGTTATTATTCAGGAGTGCAACCATCTACTCTCACCAAAATCAATATGAACACTGCTCCTATTTCTAAAGCACAAACATATTCACGGGACATGTTCCACCCACCGGAGCAGACCTTCTTGTAGCTCTTGTTCTCCTGAGGGTGGCCTGCAAGGCGGCACTGGAAACGGTACTGCCAGAACTCGGAGAACCAGGGGTTTCTGGTGTTGCTGTCCAGACGCAGCTTCAGATAGTAATCATCAAAGGTCTTGACCACCTCAGATTGCAGCTTCATGGTGATTCCCCCCTCTGCTTCCTGCTCGTATCCCTCCACAACCTCGTACCGGTCGGCCCATCCATCGCTGCAGGAGAGAAAGAAGAAGAACCCGTAACGTCATCGATCGCGGGGGGGACCGATGAAAGGAGTGAGAGTTAAAAACAAGTCAAAATTCAAATTGAGAGGCTCTCCTTGACAGTGCTTCACTTGTTACTGCTGTGTGTCTTTTGAATTAGACTGTTGTTACTAATGCAGCTTTACTTTGAAGGACAGATTCTCTTTTCCATTCTTGATTTTATGTCTTTTCTTAAGGGAACTAAAACAATTACCAAAGGTATATTTGTCAATTAGGGCCTTAGTTTATTAAAAGACCTCAAAGGCCACAACAATGATCTTGATGTGATTTTTCCATTGCAAATAATCACCTGTTGAACTATCAACCCTGCGTAAATGTTTGCATACCATCTAACAGATGAAGACTGTTAGAATTTAGAGAACATAACTGTTGTATTTTATTGAATGTATTGATCCATGTAATGATTCTTGGTTTGAAAGGTGATAGGATCGTTGAACTGTATGATGTTGTATTATCTGAATTATCATTTTCCCATCTAAGGTGACAAGGAGATGGAGAATGTACAGATGCACAACAAAAAAAGCCATTTGGTCACACAACAGTAAATGTCAGCAGCAGTTTTGAATATGTCTGTATTCAGAAGGACACTACTTGATAAGTTTCTCTCACACAGCAGCAAATGAAACACAACCTAAAGTCTGGTCATAGTTTGCTTTCATCTAAATAATGAGCTTCCACTACAAGTCGGTATGCAACAACCTCCAAACTTGTACAATGTTATTCAAAATCAGTGTGGCAGCAATGGTTGGAGGCTTCGAGTCCACTGCCGCAGTCCTTAATTTAAGAGGATGGAAATCTCACAATTAGTGCCACAACTGTAATTGTAAGCTTTACACAATCCCTTCAGCTTGCTTGTTTGTTTCCCTGATTAACCTTCTTTCTCAGAAATTTCAACCCAAACAGGCCAATTTAGACACACAGCTGGCCAACGCGCTCTCAGAGAAAACCCTCTCAATCTGAGCCAGAAGGAGGCTCCGGGCTCTTTTTGATTCTATTTCTCTCTGTCTTTAATGTGAGCTCTGGGGTGCTTCCTTCAAATACCTGGCAGCTACACACCAATTAGGTACGGCTCACCATGGAACCAATTACCTCGCACACATGGGATGTTCTGGGTCATGGATGAGGATTTGTGCGTCTGTGTGTGTGTGTGTGTGTGTGTGCAGGTCAAAATCTCTGACCTTTCCGTCCACAATTACTGTCAATCACGAAAAAGGAGACGTTCAAATGAAAATTTGTGAAGAGGAAACTTTACAGCCAATGTGATCGAGCTAGCTTTACTTTTTTCGTAGAGGTCTTAATTTTCTAAAACAGCTGGACCCCTTGTTTAGTTACACATTAAGTGCGCTAATAGTTTTTGACATTACTACTATATACCTAAAAGATGGATTTAGTGTAGGTTGCTCTAAGGCATAATGAATGGTGTTAATTAAGGTTGGGATCATCGATTAAATGATGCATGTGGACTTTTACTCTCTGCAACAAGTACAGTTGGACAAGACAAGGGAATGCGTTCTGTGAGACCAGATGGTGTGAGGACAATAATCACAGCCATATGTTCAGGATCACCACGTGTCCTTTGTCTCAGGATATCCGCCCGCCGTGTCCCCCGAAATGTTTGCTTTATATTACAGAAAGAGCAATTCAACTGAGTAATCTTTTTCCTTGTGTCAAATGAGAAAAGAATACGAAATCGGTCTGATTCTCTATGGGTGAACACTGCCTGTGTCCCTCCCTCCATCTTCCAGTACTCGTACAGGACGGATGGAGACACAAAGACGCACAGTGTAAAGTGTTCACTTACAGGGTAACCTGCATTTATTGCATTCAGCATATGTCATTGTTTTGCATATCTGCTCTCGCAGATCAGTGGAGAGCGGATTGTGTTTTAGATAAAGAGGGAGAAGTCCAACACACACTCTGGATGAATAAGGCATGAGGCGTCGAGGGCGCGCTTGACTGTTTCTCGCGATGGAGTTGGCGATGAAGTGAAACGACATTCTCTCTTCTCGCTCTCCTCTCTGAGGGACGCTGAATGGGACAACATCGCATTTGATGTCACGTCGACGTGGCGCGGCTTCACGTCGCACACCGGAACGCCGTTATTACACAACCTGAGTCAGATCCACCAGAGGAAAACCTGCTCATGCAGATCAAGGTATTTAAATTGTTTTACTGTTGTTGCGCTGAAGACTGCAGGAGGACGTAGGTCTGACGTATAAAACACAGTTTACCTCTGGTACATGTTATGAAATATGTCTTAACATTATTTTTATTCTCCAAAAATCCTCATGCCTAAAAACACAAAATAGGTCACTTGTAAATTGCTCAAACATTTTCCATGTTGACTGAAATGAGTGCAGTAAGTAGAGTGTAAATGTAGTTCGGGCACAACTGAATGAAACAAGTAAAACCCACAAGACTAATCGCTAATTGTACCGTATAAACTCAATGTAATACATCTTTTCAAACATATTTAATAAATCATGTCAGTGCTTATCTCGGCGAGTAAAGTCAGCATGACGCCGTTCCTCTGATACCACGTGCTTTAATAATGGCACATGCATGTTCTTTACTGGGACTTGATGATGTGTGGCATTGTTTGGAGGCGCACGGTGGGAGAACAGCTGGGTAATTTATAGAGTAGTATACAACAGCGAGTAGACCGGGAGCTCCCCCGACTCTCCCAGATGATCCAGTTCCAGTTTGATAGCACATTTGTATATTTATGAAGCCATGAATTAATTGGCAGGGCAGAGACTTAATCACATGCGCTGTTTCCCCTGGAGGATGAAGAGTTACTTTCAAAAGAGGAAAGGGAGGATAGGGGAATCAAGAGTTTCCTAATTGCTCTGTGAATGTGCCAGAATAAAAGTTCAGGTGGTTAATTGAAAAACTTCTAAACTTTTTCAAGCGGTCTGTTATTCATAGACCGGTAGAATGTCAAGAATACGTGAATTCATGTTTTAACTCCAACTTACACGCACATACACAGCCACGTGAGCATGCTTCATTTATTTCCATCATTAATTCTTGTTATTTCCTTTAAATCATTGTCCTTCTCTGTCATGTTCAGTGGTGGGAGGAGCGTCCTCATGTCAGAGTCTATACTTCTTAACAAAAATATGTGCTTTTGAGTTTTGAGGCTACTTGCAGTGTTATTTACTTTTCCAGAACACTGTTTGAGAGTGAAGACGTATTGGTGTGAAAACCATTTAACAATCAATATTTGTTGATTTACCTGAAAGTTTCTGTTACTAAATGGTTTTGTGAGAAATCGGGGACAGTAGTTCAACTGACCTGAGAAATCTGTGAGGGTTTTGGTGTAACTGTGTTACAAGGATATGGGATTACAGAACAGACTCAGAATCAGTCAAATTTGTCATAAGAATCCTTTAACCGGCACCATTCCGGCACCGACTTGATGAAGTTTATTTTTTTTATTGAGTGTTTTCAATAAAAGTTATGACCAGGTCCTAAACACGGTGCCCTTTTATGCAAATATAATTAGCTTATATTCATGTCATTTTTCCCCCACGGAATTTCTCTTATTTCTGCAAGTGAATGCAGTTAAAACTGGAGTGGCGCTGGCGTGCTAACCGAGCGGCGGCATCAGTGCGACTGTCTTGAGGTGAGAAAGAGGACCACGACTGAGCCGGGGAGCCTTTTAAAGCCCATTCAAGCTGCTTTTTACTAATTCATCATGCCCCAGTTTGAGTTGGGAGATCAGTCTCCTCTACATTGACACGGAACTCTGCTGGGAGAAAAACCTTTTGGCTTTTTCCAACCACGGGACATCAATTCACTACTAAAACCCTTCAAAACGTCTCTGCATGCAGCAGTAGCAGGCACTGACGCATGACAAGCTCTTATCATCAGAAGGTCAATTTAATGTCACACTATTACAGGTCGATTGGAATGTTGCTGCTTATGGATTCCCACAAATACAGAGCAAAAAAACCTGAACTACAACTAAAATAGTGCAAAATGATATACTATGAACATAAGGACACACTGTAACCTAAAGGATTGAAGCCATGTGTAACTGAATTTTTACATTTTATCAATACTAAATAGTAAAGATTGTCTGTGAGAAGAAATAATTGGTCCAATATTAGCTGCCCGGGCAAGAAAAGTAGTTCAGTCTGCTCTAATCGGGACGTGACAGCCACGTCCAGATGCGTAGCCAGTGGGCTATTTTTGATCATCCCAATGTCATCCACCCATCGCCTCGGCCCAATGGAACACCAGGCATCAATTGGAAAGAGAGCGATGTCCTTGACGACGTGTGGCCGCTTTCAATTAACATGGCAGGCGCGCTATAAATATTCAGCTCATTGTGCTCCCGCGCTCAGTGTAGACAAGACAAACACAGATTCAATCACGAATCCTGACTCAACTCGAAGGCGACAGTTTCCAGAGCCACGTGTGCCCGAGTAACGCACGCGGGGGGCTCCGTTACTGAATGAACGCGGATGATGTTTTCTCTAATCTTAATAATTACAATCTCCGTTGCTGTACTTGCTGGGCGTAATTTCTCAAATGTCAGCCACGTTTCCCGAGAAGCGACATCTGTGTTTGGAGCGCTGAATGACAGATCTGCAGTGAGACGATGAGCCCAAACGAAATCTCCATGGCGACTGCAGCACAAGCAGCACAAGCCTTTAATTACGGCCTTACAGTTTATCCCGCGCCTGCTGACAAAAATGTATATTGAGCTTGATTTCCTGCATGATGTGCCCCCAGTAAACTCCCGCTAAACTTGCATGAAGACTGTCAAAAGGACACAATCACGTCACACAGAGAGAGAGATTCATTTAAAGATGAACGCTCAGCTCATTTCAGTTTTTCCTGTCTTAGTTCCAGCTCTTCCTTGAACCACCTGCCTGAGTGTCAGTACGTTGCATTCATAACTGATGTATGAGTCGCTATTGTGCTCTCACTGGAAGCCTGACAAATAAAATAGTTCATATTGAGCAAGGAAGAGAGTGCAGCATTCGCATGGGGATCGTAACCTCATGCACACACGAAAAGAACCCCTATGTTGGACACAGTTATGTACTATTTAAAGCAGCATCTCCTCCGGAAAACCGTTTTCATTCATCTCAGTGTTTAGTTTGATTCTGAATTTACAAAGGATGAAGTAAACCAAAGCCTTTGTACGTCTGCAATTCTGGACGAGAAAGTTTCTTGATGCCAGCGCTGTCGCCTCCCTTCGCTTGCTATTTGCCAAACTGCTTGCAAGTTGATAGGTGGAACTCTGCATCCTTCACACTCTCTTTCCTAAGATGGCAAGCAGATGAAAGCCTCAGAGACAAGGACATGGAAAAGGCTGCTAAATGTGTCGCGCCACAACTCTCTGGCGCCCTGAATGTTTCATTTATTCAAGCTCAGAGCAAAACCTGAGTTCCCGTCGTACAGGAGGTTGAATAGGAAAACCAAACGCATCAGACACACACAATACAGTCACAGCTTTCTTTGCACATCAGCACGGCCTTGAAAGAAGGACTCATACCCTGGTAATGACTCGCCCACAGAGGAAGAACATTCACATTTCTGTATCCGCGCCCTTTTTGTCAAGAATAAAATAGGAAATTAATCAAAAACACAAGCAGGCATTCAAAATGGGGCCGAGACCCAAAATGCGTGTGCACGATATTCGGGGGGGGGGAATTAGCTTCACATGTGAAGAAGCAGCTTACGGACATGATGTTGGACAATGACTGCATTCAAGATGTATTGGTGAGAAAGAGAGAGAAAACAAGCGGGGCTGATTGCAAGAGAGCGAGAAGGCAAGTGGGTTGCTGGTTCGGCTCCACGCTGCCATTCAGAAGCTGAGCTGGGTGGGGGCGAAAGGCGTAAGGGGGAATGATGACAAAACACTGTACAAGACGTTTATCGAGCTTTCAATCCTAAAAAAGCTATTTCCTGCCAATTTCTTTATATTTGTTCCGAGTAGGTAGAAATATTGACAGATTCAGTGTATTAGTCAGTTCACTATGTATGTACTGCATGTAGCTGTCATGTAATTGCTTTTACAGTTAGTTGAAAAACAAAAATATATTGTTTTTATGACGAGGGATCTAACCTAACATATTTTCAGGGGGCCAAATATTCTTGCATGAACGGCTTTTTGCATCTGGAATGACATGGAGTCCAGGGAGTCATTGTTTGCATCGCTGTCTGTGGTCAAATAACGGGCATTACCGCATCACGTATGAAGCACATGCGTCTCTGTACACTAACCTCCCGGTCTCCCCATGAAAATGTATGTGGCTGCGCTCCAAAGTATTAAAAATCTGTGCAACAATGGTTTTACTTTCATGCATATATTTAGCTCCCACTCTGTATTCACCTGTGGCTGTTCTGCTGGAAATAAACGTGAGTCCTCCCACCTCAGTTTAAATCCTGTCTTGCTGTAAATCAATTTAGAATTTGCTGAAAACAACTGTGGATGATTTCATACAGGCAATACAAGGAAAACTACTGTTTTGTCCAATGTTAATATACAAATAGTGATTAGCGAGATTGAACGTTGAACAAAGTCACAACCATCTGTCCATCTAAAACTCCCTCCATCAAGAGGTCTTGTTTTATGGGAATTTCTTTGCTTATTGAGAACTTATCTAAGAATGTAAAACCTAATACTTGAGTTTTCACCGGATCCCATAAACTAACAAGATTTTTTGGGGGGTTTGTCTATGTCTCTCCTCTATCTTTGTTGCATCCATTACGATGTCTGAAATCCATTGGAATGAAGTGGATTCTTTTTGTAATTGAGTGTTTGCATAGAATAAATGTTGTATTGTGTGTGTGTGTGTGTGTGTGTGTGTGTGTGTGTGTGTGCGTGCGTGTGTGTGTGTGTGTGTGTGTGTGTGTGTGTGTGCGTGCGTGTGCACGCGCGCGCAGTCATACAGAGGAACGACAGCTTATTGGCGAAATCCTGATTGACATCCCGGAGAGAGAAGGTCGAGAGCCCTATTGACTGACAACAGCGGAGCCGAGAGGCTGCAAAGTGTGGAAGTGATGCAGAGCAGAGTCTGCAGGTCGGGGATAAAGTGGGCCGAGCACGCAGCCACACCGGGCCCTCGTCTGAAGAGCAGGTTAGCCGAGTGGCTAAAACCAAACCTCTCACATTCAAAACGCACGCAGTTCATGCAGCCACTGCTGTTGAGTGTTCCTGTCTGCCTCTGTGCGGCTCTGTCATCCTCTCCACATATGAGGCATATCGGGTGGAAAATGTTGGGTACGCCTTCTCCTTTTCGGTTTTGTTTGTGCCGAGTGCAGTAAAAATGAGAGATGTGTAAGGTCAAGGAGACACATAAGCCAATAACTGTCTCACCACCTCACTGATGGAAGCAAACCTGAGGTAGTGCAACAACTTAAATACCCTCAAATGTAATGTTGTGAACACTGCTGATTGTCTGTGTTGTGAGGTGATGAATTGTTTGTGGTCATTTAACATTTAAAATGTTTTGCAGCTTTCCCTGACAAGATGTAAGGAATAGTGCTTGTCTTGCTAAGGCGAAAGTTTAACTTTACCAACCTGTAATCCCACCATTGGCATATTATCACCTTTTAGGTTCTTAATAGAAAGATCTGGATCATAAAAGCACACAAATCAAAACTTCAGCTGCACATTTGTAATTTTTGTTTTGCTACTTGACTTTATGCAACAATAGATTTTCTTTGAGCCTGGTAAAAGCACTGATCATAGAAAAAGACCCGTTCGTTAGATGTTCATTGACAGATTTGGCTGTCTGTAATTCTTCTTGCTCAATCCCTTTGTTTCATTCACTCTATGTTTATATTTGTGTATCGAACGTTCTTCCCACCAAACCCACACAAACGTGTCACGGGAGAGGCTCCTTTTGAGGTGAAGGCATCGAATTAAGAAAACAGCTCCCCTTGATGAGATAATACCTGTCTGACAGCTCCGTTCAGTCTTTCACTACATTCTGTGAGAGAGACACATGGCTCGGCATCTGTGTTGGGCGCGACTCCCTCTGCCATCTTTACACACTCTGTGTCTCCTTCTCCCTCTCCACCTCTCTTTATACATAGATCGACATGTATGTCTCTCTCTCTCTCTCTCTGACCCAGAAGTATTTCTTCCTCCGATGGAGACTTCCGAAAAAGCTAAGAAAAGACCTACTTTCCTATCTCCTATGGAGGCAAAAAGAAAAGGAGCGATATGCAAAGGAATATAAACTCAGAGTGCGATTTTAATGGATAATTGAAAAGACGTGTTCTGCCTTCTGAAAAGAAAGAGTGCCTTCTCCTGCCGAGCAGTTAAATATGCACATATGCATTGGGTACAACCCAATGGAAACATAAAAGGAAACTAGTAAGAGAAGCACTTGTCTTGAGATGGCACAGGAATAATGGCAATGACCCAAAACAAATCCCCCAGTGCCTCTTGGACTTGCATACATACAAGACAAATAACGTACGGCCTGATTCAATGTCTAATTCAAATCCATTTGATACTGTAGCTATTCAACAAGAGGTTTCTTATTAGAGTCCTCCTCGTATCACCTACGGCCAGCCAATGCCCTACAACGGACCAGTGGCAAAATATCTCTTTGAAATGATAGAAAGATATTGCATGAATGAACAGAAAAGTGGCATTATGGTTTCTCTGGCTTTCACCCACAAGTGCGAATGCTCCTCGAGGGCCATTTCATGGTGCAATGTGCAGCTGCACAAGTGTGCGAGATGACTCGACTTTTTGTAATGACAAAGAAAGTCAGACACTGTCACTCAACATTGACTGACACAAAGAGAAAGTGGAACATGAGGAGTGAGAGATGGAGGTGAGGAAACAGTGTTACAATTCAGGTCTAAAATGTGTGTGCCTCTCTGACGGCTAAAAGCAAAATCCCGTCCATTGCATTAAAAAAAGCAAATAAGAGACAGCCCCAAAGGGGGACAATGGACTGCAGGCATTGTATCCCTCTCTAGTTTTGTGTGTGTGACCGAAATACCAATTATTCATTGCTGGAGAACATTTATATTCACCGCTATTGGTATGTGGTCTAGCTTTTCTTGGTTGCCCTGGTGACATGCACATCAGGAGGACAACACAGCATCTTGCAGCCTTCCAGCCTGTTCACCAGTTTCTTGCCATCAAAAGAGATGCTCTCAGCCTTAAATCAAAAGGTTTAAAAAGAAAAAAAACAACCGTACCTGCCGATGAGGAGGAATTCCCCAAACACCCCCAGTCTCCTCATGGCCATCAGGAGACCTCGGACAGTCATGCCTTCGCAGAAACACACAACTACGCGCGCCTTGGGTAGACGTTCCCGTAGTTTCCTCAGAAGGCGATCAAAGTGCTTCTCGCCCGCGTTGCTGTAGATCTTGTCCGAGTGGGCAATGCACAGACCTTCCAGGGAGGCCAGCTCCTTGAAGGCCTCCATGCCACTTTCTCCGTAGTTTCCTACCGGTGATGGAAGGAAACAATGAGAAATCTTCCCAAAAAAAACATTCTGTCCTTACTGTTTTTTGTTGTGGAATGTATTTTGGCTGTCTTCTTCTTAAACTGGCTCTATTCAAGACATGCATAAAAAGATGAAGGTCTTTTTCTCTCGATGCATTCCCAATTAGTGTGGACATTGTCCCGCCAGCAGTTGTTCAGTGCGTCAAATTCCGGCTCAGCTGAAGCTCTGATCCTCTCATTACGAGTGAACCGGCTACTGATTGATATCAAAGCCAAAAGGGGTGAAGATAGCTATCCTTGTTTAACAGGACATCATCCAAATCAAGAGACCGTCAAAGCTGTTTAGGTCTAAATCTGCTGTTTCCATTCGGACTGCAGAGCTTGTACTACTGTGTCTCGATCTGGATTTTTGATAAGACCCACAGCTCTTTAGCATGAGAGCTGGATTACACAGAAAATCCAATTATCTTTGCACGCTCAAACGTGTGTTTGTGAAATCAAGGTCCTCAACCCATAAAAACCTGAAAATATTTGCCGTGCAATTGCCTGGATGAGCGGCCGGGTTTCTGGGGGACTCCAGGACGTTTTACCATGAAATGGGTGGTGAGGACAAATATGCTACGTTTCTATGTGGCATGGCTTTGTAAAGCAAGGACTGTGACAAAGGAAATAGCTGTCACAGTAATGCATTTACTCCGGCCCACACATGTGCCCATGTGTTGGTTTTCTAATAGTCCTTTGATGATATTTTCAGTTGCCCCATTTCACTCTCCCACCGGTAAATGGAAATAATGATATCTAATTATTCTACTCATTCCATCGAGACATGTGAGACAGGTGGGTGGTGGTGCATTAGTTGACAACCCATTTAACAATGACCAAATACCTGCTTTGCGTATTCCTACCACTCTGATGCTAATCAGGACAGGTAATTTATGCAATTTCTCAGCCCTATCCGTTGCCACAGGAACAAGCTGCATCTATTGCTTGTCTAAGGTGGTGGAGAAAGAAATGCATGAGCTTAAGTTAGTCGTGACCACTATTTCAGAGAGCAAAACAAACAAGTGGATTTAAATAGGACTCCTCAAAGGTTACGGTCTGCATCAGACAAGTAAGGATGTAAAGTCTCAGCTAGAAACATTTACTGCGACTCATCTTGGTTGTCTCTTATGGGAGCTGAACATTAAGATAGTGTAGGGGTTTTGTTTCATTTAGAGAATACCTGCATGTAGAAAAAAAAACAATTTATATCAAATTAAAGCACACAAGTATCCTATTTGTATCGCTCACTCTGTAGCCTGTTGAGTAATGGTGTTGCTTGCAATCATATCCACCATTCCCCTGACTGGCGTTTCATTACTCTTAAATTGTGACTTCAGTCCCAGAGGTATCCACTGTATGTTGAAGGTCAGCGAGCTGATGCCACCTATTTATGACTCCAGGTACTACAGTCCCTTTTCGCCTTCTCTTCATCTATCTGACAGCAACCTCTCTCCAAAACTTGACTATAATGGGGCTGTATTTCACTGACATAATTCCCCACAGTAATTACTTACTCAACCCAACTCCCACAGCCTTTTCAACTCCCGTGTCACTATAAAAATGAACAAATACGCATAAGAGTTCTAAAAACTAGAAAGTGGGCCCGTCATGGAATTAAAAAATGAATAGTAGTATTAGTAGTAAGGGATTCTAAGGAGATAAGATATGTATCTTTAATATGGGAATCTGCTTAAATGTTAAACATTGTATGTTTTTCATCCCAGCCCCATCGTCCTGAATTAACCGTGCAATAAATTAACATTTAAGTATGAACACCTGTGTTAGTGCCTGTACAGAGCTTCAGAACATGCTTGAGATTCTAATCCCCAACTAAAGACAAGTGCATTTAAAACCCAATGAAGATGTGGCTTCAAAAGCCTGCACTAAAAAGCAGATGGACACTGTATGGTATGAAAATGATCTATACAGATGTGTGGGTAAGAGGCTATATCAAATATAGTATAAGTCTTACATTGAAAGGATGTTAATCGAAAATACCATAATGCACGATGAAGTCACAAAAAATCGGCTACACGACTAACATGGCTGGTGACTTAGAGAGATCAGTGGGCCTCACCCTCGGTGTGCACGGCAGACACGTAGGTCCAGTTGTATCGCTTGACAATGTCCAGAATGGCCCGTGCCTGGAGGGTGTCCGAGGGTACGACCCTCAGGAAGTACTTGAACAGCGTTTTGTCACTCAGGTCGATGCTGGTGGCAGAGTAGGCGATCTGCGGGATATTGAAGAGCTGCAGGAGGTTCTGCACCTGAATGGCCACGGAACTGGACCCCGGTCCGATCACTCCTGCGATGGGCTTCTTGGAGGGTGGAGGCTGGTGGGACGGAGTGCCGTCAATGCACCATTTGGATCCGTCCTTGTCGTCCCGGATGGAGATCAGGGAGTCCCGTATGAACTCGATGCTCTGCTCCAGGGCCACAGAGGAGTGCCAGCAGGAGTCTCGGATCTCGCAGCCAAGACTGATATTCGGAAGCAGGTTCGGGTCTGCGTTGATCCGGTCCAACGTGTGGAACATGGCCTCCACCCTTTGGATGCCATACTGCTCGCGGACGTCCCCACACTTGCGCTCGGCGACTTTCTCCGCCGACGGCTGGTGGTGGACGGAGAAGAGCGCGCCGATGATCACGTCTCCGTCCATGCGAGCCACGGAGCGGACCACGGCGCGGGGGACCGCCGCGCGCTCATAGATGCCGCCGCTGTGGGAGAGCACGAGGACGTGGAAGAGGAACGTGGGGAGACACAGGAGAGCGAAGAGACCCATGTTTACGCGTGCCATACTGTGCCACGTCGCGTGAGCCGTTCCAGCTGTGCAGGCATACTATCCGCTGTCCGCCGATAAATCCGGATTCAGTTCATCCCAGCGACTGCGATCCGTGAGGAGGACACCCGCGGCATATTTGCACCCACCTGCAGAGAAATGAGACAGACCGCTGTGATGTGTAGGCAGAGAGAAACGAGGCCAGATGTGCCGCGGTGGTGTGTGTGAAGAGTTGACTGTGCACGCATCCTCCCTTCTACCGACGCCCCGTTTTAATTCGCAAAAGGCGGGAGACAGTCCTGGTGCTTTTGAGCAAGGCATTTAACTCAAACCTACCTTAGCTACCTTGCTATCCACTGGGAATTGCCCGACCCTGCGGCTGGTTAGCTCTGAATAGGGCGCGTACTTGAACGTTTCCCAAGTCATCGTATTTCGTTCCGAATAGCCGGGGCTGTTTAAGGGGATGCTGAGAGAAGCGTGCGCGCGGTCCATCGAGAGCAGGTTTCAGCACCACGGACAGCGCGCGTACCAAATACACACGTTACGGGGACTTTTACCTTGTCCAAGCTGTCAAACACATTCTTCACCATTTGACTTTAGATATAGTTCATTAACAAAGCCGAAAGACGCAAAATCCTCCCGCAGCCGACTGTTGTTTGACGGTTTACACGAAAATAAGAAAATCTAGATTTGTAGATATTTTTCATCAGCAGGTATTATTACAGTATAACTATTAATAAGAACAATAATGCAGTCTAAAAAAATTGTAACACCAACTAAGCCAATATCATTCATTGGGGGAAGCCAAACATGAGTCGTCTCTTCTCAAAGGACTATATTGGATAATGGACTCTTAGCCGTCTTTTCCGTGGCCCTGTTTATATTCATCTTAAGAGGCTGTTTCTCTGCGAAAAGCATCCAAATTTACCTGAATCCTTGAGACATGTCGCGTGCGCACCTTTCTTCTCCAGCGCGCGGTCCTCCAATGTATCTCTTGAGTCTCTCTCTCCTTCACTTCTTCCCTCTCTCCCTCTCTCTCTCTCTCTCTCTCTCTCCCTCACTCCCTCCCCCTCTCTCTCTCTCCCTCTGCTGAAGATCCCACTCAACCATCGCCTTTTCTTTAATATATGTTTTGTTCGTGATGCCTTCATGTCTTAAAAACATGCATCTTGGAGTAAGCGCTGCAGTGCTTTGCCGGAGCTAAAATAACAGTCAAAACGTGGAAATCTAGTTTATTTTTTTTAACGACCATTATCAACCCACGTCACGCAGAGCATTTTCTCTCTCTCAAGCAGCTTTAAAAACGTTTGATGACAAAGTTTAGCCTGTTAGAAAACACAATTGCTCAGACTGTTATAAAATGATAAATGATAAAATGATTTTTAAAAATGCAGCTGTCACATCGTTAATATATGTAACATTTAATAATTCAGTGGGTGAACAAGGTTGAGAAAGAGAGAGAAAGTGATATGAGGTATTGAGGCTAACCATGGTTAACGCCTGACCATGTGACAGTTTTCTATAACTGAAGAGAACTTGTGACATTTTAGACCGAGAGCGCCAACAATAAGCAGGCAGAAGCATCACGCACAGTTGTCCGTGATGACTAATATGCCTCATATGTTCAGTCCTGAGCTGACTTGAGGCCCTCTGGCTCCAAATAGGCTACAATTGATATCTTCAGCACCATGGACAGCGATCAACATTTTTGCATTGCACCATCAAGTGTTTGATTGAAGGTCATTGATGTCATAAGCCATAAATCATAAGGTTAATTTCAGCCAGTCATATAGCCTCAACCTGATGAGTAAAGCTCTGTTTATTATTTAGGCCTGGTCTTAACGCGGATGCCGTAAGGTCAGCCTTTATCCCTTGGTGAGCTTTTAATAAATTGCATAAAAGCATGGGTTTTTTTCAAACTATTAATTGTTTTTTTGTTGGGGAGTTTACCTGCCACTGTAAACTACTTTTACTCAATAGAACTTCTGAAACAACACCGTCCCTTAGTGATAAAAACATTGACTGAGTCCTAATGGTTAATCTTCACCCTGCACATTGTCCTACGCAAAGATACGTCCAGCACCCAAGGGACATGCAGTTTACTTGGTAGGCTCTTGTCGTGACTCATGCCAGGCGGTATAAATCAGAAAAAAACTTATTAGAGTCGCTATGACACCGCAACTGCTGGTGCCATGGGCTTCGGGAGCGAGCATCTGCTATTGAACCTGAATTAAAGTGACATGCTTGAGAAGGAGGGGACTACTTGGATTCTGCAGCAACACTTCAGGGCAGAGGGCAACGGCGGTGCTCTGTTTATTCTAGGACAGCAGCCTGCGTGGGTTGACCACGTAGCCCATCCAGTGATGACCCGAGGTCTGAGCGCATAGGCTGTTATCCTTTCGATGATGTATCATTAGTCAATAAAGACTTATTTATATATTATAATACTTCTTTATTAAAATTAAATGTATGATATCAGTTAAAAGGAATAAATATCTTACCTCATTATGACCTTTTGCGGTTCCTCATTGTCAAAATGGGACGATCCAAACATACATTTCTGTTAAAATTAATAAAATCATTAACCTTAATCAATCTCTCGACAAACCATCTTTGATTGCCTGGCTTCTTGCAACTCAAGGGAATCCCTTGGTGCAAATATTTTTTATCGACGTGGAATTGATAGCATTTTAACATGTGACAGTTTACAGACAGCAGGCAAATATAATTAAACAAATCTTGGTTTGGAGTCTAAAATGCAACGTTAAGCTTAAAAAAATTGCACGGATATTAATCCCGAGAAGCTCACAGCTCAGTTAGCGGTGTTAAATCTATCCACCCAATCTTTATCCTCATCACCCTTGTGTATCATGGCTTGGGTTGCATCGGCACGGTGCATAATATACAAGTAAACCTCATGTGAATCTGTAAAACTCAAGTGCATGACGTTGTGCTTCAATTCATCAGTAATCCAATATACAGTATGCTGATCCCACAAAGCATTAAATACAAAATAATAATAATAATAATGACATTGACAGTATAAGGATTTAATTGGAGAATAAATTGCAAATTAGTATCTTTTTATGTATTTACATTTTATATCATTTAAATTATGATGGCCCCAATAACTGGGTTTATAACACCACATGACAAGTGTATTCAGCACTGCAAGCGCTGTCCCGCAGATTTGTGTGCATGAGTCAGCCCCTCCTGCTCCAGGGGTGATGTTTTGTCCGTTACCCAGACCTCAAAACGTGGCGTGTCTTTCAGTTAACTCAGAGGATTTACGAATCTGACCGTTACCAATCGGTGGGCCAGGTGGCAAAACTAGTACAGCAGTGACCTCGGCTGTTGGTTACTGGTCGTTGCAGGCATCTGTGGAGTTTGTAAGGGTTCTCTATTTTAGATGGCTACATTTAAATTAATGTATGGATGTAGATGTTGCTGATTTCAAATATAGTAATCATTATATACAAGATAAATGTTTAATACAACAACCTATTTTACAAAATGTATTTTTGTCGGATTTGTATATTGGATTTTCATAACACTATATATGTCAATGAAATATTCAAATAAATTAAATTTAGCATTAAATCATAATGTTAAATAAAAAGGTAAAAAAAAGACGGATTGGAGTATGTATATAATATATATGAATATAATTAAAATATAATTACATAAACTAAAAAATGTTAAACTTCCAGACTTTACTTTTTTGCTTATTTATGAGAACAGTCACACTTAGGTAAGTGTAACTATCATACGTAATAATTTGATTCTATTTTTTAATTTCCTGTTCCTTTCGTTTTTCAGCCCTTGTAATGTAATAATACATATTGATGTAACGTTATGGCGACAATTCAGCCAATAAAGTTTTGAACAGAAAAAAAGAGGCTGAGCAACAAGGACTGTAGTTAGCTAACATTAGCACTTTCCCAACAGAGGTAATTTAGCTACAGTAACAGCAAATTGTATTTAGATATAATAGCCAAACCCAATCTTATCAACACAACGTAAAGGTGAGAAGATACCTGCGTGCTAACGCTACATTATCATGCTAAGTTAGCTTTTCGTGAACTTCCGAGTTAGCTAACTTAGCTGTTGTTAGCAAACATTAGCCGGTCCGTGCATCCTGCCATTGTTCCAAAGAAAAAAAGAAAAAAAACGGGTCGATTTGACAGCAAAATAAAAGTGGCGTGCACTATTATATGTATATATAAAACATGTCTGCACAACAGCTAAAGCTGGTCGTGTCGTCTGGGGGTCCCTTTGTTACACTGCTGTGTGCATCAAACCACAACTGTATGATTACAAGATGCGTTCATAAGTCACCCAGAAACTATTCATAGCGTCACAAACGTGCAGCCACGGCTGCAGAACGTTGACTCTCTCAGTAAATATACATTTATCCAACGTTGAACACCACCACGTTCCACGTTAGTTTATTAAAACCAAACAGGGGCCTTTCGGTCTGCCACAGTTCTTCGGATACTCCCGACTCCTGCTGTTCAACTCTGGTATTTACGTTATATTTATCATATTTATTGCACTTCAGTCTTTGCGGTTGGTCTGTGAGAGGTCCTGCTTTGCCATTTCACACTAACTAAAGGGAACCAACGAGTACACAATCAGACGTCAATCAAACGGTCTCTTCAGCGTCCTCAAACTGTCAATTTATCTCGTTTTCAGGACTCAGTACCAAACAACATTACGATTTAGTTTTCTGATGTCATTTTGAGACCGTCTCAGGACTCTGTATTGTAAGAAAGGGAAGGTTTGGACCTGGTAAATGGTGAAATGGTGTAAATATGAAGGGCGGCAACTTGTCACGTCGCACCTGACAACGGAAAATAAAAAGATTTACAATTGAGGGTATTTATTTCACCCCTTTTACTCTGATTTGATTTCCTTCCTTATATAACGAAGATAAATAAATGTTAATGCATTTCGTCAAAATAGCTTCAATGACAAAATTCAATATTTGATGAATAAATGAGTAAAAATGTCTGATTTCATGTTTTTATTTAATCCCCGTGCTTTCACCGGTTATCTCATTTTAACGTCACACTGCGACGACGTGTGGGTAATCCCCTTGGGCGAAGTCAGCATCTAATATCGACTCACGCAAAAAATGTCTGCCAGACCCTCAAACACTTCACGATGACCGTGGGACAGAACCAAACTCTCACAGAGTCAGAGGGGATGCACCTCAAAGTCTGTTAGTTTGTTTGTTAATTTACTTATCTCATTTTTTAATACACTGATATTATTTCTCTTTCATCTTATTCGGCAGGGCAGTGGATTTTCCCCCCTCTGTTACACTCCTTGAGGTCTGAAGATGGAGGAGGACCACGTTCACTGTATGTCCTGCGTTAATCTGAGATGCCAGGTCAGACCTCAACTGGGCATTTCTTGTGATCTTATCGCCTGTCCCCTGCTGTGTGGGGCTGTATTTCACTCCTGCAAAGTTGATGAGCACCACCTCATGTGCGCACTGATGAGGGTCCCCTGCCTAAACTGTGGCTACGGCTGCCCTGCCACCCTTGTTCGCAACCAAATGTATGCACACCTCGAAGTGTGTCCAGCCGGAGTCGTGTGCTGCACAATGGAGTGGAACAGATGGCCCGTTAGCTGCCTGGACTATACTTCCTATGAGAGCCTGAGCCGTGGGGTGGAGGAGGTGGAGCAGTTAGATATGGCACTTGCTCTACAGGACCAGCGTACGCTACTCGAGTCCCTCAAGGTGATCACCATGGCGCCGACTGCAGAAGGAGAGCCTCTCGTGCCGGTTAGTAAGGGCGTGAGTGCGACGGACTCGGCTTTCCTTGCATCCGCGCCGGAGGCCTCCACCGCTACGGAGTCACCCACGCAGTCGCCGTCCTCACGTCTGCCGCGACCTCCGCCACACGCCTCCGCAAAGGAGCGAATTGCCAGTGGCATCAATGGCTTGAACGAGGAGCACTTCAGTGAACTCTACCAGGCCACAGTGGAGACTGCGAGAAGCTTAGTTGCTGCTTTGGACTTTGTTAGCAGCGCGAACGCTACCAACAGCAGCAAAGACTGGATCGAGAGTGGATCGAGCAACTATGGAGACGTTAAGAACGGACCCGACGTAAAAGCGCTCTCCGACGGTCTGAATGAAAAAGAGACGGCGGAGCAAAGCGTTTGCTCCGGGTGTTTGAGAGGAACCGGGGCTGCGATGGGAACAGATCTAAAGATTGTAGAGACAACAAATGGACCACTTTCGGGAGGAAGGGAGGCCTGTGTGGCCGAGGTGAACGATGACATGGACGCTGGAGTTTCCCAGGAACCAGCCACGCCCCCAATGGCATCTCCACTGCATGTCAGCCGGGGGGGGGCACAGAAGGCCGCTCATGTGGTCCTGGGAGACAGTGGGCTTTTAGGGAACCACGGGCCTGAACGAAAGTTGGACAACCACCATTTTTTTAGGGACCAGGGCCAATGTTCACTACCTAACGGACGCGTAGGTTTCATCCCGGACAGGTCGAGGTGTCGACCTCGACCCAAAACGGAGGACAAGGCAGTAGACACCTCGGATCTGGAACAGGTTGACGACCCCATGGGTCTGGGGGAGGTCGATCTGATCACAGCAGCGCTGCTCTTCTGTTTGGAGGAGTCCAGAGAGTGCAGGAGGATCTCTGACACGGTCTACGTCGACGGCTACCGCGTTGGCTTCGGAACGCAGACGTTCACTTTCCCTGCGGCCATCTTGGTGACCAGCACCAGAGTGGGTGAAATCGCCTCCGCATCCGCCTGCGACCACGCTGCCCCGCAGCTCTCCTATCCGAGCCCCTTCCGCACCCTCCGCCTCGGCCTCGTCCTGGAGGCGCCGGAGGTGGACGCCGTCCCGCACAACCGCTACCTCCCTCCCAACCCCCGCTACCAGCACATGTTCCCTTTCGTCTGTGGCCAGTCGCTGCGTCGGGACCAGTTTTCTTCCCATTTCACAAATGTCCACGGCGACATTCACGCCGGTCTCAATGGTTGGCTGGAGCACCGCTGCCCGCTGGCGTATTACGGCTGCACGTTTTCTCAGCAGAGGTTCTACCCGTCGACCAAGGGGGCCAAAGTGGTTCATGACAGGCACCTCAGGTCCTTCGGGATTCAGCCTTGCCCGAGGGCAAAATTTCCAAGTGACTTCCAGTCCGACCAAATCAGCGGGCTTCCCATTGAGATATTTTGGCACATAGCCGGGTTCCTGGACAGTTTCAGCCTGTGTCAGCTGTCACTGGTGTCGCGGACGATGAGGGAGGTGTGCGCCAGTCTCCTCCAGACCCGCGGCATCGTGGAGCTGCAGTGGGAGCGGAGACGACGTCCCGGTGCCCTCGGCATCGTGTCCTGGGAGATTAAAAACAGAGTGAGTAGTCAAGACTTTTTGATGGATTGTTTTTTTATCTCTAATCTAAGGGACGGCGTTGTTTTTTAATCCCTACGTTTTTATGATAAATAGTATAATATCATACACACACAAAAATGTACTTTGACCATATTTTTATGGAATATAGTACAACCAAAAGATAATAGTACAACCCAAAGCGTAATGTTTCAATAAAATCTATTTATTTAGACTTATGATGGCAGTTAGCTACAAGAAAGACTTTAGGATTTGGAGTTTCTGTAACAAAAGCAGGGAGAGAAGCTTAAGATAAGAATTATAAGCAACTCCTGCAAACCTTTCCAAAGGTTTTGAGCTTAACACCAACATCTTTTTTTTTCTTCTTTTTCCAATGCAGGTGTGGCGATTCAGCACGGCTTTCAGCCCAGTGCTGTCATGGGGTTTCACCGACCTCCCCAGCATGTCGAACCACCTCAAGAAGTGCCCCTTCAACAACGTGGAGCACAAGACGCAGCCTGTGCCCCTCCCCGCCATGTACACGCCACGAGACAGCCACTCGCTGCATCTCGTCCTCCGTCACATTAACGCCTGATCGCACCGAGCGGACCCCTCGGAGCTGCACAAGAGTCACTGTGCTGTCGTGTGGATGTTGCAATTCAATATTTGATGTCTTGAAAGCATATAACTCTTCCTGTTTCAGACTACATTATTAAGAAGCCTTAATGAAATAACACACTTGCCACAAACAGGGTCTGTTGTCGTTGTGGGTTGCATGGATTTGTGCACAAATGTGTCCTTGGCAAGATAAATATATATTTTTCTCAAAGACAAATACGCATAATAGATTTATACTACTCAATATAATATACTGTAAAATGTTTTCACTATCTTGCCTTTCAGTTGCAGCCATGGGGGACGAGCAGATTGTTGGATATATTGCACTGTGTGACAGAAGTTATGCCAGCACTTTACAAAAGATTATTTAACCCATCACGCATATGTTGATACAAGATCCCAAATGATCTCGTCTTTGTGATTCCTATAGCTGGTGTCAACAAATTGCAAGTCTTTTTTTTCTTGGTTTGTAGGACGTCAGGGGCATAAAAAAGACGGCAATTGATATGAAGGAGCCTGACAATGCATGTGATTTGCTCGGATTTAATAAAGTCTTTACAGCCTTTTATGCATTTTTCTTTAAGCTCTTCAATATTATTCAATATCAAATGTTATTATGCATTACCGGCTTTGAGAAGGCAGTCATGCAATACTAATATCCCATCAGAGTAAAGTGCAAAGACACTGAGCTGCAGGAAAGGATCAGTGAGATATTTACACTCAGCTTCTTAGGAAACAAAGCCTCGGGCATTTAACCAGCGAAGCATTTCAAATTTAGCAAAGATAGGGTTTGTTTCATTGTGCTACCAGCCGGGTTTACAGCAAGCTTTCATACTGTCAAGGAGTCAATCAAATGCATCACCATGGTGATCGTCACAGTGGCTGCTTGACATGCTGCAGTAAATAATGGCCAGGTAATCAGATGGGACACTGGAACAGGTATTGAAGTATGAGTTTGCGGTAACACCTTAAATGTGCAAACATTTGGCAGGTCAGCAATCCGCTTTAATTTAATTGGATTTTTTTATTTCGCCGTGCATAAGTTTCCACAACAATAATCAACTTCACCTTAGCAACTGGGACTCGACAGCTCAGTTAAATTAAAATGTTTCCAACGAATCCACTCATGTTTACACTCCTTAGAACAAAGTATCTGTCTATCTATATATCGAAGTAATCGAGATCTAGAATTCACCCTGATATGGGCGATGTATAGTTTTTGGTAATTCTGTCAGAGTGGGACGTCTTGTATTCCACCCACACAAACGATCCCGGTGTATTTTTAGATTTGACACAGTTCACAGCTGCGCACGCTGAATCGATCGAGGACCACGTCATTCGATTACGGCAGCCGCGATGTTGTTCAGGTTCGGGGTCATTCTCACCCCGGAGTCCTCGGATGTCCGGGTCTATGTTTTGGGTTCGCGTAGGGAAATGGGTGAGTGGGACCCGCGCGCAGCGGTCCAGATGAGGGCCGCGCAGGACCCCCTGCTGTCCACGCACGAGCCGTGTCTGTGGATCGGAGACGTAGAGCTGGCAGAGCCCTGCAAAGACACACTGTGGTTCAAGTTCGTCCAAAGAGTCCGCGGCTCTTGTATCTTGGAAGGTATATAAAATATAACGTTATATGTATTTACAGTTGTATCACTCCGCCATGTTTGGTTGGTGTAATCCACCCATATGACCACTTGATGGTCACTTGAAACATTAACTAAATGCTCGGGGGGGCAATTATTTGGCGTCTAACACTTTCCCCTCTTACATAATCTCACATTCAATGTTGCTGCATTTCAAATGATATTGAAGTGTAATTGATGTAATTTAACGTTACTAAGTTATTATCCGAAAAAGTAAATAGACTTAAATTTAAGAAAAAAGGCAGCATTCAGTGTTATTAATATATTAATAGTATTATATTATTAATTATATCAAATTACTGGATTTATATTAACTTGCATGAAACGTTTCAATAGCTGTCAGGAGGTTTGTAAAAATGCATATTTTCAAAATAAAACATGCTAGAATGGGTAGATGGTCACTGACCTGCTGGAAGTCTCCTCTGTCACCAGGAAGTGGTCCGAGCCATGACCGGTGTTGTTCATATGATGAGAGTAACGTCGTGGATGGAGTGTACTGCCATCCGATTGGTCACTGGATAGAGGAAACAGGACACACAGATGAGATGAAACACACCGCCAACTTCTACTTCGGTGTGTCCGGTCAGAAGGCCATTCACTTCTCCAGGTAATGCAGTGCAGCAGCCAAACAAAGCCAAAGCCACCAGTTGGAATGCTCTCCGTATGTATGGCATCTCACACTCTCGGATGAAATATTGTAGATATGCTGTAAGATTGTCATTAAGTTGGCAGCGCGGCTTTAGACTGTTAGAGGAAGTGTATCCTGTGACATGAATACTAACTGGTGAGTTGTGCTTTAAGACGCCCGCCAGCATCACTGCCTCGGGGTGTTTTTATTGTGGTTGTTGCTGCTGAGCCGACCGCCCAATTTCATACCAACATAATATCCCAAATGATATGTACATTGATATATTCTGAACTTCTCGGTTCAGAATTAATGAAGCCCTCCACCTGCAAAAGTACTCTTCTCGTAGCCGGTAGGAAGTACCACTGTAAGTATTCTGCCCTTGTGATGTGATATCCGATGTGTGTACAACATTTATCAATACTGAAAAATAATGAGACCCCCGGGGCCCAATCAGTCTCCCCACTGAAGTGTGATACTTTCTTAACCAACCCGCTGATCAGCTCCTCCTGCGGTTTTCAAACATAACCAATCTTCTTTAGTAGGGTCAATATTTCTTGGGCTGTTGACAGGACGGTAACGTCACACTGCGCTCTCTTAATGGAAGTAGTCACTCACTCACTCACAGGGCAGACAAAAGGCTGGGCAGACTCACGCCTTGGTTTTTTGACCTGGATCTGTCCCAATTACATTGTAAGTCACTTGAAAATCATTGTCCTTTCAGAAAGTAGTCCATTACGTGGTACTGTAAGTACAAAGGATTGAAGGGATTCAAAAACTTTGCCTTTGCACAAGTTTAGATAAAATGAGTTGTTTGTTTGTTAAATCAGTCATTTGAAGCCTTCAGGTTGGATTGAAATCCGTCCCTCTGTGCTCATTTCAAAACGCAGCTACATTTCTGTCACAGGAATTGAAAAAGGAATACTTGATATATTCCTTTTAAGCTATTTTGTTGACATATTTCAATTCAAATGCATTCCTGGAACCCTGAAAACTTTTCTTAAATCTGTCCGTCATTGATTCTACCAATTTCTATGTGTTTTGATAATCCAGATATATTTTCAGCACACTATTAAAGCTCCCGGAATGTACTTTTATAAAAGTTTTCTGATACATACTTTTGGGAAAGCAAGTACCTGGGGGGGGGGGGGGGGGGCAATGTCTGATGAGTCAGTCAGTCCACTTCGTTCCATCCTGAAATATGTCAACTATTGCGTGGATCGGGAATGTTGATGTATAGGCATAAATGTTTCCCAGAGGATCAATGTCAGTCTTTTCGTCCACTGGGTGAAAAAAGAAAACTGTCCTGTCTGACACACCGTTACACCACCCGTTACACCACCCTGCGACGTGCCAGTAGTACTGGGAGATATCTCCAAAAACAACAACTGTCCATATCAATGGAATTGGTGTATTGAGCGCACAACACGCAGCATTAATTCAATCCACCAACCCGCACGTTCCTTCCATATTTAGTGCCGGGATTTACCAGGGACCCCGGAGGAAGTGAGCGCACGACAATGAGCAGGCTTGGCCGGTACCGTCTGCTTTTGATTAGTGTCCGAAGACCTTACAAGGATAATTACCAAGGACCTGTGTTTAGTAGGTGCGCCTCCAGTCCCTTTGTGTCCTATTAATAACTTGACATAGTCCCTCAGACCTTGCAGCCACACGGACAATCACATGATTTAAAGGAGGCTTTACCTCGCTGTCATGAACGCAACCCTTTTTATTTCCCCCAGGGTGCTGCCGCGCGTTTGGCTGGGCAGCTGCCCTCGACAGGTGGAACACGTGACGATAAAGATGAAGCACGATTTGGGCGTCACCGCGGTGATGAACTTCCAGACGGAGTGCGACGTGGTGAACAACTCCGACGGCTGCAGACGCAACTTCGGTGAAGCCATGACCCCCGAGACCATGATGCATCTGTACAAAGACTGCGGCCTGCTGTACGTGTGGATGCCCACGCCCGACATGAGCTCGGAGGGTGAGGAGAAGTCTCGGGACGTACAAGAGTAAACACGTAATAATAGCGGTATTTAGTTCTTTCTCAAAGACCCTTTGGCAGTGCATGTGCAGCACAGTTGAAGTCGCGAGTCTGTCAACCTTCACCGGGCTGTTTTTTTAAATCTTAGGAAGCCAACAAAAAGGTTTCTCTCTCTATTGAAAGAGAAAATATTATAGTAAATATCTACAAAGAGATGAATGCATGACATCTAAATAAAAATAATATGTGCTAATTAATTGTATTATAGCCTAAAATGGCCACTTAAGTACTTTCAAGGTTTCCCTTTAGCTAGAATGTTGCAGTACAATATCAGAAATACTGCCCTTAGTAAACCAAGGTGCAAACAAAGGCACCTGAGATAGAGATCCTGCTACAAGTGTATCTTTTGATTCTTGCGTTTATTGCTGTTAGTGTGAGGTTTCACCAGAGGTCCAGAAACCACAAAGATTGTGATAAATAGACATTTTAAGTACGCACGGGGCAACTCGAGGCAAACAACCGCTGACACGTTATGCCGTATCTGTTCACAGACACCACAACTCACACTTTCACACCGAATGGGTGTTAGAGGATCGATGCACCATTTACCGACGTCTTCTTTCTTGCAGGTCGGGTCCGGATGCTTCCCCAGGCTGTATTTCTGCTTCACGGTCTCCTGGAGAACGGTCACACTGTTTACGTCCACTGTAACGCTGGCGTAGGCCGGTCGACGGCGGCGGTGTGCGGCCTGCTGGTGTACGTCCTCGGCTGGAGCCTGAGGAAGGCGCAGTACTTCGTCGCAGCCAGGAGGCCGGCAGTGTACATCGATGAGGAGGCTTTGGTCCAGGCTCAGGCAGATTTCACTCAGAAGTTTGGACAGTTACGATCTTCCATCTCTTACCCGCACACGTGAGAATCGACTTTCCCACTGACGTGTTTACATACGTGCGCGGCTCCGCGGAAAAACTACATTTCTGAAAGAAATAACCTGTAGCAAGAAGAGCAACTCAGCCAAAGTGGGACTTTAGCTGAGTTGATATCTGGTAGAGTATCTGAAGAGTGTTCTTCTGCGTTGGAGTGGGCTACCACACTCTGGTAGTACTCAGCAAAGCTCTGCAAGTATTTTTAGTCTTTTATTCTTTGCTCGCATCCAACAGACTGAGTGCTCATCAGTAAAGGATGTTTTTCCACGGTTACTAATATAATTCTGCAATAAAAAAAGATAAGAAATTATAATGTTGCATAAACATGGCAATGGTCGGGGAGCCGGGACTGGAGGCGGGGTGGCTCCCCAGGCGCCTGATCTTGAAAAATAAACAGTACCAGGGGCCGTCACAATATTTTATTGAAGGGGGCTAGAGAGACACCGAGCTGTCAGACTCCGGGGGTCAAGGTTCGTCTCTCTTTGCTCGAGAGTTCAGTTCTTCAGGGTCTGGTGGAACCTTCCCCTGGAGTTCATCAGCAGAAATCCCACGCAAGGACTGTGGGGAGGAAACAGAGGTTCCTTCTGGGAGGGCATCGGGTCCTCCACTGATGAATGCCTCTACTGGGGTCGAAGGCTCGCTCAGACAAAGTTAGGGAGCCGTGACTGGAGGCATCGGGGACGCGAGTCGGGGAGCCGTGACTGGAGGCGTCGGGGACGGGAGTCGGGGAGCCGGGACTGGAGTGAACTGTGTCTGTGAACTAGAAGAAGAAACAATCCATCACTCGATGTCTAATATTCACGAGAATATTTTTGGGTGAATGTTCTACATACAGGATGAAGGAAAGAAAGATGTGTTCTTTGTACCCTTGGTTTTTGAACATTTTTTTATCAAGAACTGCATGAATATGGCACCATGATAGTAATTTTATTTATCACTTAATGAATCTTAATTTAATCATTTTTCAATTTTTTCATATCCAATAATAATCCATAAATGAAACATTTTTCTCAAAATAAAGGGAAAATATATATTTACATGTTTGATTTAGCTGAGGCTTTTATCCAAAGCAAACCAGAACAACAAGAATCAAGAAAGTCCAATTTCTTCAACAAAGGCAAACTACAAAGTGCTGCAAGTAAGAGTCATCGTAAGTGATATAACGATTATATACTGTTCTCATCACACCGAAGCTGGGATTGACTCCAGCCCCCACGCGACCCTGTATGAAGGATAAGCGGTTTGAAGATGGATGGATATCCTCACACCTATGTAGTAATTCTGTAGTACAAGTAGTAAAAGTGCATCTAAAATCCCCTTAGAATAAAATGTAAATATAAATAGATTATTGGGTTCAAATGGAATTGATTTTATTTCAAATAATATATATTTTTTCTTACAATCAAAACAAGCTTGATTTTATCTTGGGGCATGCATTAATGTCTTATTTTACTTTTATTTTATTATTTTAGTTCTTAGTTCTGCCTTCTGTGTTTTTTTTAAGTAGTTATTGGTAATTCCCAGTTTGGTCGCTAGGGGCAGCAGAGCGCCGCACGTCTCCGTTAAGCAACTTAAACAGGATGACACACACACACAGAGTAGACTGTTTTCTGTCTTTGTTGTTATGTATTAAGGACATTGGAGACACAGTCCGTCTCCGCAGCATGGCGTGAGGTCACGTGACTTCCTGCTCAGCAGTTTTTTCCGCTGTGGTTTTCGTTTCTTAAGTTATAAATCCTGCCCGGTTTTCCTGCACATCTTTTCCACGCGTCCTCCAGCTCTCATTTCTTGGAGGAGGCTCACTCTCACTTCCTCTCTATTTCCACGACGTCGTCCCACTGGCTCCGGTTTCGTTCTCCTTTTTAAAATTATTTTCCATGGCTCATTTGTCCAGTTCGGTGCCGGTAAACGTGTCCAGCTGCCGAGGGGAGGAGACGCCGCGGTTACCGAGTCCACCGTCAACGTCACCACGGCCATGTCCTGATTTTCACAGTAAAAGCCGTCCTGTTTTCTTCCTTTTTTGGATATTATTAGTCGATCTCAGCCTGTATGTGAACACCCTTTTAGATACAGAGGGTTGTTTTCCTGGGTATTGAACCCGTGACACGTGACGGTAGGTAATATGTAGGGTGTTCTACCAGTGGGGGGGGCGTCAAGGAGGCCTCCGAGCCAGATGCCCCAACCAGCTGATCCTTTTGACACAAAGCCATAGCGCCTCTACTCCAAGTTCCCTCCTGATGTCCGAGCTCCTGACCTCCTCTCCGAGGCCGAGCACGGCCCCCCCTACGGGGGAAACTCATTCCACGACTTCACTCTTTCTGTCTGAACCCAGAGGCCAAGGTTGAGGGTCGGCTCCCTCTTCACCACGACGGTCCGCTTGTTTTACCCGATGCTGCCGCACGATCCGCTTGTCGACCTCCCGATCCATCCCGCCCCCACTGTGGCAGGCCGCCTGTCCGGGACCGTGTGTGACGTTTTGATGAGGATACGAACACATCTCCTACTGCAGTCCTACAGAGACCGGATGGCCCGCTGCAACGGGTCCAGCGCCCCGCACAAAGAAAGCCAGTCGAATGTCTTCTCCAAGTCCACAAAGCACAGGTAGACTGGTTGGGCAAACTCCCAAGACCCCCCCCCCAGTAGTCTTGCGAGGGTAAAGAGCTGGTCCACTGGGCCACGACTGCTCCTCTTGACTTCGAGGAACGACAAACAAGGAGCGATCGTCTCCCCCCTTAACACACAACGGTCTCTTATTTTAGACGTTGAGTTTCATGTTTGGGGAATACAAAAAGCTGGAAAAAAAGATCCTTACTCTGATGGCAGGACAGGAAGTGTGTGTCGGGATGTTTGACCCTTCAGACGTGGGTGTCTGTGTGTGTGTTGTTGACGTCATCTTGTTTACAACCAGGATGGGACATGATCCAGCAGCCAGATGTTGCTGCAGTTTGCCTCCAGAGTGGTTTATCATTTGATCTCAGCACAGCTTTTTTAAAGCATTTAAAAAGTTTAAATACATTCAAAAACACTCTTCTTTAAAGACAAGAATGCAGGTTTTTAGATTCGTCTGCAGGTGAAGCAGGTCGAAAAATTCGCTGAAACCAAACCAACGAACTTCTCGTCTCATTCACGCTACAAAGAACCGATGTCTGCCTGCTCTGATTGGTTGTTCCTCGTCACAATTGGTGAAAAAAAACAACCTCTGTCGCTTTAGAGTCTCGCCTGACAATGAAATACCTCAGCCTCTTCACAATAGAAGACTTCTCTGAGGAGCATCGGCTCCCCTTTGGTCCTGTCGGGTTGTTTGCTCGGCCTCGGCCCGGCTGCTCGCCCTCATCAGGATCATCTCCAGCAGAACAAGTAACGGCTGCACGCTTCGTCTCCTCGGTCCAGCTCGCTGTGAAAGCTTTCACATTCCTGCGAGGCTCGGCACAGACTGCAAAGAGCCTCCAAAGCCGCTAACGCTAACAAGCGCTAACAAGCGCTCCTTTCTGGTTTCCCCTCACAGCTGCTGTGAGCAGCTTTTAATCACCTTTTGAACACCTCAACACGGAAAACTTTGTTCTGAAAAACTCATGAATAAAGTTCTATTTTTCTGGTTTAAAGCAGAATCTCAGCAACAAAACTAAGAAATGACCAGAAATAAACCAAGAGAGCCGTTGACTTCCCCTACAATCAGATCAGAATTGTAAGTTATTGATCCGAGGAGGAGCTGGTAGGTGAATATTCTCAACAGTCATGCTAGCTCGGCATGTTTTTATCCTTTCGTGGGATTGAGATCTCTTTAATGTTTCTAAATTGACTTCCTTCCCGACCCGGGAGTCTTGTTTCCTCCTGGTAGGCTCATGACCCGGAGCAGAAGCTAAGCGTTTCGCTCCCAGTGGGATGAACCACTCATTGATGTGTGAAAGAGACGAATGAGCCACGGAGGGAAGATTAAACCATCATCGCCATTATTCATTAGCTTTAGCTAGCTGTCCCTAATATCTGCACTCAAATAAACATGGCGACAGAAAAAAAAAAAAAAATGGTCGATATCTCTTTCCGTCTCTCTCGCTCTCTTTCTCTTTGTTGTCTCGGAAGGACAAAGGAAGCAGATCGACCCTCACAGACTTCAGTCCTTCAGATGCTCAGTGGTCGGGGTAGATTCACTCTTGTTGCAGACTGTTCAGTCGAGGGTCTTAGTCGGGGGGGCCCCTGCAGGCCCCTATTGCCCCCCCCCCCCCCCCCCCAACATGGTCCTCCTTGCAGTTAACCTGCATTTAACCTCCTGATCAAATGCAGTTAGTCCCAACACCTCATTCAATTAGCCGCCGGTTAGAGCCGCCCTCATCCATCGTGGCGGCCTGCTGGGAGATACCGGGGGGGGGGGAGGACTGTGGGACGGGGGGGCGGGGGAGGGCGTTCAGAGGACAACACAACGTCCAGGAAGGTTTAATGTCGAGATACAACTGAAGGTTAGAAATGTTCTCATCATTTTAATGACATTTCGTAGAAATAAAATTGACTACGTCTGTAGATTTCTCTTAAATTCTTCAAAGTTATTGGATAAGTTATTAGATAAGTTATTAGATAATCATTAGCCTCATTTACATATGAGTTTTTCATTGC